GACTGCAGCGCCGTGTGTACCACTCGCGGATCTGCTGAATGGGGGGGAGCTCCTGGGTAGGAGGGGAAGTACCGGGACGAGCTCCAGCAGTACCTCTCCGGAGGCGGCAGTACTCGAGGTACCTCTCCTGCAGCTGCTGGGAGGAGAGGGCTCCTCCAGGTGTAGCAAGCTCAGGCTCAGCACCCCCAGACTCAACACCCCCAGACTCAGCACCCCCAGGCTCAGCACCTCCAGGCTCCGCACCCCCAGACTCAGCACTCCCAGGCTCAGCACCCCCAGACGCAGCACCCCCAGGCTCAGCACCCCCAGACGCAGCACCCCCAGGCTCAGCACCCCTAGCAGGACGAGAGTCAACAGCCACCTCGACAGGCTCACCCGGGTCTACCTGGGACACACCTGAGGGAGCGGCACCCTGAGGGGGGAGGGGGTCTGGTACCTCAGCACCTGGAGCGAGGAAGAGAGGCGGGGGGGGGAGCGGGGCAGTGCGGTAGGGGAAGAGGCGGTAGTAGGGGACGGACTCGTCAAAAGTGACGTCCTGAGAGGCCAGGACACGCCGCGAGGTGGGGTGGTAGAACTGCCAACCAGGGGCGTCCGGGACAAAGCCAAGGAAGACGCAGGGGACAGCGCGACGGGAGAGCTTGTCCGCGGACGTGTCGCGGACAAAAGCTCGGGATCCCCAGACCCGAAAACACGACGCATCGCCAGCCTCTCCCGTCCAGCGCAGTGTCGGAGAAGTCTCGGGCAAGGAGACACGGGGCCAGAGGTTGAGCTGATGCGCAGCGTATCGGACTGCAAACGGCCACAGAAAATGGGGGGCAGCCGCATGGCTCAAGGAGGTACGAGCGACCTCCATGACCAGACCAATGCGGCGCTCAGCAACCCCATTCTGCTGTGGAGAGTCCGGAAGCGTGTACGACTGCTCAATGCCCTCCTGCTGACAGAAGGCCTCCAATAGGCCAGAGGAGAACTCCCCACCTCTGTCAGAGTGCAGACGCAGGACAGGGAAGTCGGAGCAGAAACGCTCACTGAGCTGGAGACGAGATCTGCGGATCCAAGGGATCAAGACATCAGGGACGTCACCCTTGGCGCGCAAGGGGAAGACCGTGGTGTAGCGCGAGAAGTCGTCAACAACAATCAGGAAGTACCTCTCCTGACCCTGACCACGGACGCGGGCTGGGCCCCACACGTCCATGTGAAGCGTCTGCAAGGGGGCAGTCGTCGGGGGAAAGGAGGAGGAGTGAGGAGCGGCGCGCTGCCGTCCCTCGACACAGGGAATACAGGGAGGAGCAGGCGAGTCGGGAAGGGGAGGGAGCACCCTGGGAAGACCAGCAACAAGGTCCCGCTGGTGCATGGCCCGAAGGCGCTGCACAGACGGGTGACCAAGGCGGTGGTGCCAAAGGACAGTCTCATGTGCCAGAGAGCGACACGAGCAGGGGGCGGACAGCTGACCTGACGCAGACGCAGACGCAGCTACCTGAGGGGACACAGTGGTCAGTGTGTAAAGGTCCGACCCCGGCTCCCGAGTGAAGGTAGCCAGGTGGCGACCCGTCCGAGCACACGTGCAGTGTGTCACGCGCTCGTAGGCAGGGGTGAACTGGTGAACACCCCCGTCCTGGAGCGCACTACCTGCCACCAAGTTCGTAGAGAACGAGGGGAGGTAGAGACCTGACAGCGTGCCGGACGGGACCGCCGGACAAGGAAGGACAGTGGAGGAGGTCGCAATGACCGGACCCCCAGAGGGGTCAGCAAGGGAGACAGCAACTGGCCGAGCGAGGGGCTCAAGGACAGTGCGGTCACGAAAGAAGGAGCGAGAAGCACCTGAGTCCAGTGTGAAGGTGTGCAGTGCGGCAGTCGACTCAGTACCAGGGGGCACAGACGCACTAGCACCTAGGGCAGCAGCCTCACCATCACCTGGGGTAGCAGACACGTGAGCACCTGTAGCGATAGACGTACTAGCACCTAGAGCGGCAGCGTCACTCACAAGACACGGCAGCTGCACCTGTCCGCTACTAGAAGCTCCCGAACGACGCACGCCAGAGCGACTACCACGACGGCCACCCCGATAGCCCCAACTGGCGTACCACTCACGAGCCTGCTGGACCGTAGGAGGGCACGGCTGCTGCACCTGTCCACTACCAGAGGCTCCCGAACTACGCACGTCAGAGCGACTACCACGACTGCCACCCCGACAGCCCCAACTGGCGTACCACTCACGAGCCTGCTGGACCGTAGGAGGGCACGGCTGCTGCACCTGTCCACTACCAGAGGCTCCCGAACTACGCACGTCAGGGCGACTACCACGACTGCCACCCCGACAGCCCCAACTGGCGTACCACTCACGAGCCTGCTGGACCGTAGGAGGGCACGGCTGCTGCACCTGTCCACTACCAGAGGCTCCCGAACTACGCACGTCAGGGCGACTACCACGACTGCCACCCCGACAGCCCCAACTAGCGTACCACTCACGAGCCTGCTGGACCGTAGGAGGGCACGGCTGCTGCACCTGTCCACTACCAGAGGCTCCCGAACTACGCACGTCAGAGCGACTACCACGACTGCCACCCCGACAGCCCCAACTGGCGTACCACTCACGAGCCTGCTGGAGCTCCATCTGGCCACGTCAGGAGCAGCAGCAGTAGCGGCAGCTGTAACGGTAGCAGTGCTGGCAGGGCAAAGCTCACCAGTGGTCGGTGCGGCGGGCGCAAGACAGTGGCGACAGCGGGGCCGCTGCACCAGCGGGACGGGGCCAGGTCGCAGCAGGGAGCTCCGCGGCAGCTGCTGCAGGGTCGGCGGCGGCCGCTGCTGTAGGCTCGGCGGCGGCAGCTGCTGCAGGTCGAGTGGCGGCTGCTGCTGCAGGGTCAGCGGCGGCAGCTGCTGCAGATCGGCGGCGGCTGCTGCTACAGGCTCGGCGGCGGCAGCTGCTGCAGGTCGGCGGCGGCTGCTGCTGCAGGTTCGGCGGCGGCAGCTGCTGCAGACGAGGTAGAAGCCGCGAAGGGGCGGCGGAGGGATCGCGACGGCGGCTGGGAGGGCCGCGACGGGCGGGTAAGGGGCCACGACGGGCCGTAGGGAGGCGACGACGCCACGGGGAGGGCGACGCGGCGGGCGGCGAGAGCCTGCAGCGGCGGGCAGCTCGCGGGCAGTGCGCGGGCAGCGGATTAGGGTTAGGTAACGCCTCCGCGGGCAGGCGACGGTGTCGCGGGCAGGGGTCGACGTCGCGGGGCGGATTAGGGTTAGGCGACGCCGCGGGCAGGCGACGACTCCGCGGGCAAGCAACGGCGCCGCGGGTAGAGGTCGACGCCGCGGGCAGGCGACGACGTCGCAGGGAGGCGCGACGCCGCGGGGAGGCGACGACGCCGCTGGCAGGTGACGACGTCGCGGGGAGGGCGACGCGACGGGCGGCGAGAGTCTGCAGGGGCGGCTCTCGGGCCTGACGGGTCTGCAGCGGCGGCTCGGGGGCCTGACGGGCCTGTAGCGGCGGCTCGGGGGGCTGACGGGCCTGCAGCGGCGGCTCGAGGGCGCACGAGGGCGCACGAAGGCGCACAAGGAGAAAAAAGGCGCACGAGGGCGCACGAGGGCGCACGAGGGCGCACGGGGGCGCACGAGGGCGCACGGTAGTAGGTAGGTAGGTAGGGTAACGGTGGGCCCTAAAGCGGTCCTAGTGACGGACCTGCTCTGATACCATGTCAGAATCAACGGACTGGAATGATTGAACTAACAGAGAAATCAGTACAAATAGCAAACCCTAGAATTGTGTACCCCATATAGGCTAACCCACTGTAGCCTAACAAACCCAACATATATAATGTTTGACATGATGCCTGGGGGAGAAACGAGAGAGCTTCGCTAGGGCTGAGCTGAGGGTAGGCGTGGCACCTGAGGGGGTTAAAACAGGAGGAACTAGACCATACATGGGATGGCACGCACCGCGGTGCCCCATCGAACACATGGACCAGCGCGACGAAGGAGCATCGTCGGTGCGAGCCGCTGCAACCCACTTTCATGTGTGCTGTCAAAAACTGACCAATGAGCGCAAGAGCTGCAGCAGAATCTTCCAGCAACAAGCACGTCAGGTTGTCAATGCCCGACCCCGCCTGTACCTAGACAGCCAACGGTGCGCGAACGATGCGCCGTCACCCCAAACTTGACAGGGGATGCTCGGTAACTGCCGTGATTGACGGAAGTACCGTCAATCACGGCACCCTGTATAAACCTCGGTTTCAGACAAACATGATAAGGGTCCCTTGTAAATCAGATGAACTAGGAAAAACACTTCTAACTCAATCAGACAAATCCTAAATGTCAGTTCTAACCCATCAGATATTCAAAACAATGGAGACTTAGAAACCAGATTGCACCACAAAAAAACCCCTGTTTTTAAAGACAAACAGACAAAAAAGTCTGATGTCGAGGACCCTGGTATGAGCTCGTCTTCTATGCTCCTGACGGTTTATCTGCAGATGCGTTTGGACAATTCTTTGTAGCACCTGATATACAAACATCTACAACATAACAGTTCACTTTTAGAGATGATCCTCCCCACATCAGATAAGATGTGCATGTTGTATCATGAACATTATACTCATTTGCGCCTTTTTCATTTGCGCCTTTTCCTGGCGTAAGGTTCTATCACGAAGCATGTTATAGCAGCGCGCAGCTCAGGAGGCGCTGGTTCCTACGCCCGAGGCCTCGAATACGCCCTAAGGCTCCAGCCTAGGCATGAAGACCGTAGTAATTTTTCATGCGCAGCAGTAGCATTCCCGAAGAAAATCATTTCAATACTAGCTCGAGACGACATGGGCTCACTTTTCTTTCGCGAATCGCCTCTTGAATGGCGCCAGCGTTCTCTAGTCCTCACTCCTCTCTTACTAGTCCTTTTCTGCGTTTTACCGTTTCCGGTTAGCGCCTATTTTCACCCTTACGAGCCTATTCACGCCGTCGTGCCGCGGGCTTTAAGTCCCGAAGACGTTCCGCTCCCCTTCTGGGGAACGAGTGTGACTAGCATGAAAGTTTCTATGAACGCGTCGCTAGTGCGTGAGTATAACGGGGACGACAAGAACAACATCATCGTGGATATCGAGGGTCAGGGCCCCATTCCGTTCTCCCTGTCGCGGTGGAACCAAGGGGATTTCGCGCCGCGGCTCGCTCCCAGGCATCCGTACTCGCAGACGAATCTCGGCATTCCCGGGGGAAAGGATGGTTACCAGTCGGATAACCCGATGGAATTCGCACTTCAGGTAACATTTTTCAATATCTTTGTCAAAATTATACCTCTCCTTGATGCTTTAGGGTTTGTTTCACGTTTTCAGCTGCAATCGCACTTCCTGGAATGTTGGGGGAATTGACAAACCTGGCGCATGGTGTGGTATTTGGGCATGTCCGATCCTCTTTGTCAGGCTTGGCGTCCGAGCCTGGATAAGGGTGTGGTGCTCGGATCGGTGGCTCAAAACGGGCAGCAGTGGAACGACGGCGCGCCGTTTTTCTATGGCACTGTGGTGCGTGTTGGTTCATTCCATTGCATGTTATCATGTGGTGGTGGTGCACCGTTTTTCTATGGTACTGTAGTGTGTGTAGTCGTTTCCCCATCCCATCCCATTCCATCCCATCCCATCCCATCCCATCCCATCCCATCCCATCCCATCCCATCCCATCCCATCCCATCCCATCCCATCCCATCCCATCCCATCCCGTCCCATCCCATCCCATCCCATCCCATCCCATCCCATCCCATCCCATCCCATCCCATCCCATCCCATCCCATCGCATCCCATCGCATCCCATCGCATCCCATCCCATCCCATCCCATCCCATCCCATCCCATCCTACTCCATGACATCCCATCCTCTCCATCCATGTCGTACCCATGTCATTTCATGTCACGTCATGCCATGCCATACCATGACATGCCATACATGACATGCCATACCATACCATACCATTCCACACCATACCATGCCATCCCGTGTCATCTCGTTCTACCCAAACCCACTCCCTTCTCGTTTCCGACCCCCTCCCATGTGTTTCCTTGCTCAGTCATGCATATACGACTCACACGGTTACGGTTACAGGTACGAGTTTTTAAGCTCGCATAGTTACATTTACACATAAAACACTGTTGAACTAGCTGTTCTTCCCCAATCAACGGGTCTGTGCAAATACTCTCTTCCTTCGTGTCATTGTTCCGTTGTCTTTGCTAATTCCCTGCACACAACATCAGCAAAAATGAGCCTGAGGGTACATTCCGGGTTCCGGTCAAGCCTTTGGTTATCCATGCCTGCAGACCCTAAATCGTACCTATTTCTCACCAATTGTGCTAGTCGTAAGGTTGGCTACAGTGTTGAAAGGTTTTGACCAAGCCCGGGATGTACCCTAAGAAACATATACCTTGATGCTTATCCCGTCCCTCTCCTCCCCCTGTTTCCCCTCCTCCCCCCATTCCCTCCTCTCCTTGTTTTGTATCACATGCACACAGCATGACCACAGGGGAGTTTGGCAATGACAATCCCAACATTGACAGTACGTGTCCTCATTGCTCCATGCATCCATGCATGCACGCATGCTCCCTCTGTCCTCCCTACAGTCCAACCTCTTGCTGAGTGCGTGTGCTCTCTGCGTGTGCTCTCTCGGTCTCTTTTGATTTTGAAATTTGGTCGTTTCGTTGCTGCTTTTCGTATTTTCGGTCACTATCAAGTATAGTCTTAGACGTCTAAAAAATAAACCCGTTGCTGCTATGTGCGCCTTTCTGTCTGCATGTGCGCCTGTCTCAATGTATCAGTCGCTATTGGGAAGGCAGGAGAGGAGGACGAGGGTGTGATTGACGTCTCAATCGCATGGTTTCCTTACCACCAAGGTACGTAGTGTGTTGTGGGAAGGGGGAAGGGGGAAGGCGGAAGAGGGAAGGGGGAAGGGGGTAGGCGGAAGGGGGAAGGGGGAAGGGGTAATCTTCAATACATAGTCAACACCTTAAGTGCTATTGGGATGGGAAGGCAGGAGCGCAGGGCGAGGGCAACATTGGCGTTTCCATCGCACGCTTCCCTTACCACCAAGGTATAGTGTGTGTATGTGAAAGGGGCGCCTTAACCACCAAGGCATGTGCGTGTGTGGTGGTGCTACGGTAGCCAACCAGCACTGGATAGTGTACTAGTACTATGTTGCACTATACGCTCAGAAATTTTTCCGTATCACGTTTATGCGTTCACGTATAAACGGAAAAACGTGATACGGGGACAATACGCGATACGCCTGGACGGGCAGCCCGTCGGAAAAAAAAAATCTGTTGCGACCGTTCTCGCGATCTGTGATTCTCCGTAACCTAATTCTGACATTTGAAAGTCGAATGTCTTCCCCCGCACCCACCACCCCACTTCCACCGCACATAACCTCACACCACCTCCCAAATCCAACCCTTCCCTTCCAACCACACACTTCAGCTTTCACGTCGGCAGCTTCAAAAACCTATGTCTACCGCTAATGTCGCAGCTGGACGCAAGTAGGCAGAGGGGCGCAGATCTGGCATTCCGCCGCCAGATCTGCGCGATTCTAGTATTCCGCCAGCAGATCGCCGCAGATCGGCAAGAAACATTGAATATATGGACCATCACTCTCTCCCTGACACTTTTTTCCCCTGCCCGGAACTTTTTTTCCCCTGCCCGGGACAACGTATTTTGAGCGTATCAAGGGGGCGGAAATCCATCGTATGGCGTTCGTACGTTGGCGTATAGTACGAACGCGACTGGTACGCGAATCGCGTATTTTGCAACATAGTACTAGTGTACAGTTCAGTTGCCACTGGGACGAGAGCGCAGGACAGGATGAGGGCAGCATTGACGCCTCCATTGCATGCTTCCCTTACCACCAAGGTGGATGTGTGTGCGTGTGTGTGTGTGTGTGTGTGCGTGTGCGTGTGCGTGTGCGTGTGTGTGTGCGTGTGCGTGTGCGTGTGCGTGTGCATGTGTGTGTGTGTGTGTGTGTGCGTGTGTGCGTGTGTGTGTGTGCGTGTGCGTGTGTGTGTGTGTGTGTGTGCGTGTGCGTGTGCGTGTGCGTGTGCGTGTGCGTGCGTGCGTGCGTGCGTGCGTGCGTGCGTGCGTGCGTGTGTGTGTGTGTGTGGGGGGGGGGGGGGGGGGGGGGGGGGTGGTAACCACCAAGGCACGTGCAGGGGCCAAATGGGCTACAAACGCGTCCCACTCCTCCAGCCTTCCCTCTGATCATCCCCATACATATACTAAATGCCATGCGCATGCTCTCTGCTTCCTTCCTTCCCCTCCCAGGCTGGGCCGCTGGGTACGTGGATGCCCCCTCCCATTTGGAGAAGGGAACAGAGGCCAAATGGGCCACCACTGCTTCCCACTCCTGCAATCTCCCCTCCGATCTCTGCCCGATGTACCATAAGCTGCTAAGGGCATGCTTCCTTCCCCTTCCCCTCCCAGGCTGGACTGCCGGGTACGTGGATGCTCCTTCGCAGCTGGAGAAGGGAGCAGAGGCCAAGTGGGCTACCAACGCATCCCACTCGCCCAACCTCCCTGCCGATCTTTCCCGCATATGCCATGCACTATGTGCTATGCGCGTGCTCCCTCTCCTCCTTCCCCTCCCAGGCTGGACCGCTGGGTACGTGGATGCTCCTTCGCAGCTGGAGAAGGGAGCAGAGGCGAAATGGGCCACCAACGCATCTTATTCGCCCAACCTCCCCGCCGATCTCTCCCGCATTATGCGGTGGGACGGCCGGGGAGCCAGTCTGGAGCTGCCAGGTGTCAACCCGTCAGTGGACGGCATGCTCTTCCTCACCTCGTGAGACCAGGGTTTAGGTTTTAATACGAATGCAGCATGCGGTTTCTTATTTTCATGTTCAATTTTTCATATATGTATATAAATATATATGTATTTACTATGTATATATATACACGTACTTACATACGGTAGGTACATATAATATATGTGTATCCTCTCTACATATTCTACCTGTTCTTTTGGCCCTCCTTTGTTTACTGGTTTTCCTTTTCCTTGTTTTTCTCTGCATCTGTCATGAGCAGTACGGACCCGGGCCGATGGAGCAACGAGCTGAACATCATGAGCACATATGTCAAGCGCAAGTGAGTATCTAATGAGATTGAATATCAAAATCGTCTGGACATATTCATATAGGGTGTACTTGTAGACGTAATTAGTGTAATGAGCTGGGAATCATGATCACTATTTCAAGCGGAATGGTTGGGTGGCGCATTCAGGTATGTTGAAATAACTTTTGAGAATTCTCAACGGGATCACACATGTCAAGCGGAGTCTATATGGACACATGTACTCACTTTTAAACGGAGTGGCCGCGTGTGGCGCATTCAGGCGAGGGAGGACGCATTTGGGGATGTGACAGAGCTGATGGAGAGTGAGTGCGAGTGCTTGGCCTCTCATTGCTTGCTTACTTCTCCCTCCCCTCCTTGCTCCCTACCCACCTCGCCTGCTACCCACCAGTGGCCGCGGGTGGCGCATTCAGGCACGAGAAGACGCATTTGGGGATGTGACAGAGCTGGTGGAGAGCCAGGAGCACATGTTTGCATTCCTCTACATCCCCTTCTCCGCCACTGGGTAAGCAAGCTTGCGGCACGGCATAAGCTGTAGGGGCATATGCTGCTGATGTGCTAGAGGTGGGGAGTCAGGAGCACATGTTTGCATTCCTCTACATCCCCTTCTCCGCCACTGGGTAAGGACCTCACACCTGCCGTACTGTTTCTCTCTGCTGGCATTGTTGCTGCTGGTTACCACAACCATATGAGTGGAGTGGAGAGTCAGGAGCACATGTTCGCATTCCTCTACATCCCATTTTCCGCCACTGGGTAAGCAAGCCTCCCTATCACAGCATGTGTTGCTGGTATGCCATGTGAATGAAGAGTCAGTCAGGAGCACATGTTCGCATTCCTCTACATCCCCTTCTCCGCCACTGGGTAAGGACCTCTCACCTGCCGTACTGTTTCTTCTCTTTGCTGGGATTGGCTGCTGGTTACCACAATTATATGAGTGGAGAGTCAGGAGCACATATTCACATTCCTCTACATTTCCTTCTCGGCTACTTCAAGCCCGCTGCTGCTCAAGTGCTGCTCCATCTCTACCAAGTACGGCTGCTATCTCTTCTCTCCTGGTATGCCAGCGGGTGGAGAGTCAGGAGCACATGTTCGCATTCCTCTACACCCCCTTCTCTCCCCATCTTCCCCCCCCCCCCTCCAGATGGTTTGTCTTTCGCTCTCCCCTCCCTTTCTTTCAGGCTTATAGGAGCCTCGGTAGCACCAGATGGGTCAGTGGTGCGGAAAACAGGGGCATCCCCGTACAGTCAGTTGAGCAGAGCAGAAGCAGGGACGTTCACAATCACGTTCATTCACAATCACTTCCTCTGCTCCCGCCCCTCAGCCTTATAGGCGCCACAATTGCAGCAGATGGGCCAGTGGTGCAGGGAGCTGATGTTTCTCGTGCAGGAGGGTGGGCCTTGGGATGCACGAGATCAGCACTTCTGATCCTCCTTGCTTTCCTCCCTTATCTCCTTCTCCCTCCCTCCCCTCCTTTGGGAGGGGCTCTGTAGGAGCCTGAAGAAGAAAGAGGTTTGGGGAGATAGGGGGGAAGTACAGGCTCCTAGAGAGTCCCTCCTACTCACCCCTGCACCCCATAGATTTCCTTTTCCTTTCCATCCGAACCACAGCAGCAAGAACCAGTCCCTCGGCTCCTGCACCCTCAACACACAACGAGGCGACCCACATACGCTGCGGGACCTCGTCGGTGACTTGGGTCCCTCGTCCTCCCCCTCCCACCCTTTCTTCCCTCCTTTCCATCCCTCTCTCCCACCTGACCCCTCCCACCCACCCACTCCCACCCCCGGCTCTCCCATTTCACCTCTCTGAAGCCAATACCACTCCCACCTCCTAGCAGCACTATATATTGTCTCAAGACTAATATGCCCACACCCTTCTCACTACTCGTCGCACGGACGCCACAAAGTCCCGGCAGCAGCACCGCTTTTCCCCGCTTGTCTAGCGTGATCGTGTGGCGGTCCTGACTCACGACTGTAGATCTTTAGCTTCAGCCGGACCAGTTTACCACGGCCGTGCTAAGGACTTGGAATCGCGAGTCAGGGCCGCTACACGGTCACGCTTGAAAAACAAGGAGGCGGTGTTGCTGCCGGGACTTTGTGGGGTCCGTGTGATGAGTGGTGAGAAGGGTGTTGGCATATTGATCTTGAGACAATATACAATGCTGCTAGAAGGTGGAAGGAGTATTGGGCTTCAGAGAGGTGAAATGGGAGAGCGGGGGTGGGTGGATGAGAGGGGTCGGGTGGAAGAGAGGGGATGGGAAAGAGGGAGAAAAAAGGTGGGAGGGGGAGGAGGGGGGGCCCAAGTCCCCGCAACATATGTGAGTCGCCTCGTTGTGTGTCAGGGATGCAAGAGACGAGGGGCTGATTCTTGCTGATGTGCATCTGATAGAAATGAAAAGGAAAAATCCATGGGGTGCAAGGGTGAGTAAGAGGAGCTCTGTAGGACTCTATACCCCCTCCCTCCCCTCCTTCTCCCTCTTTCTCTCCCTCCACTCTCTCTTTCCTCTCTTTCCTTCACCTCCCCTCATCTCCAGCCTTATAGGTGCCACAATAGCAGCGGATGGGTCAGTGGTGCAGGGAGCAAGGATATTCTTGTGCAGGTGGTTGGGCCTTGGGATGTACGAGATCAGCATGCCTAGTCCTCCTCTCTTCCCCCCCCGGCCCCCCTCGTTTCTCACTTTCCTTCCCTCTTCGCCCCTCCACACCTTCTTTCCTCTCTCTCCTTCCCTCTTTCCGCACTCCTCTCCCCTTCCCACCAGCCTGATAGGAGCAACAATAGCACCGGATGGGTCAGTGGTGCGGGGAGCAGGGGTGTTCTTGTTCAGGAGTACTTTTGGGCCTTGGGATGTACGAGATTAGCATTCCTGATCCTCCTTGCCTCCTTCCCTCCCTCCCTCCACTCCTCCCCCACCCCTTGCCTCGTTCCCGACTCCCCTCGCCCCCAGCATTATAGGAGCCACGATAGCAGCGGATGGGTCAGTGGTGCGTGGAGCAGGAGTGTTTTCGTGCAGGAGGCTGGGCCTTGGGATGTACGAGATCAGCATTAACAACGAGCACAAGACGCACAAGTGAGTGGCAGGGATTGGGGTTGGTGGAATGCGGTGAGAAGGAGTGAAGAGGAGAGGTTGGGCGTTCACTTGCCGGAGGCTGGGCCTTGGGATGTACGGGATTAGCATTAAGTTCGAGCATAAGACACACAAGTGAGTGGGGAGTAAGGTGGGGTGGAGTGCGGTGAGAAGCAGGGAAGAGGAGATGTTGAGGTGTTCTTGTGTCGGGCCTTGGGATGTACGAGATCAGCATTCACGACGAGCACAAGACGCACAAGTGAGTGGGAAGGGATAAGGGGTGGTGCAATGCGGTGAAAAGGAGTGAAGTCGAGAGGAGAGGGTGTTCACTTGCAGGAGGCTGGGCCTTGGGATGTACGAGATCAGCATCAATAACGAGCACAAGACACACAAGTGAGTGGGAAGGGTTTGTGGGCGGTGAAATGCAGTGGAAAGTAGTGAAGAGGAGGGGTTGGGGTGTTCATGTGCAGGCGAGTGGGCCTTGGGAGGTACGAGACCAGCATTGGGAACGAGCACAAGACACACAAGTGAGTGGGACAGATTTTGGATGGGTGGAGTGTGGTGAAAAGGAGTGACGAGGAGGCCTTGTGACCCATTTAAGCGAGCAGGCACTGCGCTCGTCAAGTGATGGGGGGTCGACAGCAGCAGGCGCTACGCTCACCACGTCTTCCTCTCCTACAACGTTACGGCTCAGTCGTTGATGCGTTTCGCTCTCACTCTTCTCGTGCATCTCCCCGTCCTTTCCTCTAGTTGACTGAAATGAAGGGACGGCATCCCACTACTCCAGGTGATGGGGCGGGATGACAGCAACAGGTGCTATGCTCGTCACGCCTTCCTCTCCTACAACTTCACCTCAATTCCCTTGTGTTTCTCCCCTTCCCTTCCTGCTGATTGTAGGGACGGCATCCTACTGCTCCAGGTGATGGGGCGAAATGACAGCAACAGGTGCTACACCTTCCTCTCGTACTTCACATCCTCAATCCCCACCCTCATCCTCCCGTTTCATCCTTCCATTTCATCCTCCATTTCCCGGCATCCCACTACTCCAAGAGATGGGGCGGGATGACAGCAACAGGCGCTATGCTGGACACACCTTCCTCTCCTACAAGTTCAGCTCCTCTCTTTCCTCCTTCGTCCCCAGGGACGGCATCCTACTACTGCAAGTGATGGGGAGAGATGACAGCAACAGGCGCTACGCGCGTCACGCCTTCCTCTCTTACAACTTCACCTCCTCGCTTCACTCCCTCTCCTTGCTTCTCTGTTTCTCTACCCAGGGACGGCATCCTACTGTTGCAAGTGATGGGGCGGGACGACAGCAACAGGCGCTACGCTCGTCACGCCTTCCTCTCTTACAACTTCACGGCTCAGGGGTCGATGCTGGTGGAGGGGCATAGGCTTGGAGCTCTCCCTATATCCTTCTCACTTCCCTTCCCCTTCCCTTTCCTTATTGTAGGGACGGCATCCTCCTATTGCAAGTGATGGGGAGGGACGACAGCAACAGGCGCTATGCTCGTCACGCCTTCCTCTCTTACAACTTCACGGCTCAGGGGTCGATGCTGGTGGAATCCCATCGCCTTGTGAAACAACCCGCGGAGATGTTTAAGGAAACCTTTCCGTACACTGATACAGGTACGTCCTGATTGGAATCCAGTAAATATGTGTCTAGTAATGGCCGCCTCAGCACATGTTTCATCGAGATGCAATTCTTTTGAGTCCACTCAAAAATCAGCCCGATACAGGTGTGTCCTGATTGTAATACAGTGGTTATGTGTCTTATATTGGGGGCCTTGAAACATGTTCATTGAGATCCCATGGTATTTAAAAGCAACTGATAGGTTGCAGAACCCAGTATCAAAAGTTCTATTCTCTGATTTGCAAAGTGTGACTCTACTGAAAACACCTGTATAATATTTACCATGCTGCTGTATTGTGACACAGACGGGGACGATAGCATGGTAATCTATGCCTTTTCTCCATCCCCTCTCCCACCTCCTCCCATGTGTGCTGCATACCATATCGCATCATACCATACCGTACCATACCATACCACACCACACCACACTACACCACACTACACCACACCGCACCACCGTGCCATCGTTCAGACTTTGCCTTCGTGTGGGTTGATTTCCGCAACCCTCTCAGCCCCACGCTCCGCTCCTACACCGGTCAGTACCAGTCAGCACCACTCGGTACCACTCTGTTTCGGTCAGTACATGTCAGTATCGGTCATCACCTGTCAATACCACACACTTCCTCTCTCACCTCTTTATCCTTTCCCCTATTATCCTCGCCTCCATCTCCTCTCCCCCCTCCCCGCCTTCAAACTCCTATGCTCCATGGAAGTTGTGTTACGCAGTGTTCCTAACTTCCTACTCTATTTTTTCTACCATTTCCAAGCTATGACTGCTTGCTGCTTCTTTTCTTCTGTTTTTTTTCGTGGCCATTCCAACCTACACGACTGATTATCATCACTTTAACAATCTGACTCATACATCTGATTCTCTTCTCACTCTTACCCGCAGGTCCCCTCCCACCTCGGCTCTCCGGTTACCGCTTCTGGAGCGGAATTGTTACGGGAATAATCGTCATGGCAATCGCAACTGTAGCTGCTCTCTTCTTCCTCTCTCGCCACTCCATCTCTCTGGTAAGCACACCACCAATCCCTCCCACCTCAACCTCAACTGTCCGGTTACCACTTCTGGTCCGGAATTCTCGTGTGAATGGTCAGCTTGGCGGCCGCAACTGTAGCTGCTCCCTTCGTCCTCTCTCGCCACTCCATCTCTCTGGTAAGCAGACAGACCAACAATCCCTCCCGCCTTGACTGTCCGGCTACCGCTTCTGGACCGGAATTCTCGTGGGAATAGTCGTCATGGCGGTCACGACTGTAGCTGCTCTCTTCTTCCTCTCTCGCCACTCCATCTCTCTGGTAAGCACACCACCAATCCCTCCCACCTCGACTGTCGGTTCACCACTTCTGGACTGGAAGTCTCACGGGAATAATCGTCATGGAGGTCGCGACTGTAGCTGCTCTGTTCATCCTCTCCCGCCACTCCATCTCTCTGGTAATCAATCCAGCAACAGACCAACAGGTAGCACTCCTCTCTCTTTGGTAAGCACACCAATAATCCCTCCCACCTCGACTTTCCGGTCACCGCTTCTGGACCGGTATTCTCACGGGAATAGTCATCTCGGCGGTCACGACCGCAGCTGCCATATTTTCTTTTCCTGTCACTCCATTTCGCTGGTAAGCAGACCAGCAGGTGATTCCAGGACGCAGGTCACATAGGGAAATTGCAAACCACTGCACTCATATCTCTCTCATGCAAGCTACTTCCCACGCAGGTGCCTAGCCTCTCTTCTACTCCTCTAGAATCACTCCCAACCTTAAACATTTTATTGTTCTTCCAATGACTGGCCCTACCATCCCATAGCTGCCTTCCCTCCTCGCTCCCCTTCTGTGTTTTGAGTCGACTCAAAACCCTCTCTTCTGCTCCTCTAGGATCACTCTAAACCCTCGCATTTTATTGTTCTTCCATCGACCGGCCCTACCATCCCACAGCTGCCCTGCATCCTTGCTCCCCTTTCATCACTCTATCCCTTTCGTTTCGCAGTTAACCAACCAAACCTCTATCCTCTCCTCTGCCCGTCCCTGCTATTCCACACCCAGGTTCCCTCTGTTTTCGTTCCTCTTACATCTCTACAACCCACCGATTCGGTATCGGCTGAAACTGAGCTCGCAGAAGAGCTGCTTAGAGGAGTGTACATCAATGCTGAAGACTAAATAGATGTGTGTACTGGTATTGTATTGGTGGTGTGGTGGTTTATAGGGCAGACATATGCTTCATTCTATGTAGTCCAACTTACAGCTGCGTGTACAGTACAAGCATTATGGGTATGCATCATAAGCCCTTGTACGTACGTAGCTGATGTGCTGATTTAGAAATTCGGTGTACCTTGGTGTCATTGGGCACTGCTGTTTGCCTTGTGAATCGTGATGTTGGGTATGATAAACCTAGTGCCATCATTTATGGGAGCAGTTGAAGTATTATGTAATGTTGATTAAATACCGCAAAAAACACATACAAGTTGCGTCCCTGGAACTGAATTCCTTGACAAGAAGGCTAGCGTATTTGAGAATAGAGGCTTGCTCAGCAAGTGTCACTCCAAATGGAATAAAGCGTGGCATTAACGAGAATATACGCCAGAGAACACGTTCGCAATCGAGTTCCCTGACTCTGGAAACGCATCGACTCGCTAACGAACCTCTCTGAAGCTGTTGACAGTTGGAGTCATGTTGTATGCCATGCCAGGTGTGACAAATTAGAGGTCACAACATGCTGACTGAGGAGAGAACTTCACCTGGAGGCAAATCGGGCTAAAGCGGGGAGACTTGTCTTTCTGGAAAAACTTTTATTATGGGCTGAAACGTCTCAACGCACAACGCTGATTGATTTAAATTTTGGCCATATATTTCTGTCCTCGTTTCACTTCCTCAATCTCACGACCTCCAATTTCGCTTGATGGATTTAAGCGCCATCTAAAACCCGACGATCTCAACCCTGGGATTAAGACCGAGTGAGATGTGGGAAGCAGGGGGATCTCTATTACAGCCCTGAACAGAACCCAGGTACATCACTGGCAGTACCTGCACTTCCGTAAGATATTTTGTCCTTATTCGTCCACCTACCATCTGTCATGCTGTCCTGCGCCATCAATTTCCGCAAATCATGCAGTAACGCGTTCGCTTTCCCCCCACCCTCTCCCCTTCCTTTCCGCTTGACCATTCACCACCTTGCCCCAAAACTCAACCTCCGCATTCGCCCTCACCCTTCCCTTGGCTCCCCGCCAAACCTGCCAATCCCTTCCGCCCACGTAACACCCTGGGAGAAGCGCGCGCGCGCGGACCCCAGCCCCTCTCGCCGCCCTCCCCCTACTGAATCTCTCCCCTTCCCCCCACCCCGGACACCTCCACTGCTTCCCCCCAACCCTCCCCTGCACAGTACTGTACATGATAGCTGTACTGTACACCCCCACTCTGTTCCCCCCATACCCCCCCACCTCCCTCACTTTCCGTTCCGTTCCTCCTTCCCTCAGCCAGCCAGCCAGCCATACCCTGCTGCCGACTCCCACAAACAACCATAGCCATTTCTTCTCGTCTGTTGGCTGGTGTGGTGAGCTGTGGTGGTCCTCTCTCCATTTTCCCTTCAAAACATCGTTCTCTTCAAATTCACACCTCCGAATAATAATATCGTCTCGTGCGCTCTCTCAAATCCTTCGCATATAGTTAACGCTTCAAACATTCAGGTCGTGCTTCATTAGGAAGGTCCTCGTTATTCTTCAAAATGGCTCGGTTCGTCGTCACCGTTGTGTTACTTAGTCTGCTGTGTCTCACCGTAGTTTCCGCGCGTCCCGACGGAGCGTCGGACCTCGCAGCAGCCAAGGAAGCCCTCAGGAAGCAGGGCTCTTTCAAAACTTTCCTCAAGCTACTCAAAGACTCCGGTGCGTGATTTCTTTGGGAGTTTCAAATAATTAGGGCTCAGAGCTTTCGATGCATGTTTCCCGTTACCTCCCCCAGCAACATCCGCATTTCCTCTTTCTCTTCCGCACTACCCTGCCTTCCCCCCGCAACGCCCTCCCGCAATTACCCCCTCCGTCCCGTCGTTCTTACCCTAGAACTACTACTAGATTCTTGTACCATTCGTGCCAACACTTTTGGCTTTCCGCCGTTCCGTGTCATTAGTCCTTTCTGGTTTGGCCATATTTCCCCGAGTTAATATGTGATCGTTTTCCCTAACCTTACCTCAACTCTGCCTTCCCCCCTCCCCCCTCCCTGTCTCCCCTGCCTCCCCCTCCGCAACAGGCTTCGAGTCTATCCTGGCTCGTTACATTCAGACCCAGCCCGTGATGCTGCTCGTCCCTCGCTTCATTCCCTTGTTTAACCGTCTGTCGTTCCCCGCTTCCGTCGTTCCCCGCTTCCGTCGTTTCCCGCTTCCGTCGTTCCCGTGTTCCCCCAACAGGCTTCGAGTCTATCCTGGCTCGCTACATTCAGACCCAGCCCGTGACGCTCCTCATCCCCTTTTTTTGGTCGACTCAAAATTTGTTTTCCCTCGTTTCCCTCTTCATTTGTTCCCTCCTTCCCTTGTTCCCCTGCTACCGCCGCAGGCTTCGAGTCTATCCTCGCGCGTTACATTCAGACCCAGCCCGTGACGCTCCTCGTCCCGACCGATCGCGCGTTCGCGACGCTCCCGCTGCGCGTCAAATCGCAGCTCAGCGGTTCCAAGCTCATCAAGCTTCTTGAATACCACATGACGTCTCATAACCCGTTTCCCCTCGTTCTTTTCCGGTTTCGTTCCCTTGTTCCCTCCTGGTTTCGCTCCTTCGTTCTCCTCCAACAGGCTTCGAGTCTATCCTTGCGCGTTACATTCAGACCCAGCCCGTGACGCTCCTCGTCCCCACCGATCGCGCGTTCGCGACGCTCCCGCTGCGCGTCAAATCGCAGCTCTCCGGTTCCAAGCTCATCAAGCTGCTCGAATACCACATGATCCTGCAGAAGCTTCCCGTCGGCTTCCTCCGCCGCGCACAGCCCGGAGCGCGCTTCCGCACGGTCTACGGCGTGCAGCTAGTTAAGCAGAAGTCGGCTCTTAAGAACACCGTGATTTTCTCCCCGCCTGGCGCCAACGACGCGACGCAGATGGCGGTGGTTACCTGGGGAGACATTGCTGCGGCGAAGCTGATTCTGCTGTGCGTTCACGGCACTAACGGCGTGCTGCTGCCCCCTAACGTCTTCTTCTAAGCTGCCTTAATGCCCGAGGGGTGGTTAGGATCGCTCAGGACGCGATTCGGCCACACCCCTTTTCCCCTCGTCTTCTCCCGCTTGTTATTTATCCTAGGGTTTCTTTTCTCCCTTCCTGGCTGTTGTTATGAAGTTCTTATCTTTTGTTATTTCATTGATGTTCCTCACTAAACGTGACACTGGCACCACCATACTCTTTTACTATTACACTCAGTATTGTATACTGATGGTGCCTTTTACTGTACCACTGGATGTTAGAGCTTGCAACACTCGGGAACAAATGTGTGATTTACTTAAACACTCATGCTGCCTAAGCAACACCTCCCTTCCCACAAGACCGTCCAATCAAATTACAGGCAGCTACTCTAAATACCTACCACTAACATACTATTTCCCTCGCCGGCAGCGGCCACCCATCTGATACCAGGCAGGGAAGCAGCAGATGCCTCAGCGGTGCAGTGCGGTGCTGTAACATACGTAGTCAGTAGGCGGCTCTTTTTGTCATGTTGCCGGCACCCCCCCCAACAAGACCATCTGACGCGAGGCTGGGAGGCAGCGGTTTCCCGCTGCGGTGCTGTAGGCGCTGGTGTAGCGTGTCAAGTACCGTACCAGCTGAGCGGCCCTATTCCCCCCTTCCTCCACTCATGTAGTCGGCACCCCCCCCCGACAAGACCATCAGACGCCAAGCTGGGAGGCAGCGGTTACCCGCTTCAGTGCTGTAACCGCTGGTGTAGCGTGTCGAGTAACTGGGCGGCCTAATTTCCCCCTCCAAGTTCCAACCACTCATGCACCCACTCATGTTGCGGGCACCCCCCCAACAAGTCCATCTGATGCCAGGCTTGGGGGTAGGGGTTTCCCGCTGCGGTGCTGTAACCGCTGGTGTAGCGTGTCGAGTAACTGGGCGGCAAACTCAGCGTCCACGCAGCCAATGAGAGTGGGGTCCTCTGCTGCTGTCACGTAGGTCGCTGTTACTGCTCCTTCCACCACCGATAGCACCACACCCGCCTGAGAGAAAGGAAAGAGATATGAGAAAAGGGGTGGCAGGTGGAGGGAAGAAAGAGATAAATCAGAGTGGGGTCCTCTGCTGCTGTCACGTAGGTTGCTGCGACCGCCCCTTCCACCACCGATAGCACCACACCTGCCTGTAAAAATAAAAAAGCGGACGTTGGAAAAACACCAAGAGGTAGGCAAAGGGAAGGGATTAGAGTGGGGTCCTCTGCTGCTGTGATGTAGGTCGCTGTGACTGCCCTTCCACCACTGATAGCACCACAGGCAGAAAGAACGAGATGTAGGGGATTCACGAGGAACACACAATGGGTGGAGGGAAGGAAGAGACCAGAGCGCCCTTTGAGAGGGCTGAAAAGAAGACAAACGGGAAGAGATTACAATTATAATAATAATTAAAAAGACACGCATTCACCTTCAAACCAGCACTTACCATTGCCGCCCCTGTCACCATCGCTCCAACCACCATCACCAATTCTTGAGCCACGAACCACCCCCACACGCCCGCTGCCGTCCCGGCCACCATCGCTGAGAGAATCACAGCCATCAGCACTCAATCTCAAATCACCGCCTCCTCAAAACCAGCACTCACCATCACCACCGCACTCAATCTCACTCAACTACCTCTTCCAAACCAAACCAACACTCACCATTGCTGCTCCTGTAACAATCCCCATCGCTCCAACAACCACCACTAGTTCTTGAGCCACGAACCACCCCCACACGCCCGCAGCTGTCCCCGCCACCATAATCACCACACAGAATCTCATCCAACCAAACCAGCAATCCCAGCAGTCACCATCGCTGCTACTGTAACGATCCCCATCGCCCCAACCACCACCAACTCTTGAGCCACGAACCACCCCCACACTCCCGTCGCCGCCCTGGCCATCATCACCACCATCATCACCACCATCATCACCACCATCATCACCACCATCATCACCACCATCATCACCACCATCATCACCACCATCATCACCACCATCATCACCACCATCATCACCACCATCATCACCACCATCATCACCACCATCATCACCACCATCATCACCACCATCATCACCACCATCATCACCACCATCATCACCACCATCATCACCACCATCATCACCACCATCATCACCACTGCACTCAACCTCACTCTATAGCTCCTTCAAACCAGCACTTACCATTGCCGCTCCTGTGACGATCCCCATCGCTCCAACCACCACCACCAACTCTTGAGCCACGAACCACCCCCACACGCCCGCTGCGGTCCCGACCACCATCACCACTGCACAGAATCTCACTCAAATACTTTGTCCAACCACCAAACCAGCAATCCCAGCACTCACCATTGCCGCTCCTGTGACAATCCCCATCGCTCCAACCACCACCACCAACTCTTGAGCCACGAACCACCCCCACACGCCTGCTGCCGTCCCTGCCACCATAATCACCACACAGAATCTCACTCAACCGAACCAGCAATGCCAGCACTCACCATTGCCGCTCCTGTGACGATTCCCATCGCTCCAACCACCACCACCAACTCTTGAGCCACAAACCACCCCCACACGCCTGCTGCCGTCCCGGCCACCATCGCTGAGAGCATCACGGCCATGAGCAGCACAGCGCCTGAGAGGTCGTATGCTATCACTGCTTCGACTCCCGTGGACTGAAAGAGTTCCCATGCTTCAACGGACGACTGATTGAAGCTTCTTCCGTACATTGCCAGCTGGGGGGGGGGAGAGGGGGGCAGGCAGGCAGGGAGGCAGAGAGTGGAATCGGCAGCCGCAGCAACAGCAGAATGGGTGGGAGAAGCATCACTGCCAGGAGAAGCATCACTGCCATGAGCAGCACAGCGCCTGAGAGGTCGTATGCTATAGCGCTTCGACTCCTGTCGACTGAAAGAGTTCCCATGCTTCAACGGACGACTGATTGAAGCTTCTTCCGTACATTGCCAGCTGGGGGGGGAGAGGGGGGGGAGGCAGGCAGGGAGGCAAGGCAAGGAGGGGAATCAGCAGCCGCAGCAACAGCAGCATGGGTGGGAGGAAAGCAGCATCACGGCCATGAGCAGCACGGCCCCTAAGAGATCACCAGCAGCACAGCGCCTGAGAGATCATATGCAATCACTGCCTCCACGCCTGTGGACTGAAAAAGCTCCCATGCTAACTGGAGGGGAAGAGAGAGGGGGGGGCGGCAACATGAGCATCGCGGCCATGAGCAGCACAGCGCCTGAGAGGTCATAAGCTATCACTGCTTCAACGCCTGTTGACTGGAAAAGCTCCCATGCCCCCACTGAGGAGCGGTTGAAACTGTTGCCATACATTGCCAGCTGGAGGGGAAGAGAGAGGGGGGGGCGGCAACATGAGCAGCACAGCCCCTGAGAGGTCGTATGCAATCACCGCTTCGACACCAGTCGACTGAAAGAGCTCCCATGCTTCAACGGACGACTGATTAAAGCTTCTTCCATGCAGCAGCAGCATGGGTGGGAGCAGAATCACGGCCATCAGCAGCACAGCCCCTAAGAGGCCGTATGCTATCACTGCTTCAACGCCAGTCGACTGAAAGAGCTCCCATGCTTCAACGGACGACCGGTTGAAGCTGTTGCCATACATTGCCAGCTGATGGGGTGGGGAGAGGAAGGCAGGGAGAGGAAGGCAGGGAGAGGAAGGCAGGGAGAGGAAGAAGAGGCAGCATCACCACCATCGCCGCCAGAATCACGGCCATCAGCAGCACGGCCCCTGAGAGGTCGTGTGCTATCACCGCTTCAACTTCTGTGAGTTGAAAGAGCTCCCACGCTAGGGGTGGCGGAGGGGAGGGAGGGAGGGGAAGAAGGAGCATTAGCAGCGGCGGCGGCGGCAGAAGCAGGGGAAGCATCATACACTCTCGCTCGACGCACATCAATGCGCCCAGCCCATCTCAAAATTGTCTCTCCAGTGCGACGCAAAAGCGTCGCTCCAAAGCCAAACGCATTGAAAGCTCGCATGAAAGCCTCAATGAAGTTGAAAGCGAGGTTGCATCGAGATTGCATTAAAATTGCAACATCTTGCATTAAATGGATTCAACTCACCGTGACGAAGCCGAATGCATTGAACGCCCGCGTGAGAGCTTCGATGAAGTTGAAAGCGAGGTTGATGATGAAGAAGAAGCACTCGTTGGCTATGCACCACGCCCGCACACCCCGGATCTAGAGTGTGGATACATGGGAGGAACGAGGCAGGCACAGTTGTTGCAGTGAGGGTGGGGTGGGGTTGATGATGAAGAAGAAACACTCGTTGGCTATGCACCACGCCCGCACTCCCCGGATCTGGGATGTGGTTGGCGTGGTGGTGCATGTGGGAGGAGACATGGACGCAAGAGCTTCAATGAAGTTGAATGCAAGGTTGATGATGAAGAGGAAACACTCGTTTCCTATGCACCGTGCTCGCGCTCTCCGAATCTAATTTGAGGTATGGGGATGCGTGCAAGAGGAAACATGAGTGGGGAGAGGAGGAAGGTGTTGATGGTGGGTCTGGGTGAGTGTCCAATGGGTTTGAATCGTTCACGCGGGAGTGTAAATGTGCGGAGCACGTAAGGCTGCGAATTTGACCGGAGAAGCACGCTCTGGAACTTGTGGCAGCGGTACTGCCCGGTGTGGTGGCGAGAGCCAGTGGGAAGGTAAGGTAGGGCGGATTGGAGAGGGACAATGGGAGAGCGGGACTGAGGAGGGAGGCTGGGGGAGGAGTGGTCGGAGCAGGCCTCCGGAGAGCATGGTGATTGAGCCTAAAGCTTGCTCCAACCACTCCTCCCCCAACCTCCCTCCTTAGTCCCGCTCTCTCATTGACCCTCTCCAATCCGCCCTACCTTACCTTCCCACTGGCTCCTCAGCCACACCAGACACTGCCGCTGCTACAAGTTCCAGAGCGTGCTTCCTCGGCTAAATTCGCCGCCTCACGTTCTTCGCACGTTACATGCTCCCACGGGAACGATGTAGTCATGAAAAGCAAGAAACGTCATGCTGTTCCGCTTCGCGCGTATCGCGTCGATCCCCTCAGAGTTGAGGATCCCGTTAACTAAGTGTTTCATTTCAGCCGTTTTATCCTCTGTGGTCTCATTGGTGAGCAGCGTGAGTTAAGGCTGACCATACGTGCAGCCTTCAGCTCTTCTTTCCAACTGCTCTGCCCCTTGTCAGCCCCTTGGACGCACACCACATTTTTTGAGGCAGTTATGAAGTTGAATGCAAGGCTGATGATGAAGAAGAAACACTCGTTTCTTATGCACCATGCTCGCACGCCCCGGGTCTAGCTTTTGAGTATGGGACGCTGGCACAAAACGGGGGGAGCAGGGGTAGGCACAATGCGGTAATGAAGTTGAATGCAAGGTTGATAATGATAAAAGAACACTCATTGCCGATGCACCAGGCGTGCACTCTCTGAATATGATGTGAGCGGGTATGGGAAGACAAGGTGAAAGGTTGAAATCAGGAGATGAAGTTGAATGGAAGGTTGACAATAAAGAAGAAACACTCATTGCCGATGCACCAGGCGCGCACTCCTCGGATCTAGTGTGTGGGGGTAGGGTGCAAAGGGAGGAGATAGGGGGTGCAAGGTACAAGAGCAAGGGAGAAGCAGGCACAGTAGGTTGTGAAGGGGGAACAGGGGCAGGGCAGGGCATGCACGGTGGAAGTGGTGAGGGAGGCGAGATTAATGATAAGGAAGCACTCCTTTGCTATGCACCGCACTGCCTTCATCCCAATGGACTGTCAATCCTCACCATCCATCGGATCACTCGAATCGGAGGGCTGAAAAGCGACCCGTAGCAGATGCTCCCAAGGCCAATCAGAGCATGCCACGTGGCCTCCAGAGTGACACGCCCCGGCGCCAGCTGGAACTGCTGAGGTGGCACCGCAGCACCCCCCCGCCCCTCCTCTGCTGCAGAAGCCCCTTCCCCCGCTGCCGCTGAGCTGGCGTTCTGCTCCGCTGAGCTGGCGGCGAACCACGCTGACATCACGCCAGCTGTCACCACGTGCACCATGTTGCAGACGACCGCCGCCGTCCAGAAGATACTCATGGCGAAGAGCTGACGTGGCAGCGGAGGATTGGTTGGCCGGGCGGGTGGGTACATTATTAGACAGACCAGGAGGAATAGAAAGAAAACAAAGTGCAAGGGATGGAAAAAGGACAAGCAGGATTCGAGAGTACTCAACAACCAGCTTGAAAGGGAAAAGCTGGTAAAAGCTGTCTTGAGTAAAACAACTTGCTATAAAAAAGGTTCTAAGCGCAACAAGCTGTGGTAGTTCGTTCCGTTCCAGCTTTGCCTGCTGGGTCCTGCAAGACGCTCCCCCACATGCCACCACCCACAGGTCCCCCCCAAAAAGCAATGTTCTGAGGCGTCTCAAAACATCACTTTTATCACGTCCTGTGACCACCTCCCCCACATGCCACCCGTCCATATGTCTCCCCCAAAAGCGCCCACAGCCAAACATGCATAACCCGGCCAACCCTGCTCCCCAACATGCATAACCCGCCTAACCCTTGCATACATCGCAAGCCCCCTCCCTCCCCACCCTCTCATCCCACTCCCCGTCTCCCTCTCCCCCCCTTCACACAATAAATCCTCACCAGCAGAATCCACCACCGTTCCAGCTTTGCTTGGTCCTGCGCCATGATCCCTGACACGCCGAACGTCCACACGCCCATCCACGTGGCAAGCAGCAGTGCTGCCACGTGGGCGAAGAGGATGAGCAGTGGGAATCCCCTAGCGAATCCCAAGGCTCTACGCACAACCAGCATAGTGTATGCGATTCTGCATAAAGGGAGGAGGGGGGAGGGGGGGCGAAAGGAGGGGAAGGGGCAGTGGAGGAGGGAGGGCGAAGAGGATGAGCAGGGGGAAGCCCCGGGCGAATCCCAGGGCTCTACGCACAACCAACATGGTGTATGCGATTCTGCAAGGGGATGGGGGGAGAGGGGACGGAAGGGGGGGACGGGCAGGGGAGAAAGGGGAGGGGGAGGGGAGGAGAGCGGAAGAGGATAAGCAGCAGGGGGAGGCCCGGGGGAATCCCAAGGCTCGTCGCACAACCAGCATGGTGTATGCGATTCTGCAAGGGGATGGGGGGGAGACGGGAGGAGGGGGGGGAAGGGGCGGGGGACGGGAGAGGGCAACGAGGATCAGCAGTGGGGAGCCGCAAGCAAACCCAAGGCTCGTCTCACAACCAGCATGGTGTATGCATGCAATTCTGCATGGGGGTGGGGAAGGCGGGAGGGGCGCGGGGGAAAGGGCAGGGGACGGAAGAAGATCCCTGAAAATGATCCTTATCCCAGAAGCACATGACACAATTTTGACTCTTCAGTAGTTTGATAATACTCGATATAACCCACCTCGTTAGTAGCACATAACAACGTGTACAGTCACTCACCTATCCACCACCGCAATGGCGTATACGAATTGCAGCACGGCGCCTATAGCAAAGAAGATCCCCCAAAAGTACTTCTTATCCCAGAAGCAAAACACGCTAATACTCGTTATAACCCACCCTGCTAGTAGCACATAACAACGTGTACAGTGACTCACCTATCCACCACCGCAATGGCGTATACGAACTGCAGCACGGCGCCTATAGCAAAGAAGATCCCCCAAAAGTACTCCTTATCCCAGAAGCAGAACACGCTAATACTCGTTATAACCCACCTTGCTAGTAGCACATAACAACGTGTACAGCCACTCACCTATCCACCACCGCAATGGCGTATACGAATTGCAGCACAGCGCCAATAGCAAAGAAAATCCCCCAAAAGTACTCCTTATCCCAGAAGCAGAACACGCTAACTACCGCTATATACGTCGTCAGCACATGTACTACCACTTTAATCGCCATGTTAGTGTAGAAAAATAGTAGCTGCAGCAGAACCGTCCCCGCTGCTAGCGCCACCGCTGCTGCTACCATCAGAACCGGCCAGAACTCCTTTGTAGAGTGCTCAACAGGCGTGCTGCTGCTGCTGCTACTGCTACTGCTGCTGCTGCTGCTGTTGCTGCTGCTGCTGCTGCTGCTCTTGGTGTTGCTCGGAGGCGAAATCGTCCACTGCGCACAACCGATCCGAATCGACGCGTATCCCGTGCCGGCTAGACATGCTAAGAAGAGAGCCAAGAAGAGAAGATCGTGCGGTCTCCGCGGTTTCCGGATCGACGGATCTAAGGACGGCAGCGACCGGCCGGCACGGAGGCCACTAGAAACGCGACTCGACGGGTGGGCGGAGTCTAACGAGTGGTGACTTAAAGGAGAGGAAGATTCCCGGGCGGAAAAACCATGGGCGGAAGAGAACGAGTCGCGGGGGGAAAAAAACGTGTCCCCCGCAGCGTCGGAGGGGGGAGTGGCAAAGGGGGAAGAGTCGGGGCGCGCTAGCGGCGGAACGGCCGCGGCGCCGCCGCCGCGCGCGGAAGGCGCGAAGGCGGACGGGGGAAGCGGGGAGATGGCGGAAGAGGAGGGGCGTTGCGGGGGCGCAAGAACGATCACAGCTGGCGTTGCGCCTGGCGCGGTGGCGAGCGGAGCGGCGGCTGCGGCGGCGGCTGCGGCGTCGAGGCGCGACATGTGAGGATTACCAGCAAACGCGACGCCATATCTATGCTCTGCAGGTTGAGATGCGGCTCCAGACGCGGCTCGAGATGTCGGTGCGGGTACCGCCCCTCCAGAAACCGCAGGCGCTGCTGCTGATGGGATTGCTGACGGTGTGGATGGCACGTGGGCGGCGGAGGAAGACGGGGACACGTGGCTGGCGGTTTGCTGAGAGCGTGACGTGGCGGATGACGAGGAGTCTGACGTGGAGAATAAGTCGGTTAAACGCCAACCCATGGCGGAAAATAGATCGACAAACTAGATTTCAGAAATTCCAGCCGTGGAAAGTACGGGTGTGCGTGATGAAGCCAAACCAGGTAGTGCTTGCCAATTCGGGCTGAATCCGCATTGTACTACGATATGATATGACCCCTGTCTGTTGGTAATCGTAGTCTCAATATCAGAGTATGACCAAATCGCGATTGCCACCTATGAAATGACGCGGAATGAGGCGACCCGAAACTCAATGACTAGGCAGCTACCAACAAACTGGCGGGTGAATCCATACGGCCACATTAGCGACACGTGTGTCTAATCGCAATCAGAGCCGCGCCGCTTCGCAGGTGGCTCTCGCGCGAAGCGAGGTGGAGTAAGCTACACAACCAAAGGCGTGGAGGAGAGAAATAGTCGCGATGCAAGAACCAGGAACGGAAAAGCAATGAGTAGACACTAAACTAATCGGCAACAACTGGAATCACGCTAAGCAAGGAAGACATAGTGTTGGGTTCAGCCTGCCGTGAATGTCGCTCTTGTGGAGTGTCCCATTTTCCCGTCTACTTATCACGGTTCTGTTCGGTAACTTACGGTCAAAAGCGTTGAATGTTACAACCGGCTCATACCCGGCGTAACCGAAATGAACGATCCGCAGACGAACTCGCGGGAAAATTCGTGTAGGCCACAGGCTGGCCTTTCCAAGCAGCCGAGCAGAGTTCCGTGCGGCCGTCAAACCTTCAAGCACCTGTGTGCTGTAGATTATCGAGGCCGACAGATCGGATGGTACAGGTTGATCCGCTGCTGCTGCTGCGCAATTGGTCGGATTCGTTTGCCTTGGAACCAGGCAGACTGCTTGACGCTTGGTTCAGACAGGTTTTAGTTCCAAGCCAGAAATAACCGTTCTGTAACGTACAGAAACGTACATAATCGTATTTGAACAAAGAGTTGCAGATGGATGTCAGAATTTTTGGAGGCTTGGGATGGTTTGGGGTTCCGTACCCGAACCCGTTCCCTCCTCAACTTGGAGGAAGAGCACACGAAAGTGTTGCCGTGCCAGTGGGTGACGTGTGCATGCATGCGTCGAAAATCTTATCCAATCACAATCGAGATTTCCCGCTGGAAGCCAAATGTGAACAGACTGGCGTTACCTCCACCACACCGTGATGATGTCACCATTATGCTAGTGTATTAGATACTTCGATAAACGTGAATGAAGTGCAATGCGAACTTCACATGCATACATGAGTAGTTTGTCCTGCCAATGTTTCCGCAACCTACTTAGGTGTAAATTCATCAAACGTCTCCTTTGATAAGCCTTGCTTTTGGAAACCCGAACCCCCTTCCCAGTCTGTCCCGCATTCTAGTCACACATCTCCCTTGGCGACTCTCTTCGTTTCAGCCCACAGAAAGCAGCCTCTCCTTTCACCGTAAAAAAGCATAGCACCCAATTCGCGTAATCTAACCTTAATTTCCCGGTTTTCGTACTCTCCGGATCGTTGTTGACGCATGGCGCGGAGCCGCAAGTCGCGGAAGGGGAAGAAGGAGTGGCGGCGGAACATCAGCACGGCGGACCACGACAAGTTCCTCGAGGAGAAGGGCCGCGACGAGCGCAGCGGCGGCGCGCTCGACGCCGTTCCCAGCGAAAACATCTTCTTCGTCGATAAGTCCAAAGGTAGTCGAAGCATCAAATTTAACTTTTATATTTTAGGTGCATCATAGGTAAACTCGACGCCGTTCCCAGCGGAAACATCTTTCTCGTCGATAAGTCCAAAGGTATGGCGCTCGTCGCCTCGTCCCAACCACACTTTTCCCTCGCAATACCCCGTCATTACCCTCGCGCCACTCATCGCTCCTCCGCCGCCGCTCTCCCCTTTCCCCGCCAGTTGCGCCCAAGATCCGCAAGGTGGACAAGTGGCGCGCGCGCGAGTCCCACGCGGACGCCGTTCTCAAGCGCAGCTTGCCCCACCCCGCACTCCCGCCCTCCCGCCTCCCCCCCTCTTCCAGTTGCGCCCAAGATCCGCAAGGTGGACAAGTGGCGCGCGCGCGAGTCCCACGCGGACGCCGTTCTCAAGCGCAGCTTGCCCCTCCCCGCACTCCCGCTCTTCCGCCTCCTCCCCTCTTCCAGTTGCGCCCAAGATCCGCAAGGTGGACAAGTGGCGCGCGCGCGAGTCCCACGCGGACGCCATTCTCAAGCGCAGCTCGCTCGTTCCGCCGCTCGTTCCCGAACCCTCCCCGGCGCGCTCCAAAAGCAGCGCTAAACCTTCCGATAAACCCGTTGTTAAACCTTCGGATAAATCCGCCAATGCATCTTCGGATAAGAGGAGGAGAAACTCTGAGGATAACTCTGAGAATGCGCTGGCGTCCGCAGAAAGAGGAGGAGGGGGAGGAGGAGGGGGAGGGGCAGAGGAGAGTGGGGATGGCAGCGGAGGGGAGATAGTTGCAGCAGCAAGCGGTGAAGCGGCTAAGGCTACAGTTCAGATTGCCGGCACGAGTTCAGACCGGAAAGAAATTGCTGCTGCGGATTCAGGGGTTGCAGGAGGAAAGAGACGCGCCAAGAAGGTGCGAGAACGAGGGTTTAGGATTACGGGGTTTGTGGTAATTAAGGTTGCGCGATTCAATATTAAATTCTAGGCTTGTAGACAGCTGTTGAGAGTTTCTCAACCCCGCGGGTTTAAGGAGGTTTCGGATTTTCTTCTTACCGAGTTCTGGGCCTGGGTTGTGGGTTTTTGCAGGCACGGAAAAACTCTCAGAAGCCGCTGTTCGACCTGTGGGCGGACGAAGGTGAGATGGAGGGAAGGGTGTGGGAGGGAGGAGTGAGGAAGTGGAAGAGGAAAATGGGGTGGGCAAGGCGGGTTTTGGGGTTGTGCAGGCGAGGAAGAACTCTCAGAAGCCGCTTTTCGACCTTTGGGCGGACGAAGGTGAGATGGAGGGGTGGAAAATGGGTTGGGTAAGGCAGGTCAAGGGTTTTTTGGCAGGCAATAAAGAACTCTGAAAAGCCGTTTTTTTTTTAAATTGTGGGCGAATGAAAGTGAGATTGGGGGGGTTGGATGATGGTAGGGCGAGGTGTGAGAAGGAGGGGCGAGGTGTGGGAAGGAGGGGCGAGGTGTGAGAAGGAGGGGCGAGTTGTGGGAATGAGGGGCGAGGTGCGAGAAGGAGGGGAGGTGTGGGAAGGAGGGGCGAGGTGTGAGAAGGAGGGGCGAGGTATGGGAAGGAGGGGCGAGATGTGGGAAGAGGAGGGGCTAGTGGGATCTGAATGGTGGGGATGGGACGGGGTGGGGCCGCGCGTTGATGTGCAGGCACACTGGGCCAAGGTTCTAGCGATTTTTTAGACTTTTTAAAATCGCTCAATGCCTCAATGGGAAGGGGTGGGGCTGTGCATTGATGGGAAAGCTTGGCCTTTCAGCACGGCACATCAACTGGGCCAAGGGCCAAGGGGGAAGGGTGAAGGGCTTTGTGCGGATTCACCCTCGTATGTGTAATCTCCTGTGCCTGGAGGGGATTTTGTGTGCTGTAGTAGTGTGTAACCACCTGCGTTTGGTGTAACATTCGTGTGTTACCATGTGTGCAGACCTAGCCGGTAACCGCCGCGCTGTTCGCGCCACCGACAAGGAAACTCCAGGAGGAGGAGGGGAGGTGGGGGAGAGAGTGAGGAGGAGGGGCGATGGGAAGATGATAGGAGGCAAGGAGGAGAGGAACAAGCCAGGGTCTGCAATCCCTGCAGTCGAGATCGATGCTCCTGGGTGCTCCTTCAATCCCTCCGTGGAAGAACATCAGGTAGGTTTCACCGCTCTTAACCAGGCAGCACACCACCAGTGTTTGCTGATGCAATTTCAGGGTCTGCAATCCCTGCAGTCGAGATCGACGCCCCTGGGTGCTCCTTTAACCCTTCAATCGAAGAGCATCAGGTAGGTTTTGAGTCGACTCAAAACACAGGCGGTGGGAAGATGATAGGAGGCAAGGAGGAGAGGAACAAGCCAGGGTCAGCAATCCCTGCAGTCGAGATCGACGCCCCTGGCTGCTCCTTCAACCCCTCTGTCGAAGAGCATCAGGTACCTTTTCCACCGCTCTTAACCGGACAGCACACCACCTGTGTTTGCTGAGGAATAAGCCAGGGTCTGCAATCCCTGCAGTCGAGATTGATGCTCCTGGGTGCTCCTTTAACCCTTCAGTCGAAGAGCATCAGGTAGTTATAGGTTTCACCGCTCTTAACCGGACAGCACACCACCAGTGTTTCCTGATGCAATTTCAGGGTCCGCAATCCCTGCAGTCGAGATTGATGCTCCTTCAATCCCTCTGCTGAGGAGCATCAAGTACTTTACACCGCTCTTAACCGGTTTCATGTAGATGAAGGCTTCACCTCACTTAACCGAACATCACCTGTGCTTGTTGAGGCATCATGAGGGTCTGCGTCTCAGCAGTTGAGATTGACGCTCCTGGGTGCTCCTTCAACCCTTCTATCGAAGAGCATCAGGTACACTCTTCTCCCACGCCCGTGCTTTCCCTCACGCCCCGTCCTTTACCTCTCTCTCTCCCTCAGGACGCAATCGCAGGGGCTTTAGCGGAGGAGCTGAGGGAGAGCTACCAGGCAGCGCTAGCACCCACGCCGCCGCAGCTGCTGGCATTTTAGCATAGCTCTTTCCTTTCTCCCTAGTTTCCCCCTTCACTCTGTTCCCCCTCACTCTGTTCCCCCTCACTCTGTTCCCCCTCACTCTGTTCCCCCTCACTCTGTTCCCCCTCACTCTGTTCCCCCTCACTCTGTTCCCCCTCACTCTGTTCCCCCTCACTCTGTTCCCCCTCACTCTGTTCCCCCTCACTCTGTTCCCCCTCACTCTGTTCCCCCTCACTCTGTTCCCCCTCACTCTGTTCCCCCTCACTCTGTTCCCCCTCACTCTGTTCCCCCTCACTCTGTTCCCCCTCACTCTGTTCCCCCTCACTCTGTTCCCCCTCACTCTGTTCCCCCTCACTCTGTTCCCCCTCACTCTGTTCCCCCTCACTCTGTTCCCCCTCACTCTGTTCCCCCTCACTCTGTTCCCCCTCACTCTGTTCCCCCTCACTCTGTTCCCCCTCACTCTGTTCCCCCTCACTCTGTTCCCCCTCACTCTGTTCCCCCTCACTCTGTTCCCCCTCACTCTGTTCCCCCTCACTCTGTTCCCCCTCACTCTGTTCCCCCTCACTCTGTTCCCCCTCACGATGCGAATTGCAGTGGCGGAGGAGCTAAAGGAGAGCTATCAGGCAGTACTGGCGCCCACACCGCCTCAGCTGCCAATGCCCCACCCATGCACCTCGCACCAACCGCTGTTTCTTGCTTTCTTCACGCGCTCTCTCTCCCTCCTCCCTCAGGAAGCGATAGCAGTGGCAGTGGCGGAGGAGCTAAAGGAGAGCTACCAGGCAGCAGCACTGGCGCCCACGCACGCCCCACCCCTCCTTTCCTCACACCCTTTCCTCACCTTCTCCCCCTTGATCGTCCCCTCTCAGGACGCCATTGCAGTGGCAGTGGCAGAGGATCTAAAGGAGAGCTACCAGGCAGCACTGGCGCCCACGCCCCATCTCACTCCTCTCAACCGTTCGTCCTCCCCACATTACCTCACTCCAACAGGACGCCATAGCAGTGGCAGTGGCGGAGGAGTTGAAAGAAAGCTACCAGGCAGCACTGGCCCCCACGCCGCCGCAGCTGCTGGTGTCGTGTCAGTGCCCCACCCTGTGCCTTGTTTCCCTCACGCCCCATTCGTGATCCCTTGTCCCAACAGGATGCGATAGCAGTGGCAGTGGCGGAGGAGCTGAGGGAGAGCTACCAGGCAGCGCTCGCCCCCACACCCCCCCAGCTACTGGTGTCGAGAGCAGAAGAGGAGGAGGCAAGGATGCAGGAGGCAGCGGTGAGAATGGGATGGAGTGCGGTGGAGAGAAGTACAGTGTGATAAGTGTGGTGTGGGCATTGTAAGTGAGGTTGCACCAGGCAGCGCTGGCACCCACGCCCCCCCAGCTGCTAGTGTCACTAGCAGAGGAGGAGGAAGCGAGGATGCAGGAGGCAGCGGTAAGAATGGGTAGAATGCGGTGGAGAGAGGTACAGTGTGATATAGTGGTGTGGGATTTTGTGGGAACCAGCAGGCAGCACTGGTACCGATGCTACTGTAGCTGCTGGTGTCACAGCAGAGGAGGAGGAAGCACGGATGCAAGAGGCAGCAGTGATTCTAGGAAGGTGGAGTGCGGTGAAGTGAGTTACAGTGTGATGGCTGTGGGTGTGGGGATTGTAAGTGAGGTTGCACCAGGCAGCGCTGGCACCCACGCCGTTGCAGCTGCTGGTGTCACGAGCATAGGAGGAAGAGGCAAGGATGCAGGAGGCAGCGGTGAGAATGCAACGAGTTGTCATGTGGGGGAAAATGCATGACAAGTGGTGGGCATACGGGGGGATACGCAAGCAGGCAATGCTGCCCTCTAATGCCACCTCTGCAACGTCTTCTGGTTTTTTTCCTGAATATTGCAGAAAGATATGAAGATATTTTTTTTGGTTGGGGGGGGCACAGATATGTTTTCTTTTTTGATAATAAAATTGATGCACAATTGCTTCCACTCTGACTCCCCTCCACTTCCCCCCCTTCCCTCCTCTCCTTGCCCCCCGTCCTCTCTCTCTTCCATTCCATGCCTTCAGGACTTCTTTTTTACTCAAGGAGGAGGAGGAAGAGGAAGAGGAGGAGGAGGAGGAGGAAGAGGAGGATGGGGATGGAAACGCAGCTGCTGCCACCAAGTAAACAGCCTTTCTTTCACCTTTTTTTCTTCTTCGTTTTACCGTTTATACAACACTGCTCATAATTCAGGCACTCCTCTTTGTCACGTTCTATTTTCTCATCTAGTCGTTTTTTTTTTTTTTTTGCTTCTCTTTTTCTCCACTTTTTTAAAAAATCAGCGTAATACATCTGTTTGCACACGCCCAACATACAGTCGGAGCCAAACCCCAATCCTACCCTACTTTTGTGAATCCTTACCCCCTCCTCATCGACCTTCCTCCCTCCTTCTCGCCCTTCCCAACCCAGACACAGAGTGCCCAAGCATCTGACTCGAGCCGATTTGAACCGGCACATGCGGCACAAATTGGTGGAAGCAGAATTGGCAAAGCGGAGGAAAATGAAGAGGAGGAGGTTTGACGCTTCTCCCCTTGCCTTTTCTCTCCTCCTTTTCTCGACCCCACCACCAGGCTCAGAGTTTCGAAACGGCTCACCAGGGCGGATCCGAACCGGCGCATGCGGAACCGACTGGTGGAGGCAGCAGGTGAAGAAACGGAGGATACTGGAGGCGATAGGTGACCCTTCCCCCCTTGCCTTCCTTCCTCTCTCATGTCCCCTTCCTCTTCCCCACCACCAGACATAGAGTGCCCAAGCGTCTGACCTGAATCGGCGCATGCGGCACCGACTGGTGGAGGCAGAACTGGCGAAGCATAGTAGGAAACTGAAGGCGATGGTTAACCCTTCCTTTTGCCTCCCCTACCATGTCCCCTTCCTTTTCACCACCACCAGGCACAAAGTGCCCAAACGGCTCACCAGGGCGGATTTGAATCGGCGCATGCGGCACAAGTTGGTGGAAGCAGAACTGGCGAAGCGGAGGAAACTGAAGGCGATGGTTAGCTCTTCCTTCGTTGCCTTCCTTCCCCACCTCACCACCACCTAGACACGGTGCCGAAACGCCTGACTCGAGCCGACCTGAATCGGCGCATGCGGCACTGACTGGTGGAAGCAGAACTGGCAAAGCGGAGGAGCAGCCACACGCTCTCTCCCCCACTCCCGTTCCCCATCCTGACCTCCTTCCCCCGCCAGACACAGAGTGCCCAAGCATCTGACCAGGGCGGACCTGAACCAGCGCATGCGGCACCGACTGGTGGAAGCAGAACTGGCAAAGCGGAAGAAACTGAAGGCGATGTTAACCCTTCTCCCCCTTGCCTTCCTTCCTCTCTCATGTTCCCTTCCTCTTCCCCATTACCAGACACAGGGTTCCCAAACGCCTGACTCGGGCGGACCTGAATCGGCGCATGCGGCACCGACTGGTGGGAGCAGAATTGGCAAAGTCACCCCTCCCGTGTCACCCAGTGTCAACTCTCTCCCCTCCCCTACCACCAGACACAGAGTGCCTAAGCGCCTGACTCGAGCAGACCTGAACCAGCGCATGCGGCACCGACTGGTGGGAGCAGAACTGGCGAAGTGGAGGAAACTGAAGGCGATGGTTTACCCTTCCTTCGTTGCCTTCCTTCGTCGCCTTCCATCCCCACCTCACCACCACCCAGACACGGTGCCGAAACGCTTGACTCAAGCCAACCTGAATTGGCGCATGCGGCACCGACTGGTGGAGGCAGAATTGGCGAAGCGGAGGAAACTGAAGGCGATGTTAACCCTTCCCCTCTTGCCTTCCTCCACTACCTCACGACGACGACCACCACCACCACCCACCAGACACAGGGTTCCCAAACGCCTGACTCGGGCGGACCTGAATCGGCGCATGCGGCACAAATTGGTGGAGGCAGAGTTGGCAAAGCGGAGGAAACTGAAGGCGATGCGGAAGGATTTAGACCGGTTGAAAGAGCTTCAGAGGGAGTTGGAGGAGGAGAGAGAGGAGGCGGAGAAGAGGAGAGTGAGGAGGGAGATTGCACGGGTGGAGCTGAGGATGAAACGAGCACCAAGACTGGGACGGCACAAGTAAGTGGGGAAGTGGGTACAGAGTGAGGGGTGAGGGGTGAGGGGTGAGGGGTGAGGGGTGAGGGGTGAGGGGTGAGGGGTGAGGGGTGAGGGGTGAGGGGTGAGGGGTGAGGGGTGAGGGGTGAGGGGTGAGGGGTGAGGGGTGAGGGGTGAGGGGTGAGGGGTGAGGGGTGAGGGGTGAGGGGTGAGGGTTGGATGGAGTGAGGAGGGAGATTGCACGGGTGGAGCTGCGGACGAAGAGGGCACCAAGGCTGGGACGGCATAAGTGAGTGCTGTTGACGTGTTTGACTTGAGTTAACTTGATTGATTGAGGCGCGTGAGGAGGGAGATTGCACGGGTGGAACTGCGGATGAAGAGAGCTCCCAGGCTGGGGAGGCACAAGTGAGTGTGTTGACTGCATTGGAATGACTTGACTTGGTTGCCAAACAAGCGTCCTGTTTGGGCATGTTCGTGCGGGAGTCAGTGGGTGTGCTCACATTGAACGAGGGCTCTGCTCTGCATGACCCTTTCCCCTATGTGAGGTCCCACGGGTCCTCACTCATCGGGGAAGAGCAGCAAGATAGAGATCCTTTTCCCACTCATTGAACGAAGGCTCTGCATGACCCTTTCCCCCCATTCCCTCGCCGTGTACCTGTGACTGTGCTGTGCGTGCGTGCGTGCGCGCTTGCAGTGCGTGTGCCATTTGGTTCTCACCAGGCTTTCGCAGGAGTTTATGACTGTGCTCACGTCGGACCAAGTCACTGTGTCGACCCTTTTCCCCCTCAATAAGTCCATGTGACCCCTCAGTATCCAAGCCAAGCCAAACGCTTCCCTTACTCTGTATCATGCCCACGCTTGTGGTTTCTTCCCACCAGGTTCAAGCCAGAGCCAATGAGTGTGTTGACATCCGATCAAGTCACTGGGTCACTCAGGCAACTCAAGGTAACTTCCGTTCCTCTCCCACCATACCCTGTGTGCGTAAGTGGCTTTTGAGGCCCCTTAAAAGCCAATGAGTGTGTTCACATCAGATCAAGTCACTGGGTCGCTCAGGCAACTCGAGGTAACTTATGTTCCACTCTTATCCATCCACTGTTGTGTGTGTGCATGAGTATATGCATGTCTGCACTTCATGCCTGCATCCCTACATTACATGCCTCCCTCTCTGCAGCGATTCAAGACACAGAGTTTTTTTTCTCTCCTTCACTCACGCCTCGCCTTCATTCCTCTCTGCTCCTTCTGCTCTTCATGCGTCGTTTCTCTTCAAACCTTCCCTTCCACTCTCTCCCTCCTCTTCTTCTCTCCAGGGCTCCCTCACACTCCTCCGTGACCGCTTCAAGAGCTTTCAGAAGAGAGGGCTGATCGAGACTAGTCGTCCATGTGCATGTACCCATCTGTATCCCCCTCCACACCTCCCCATCTCTCTTCTCTCCCTACCAGGGCTCCTTCACTCTCGTGCGTGACCGCTTCAAGAGCTTTCAGAAGAGAGGGTTGATCGAGACACACGGCCCCACCATGTAAGTCCAGCACTTGCTTGCATACAGGCGCATCCAACCCTAAACCCTAAACCCTAAATTGTCTCAGTCTTAAAGCTCCTCTACTCCCGTCCGTGATCGCTTCAAGAGCTTCCAGAAGCGCGGGCTGATCGAGACACACGGCCCCACCATGTGAGTCCATAGCTTTTCTTTTAGCCCTGGGCACACAAGAAAAGACAGAAGTGAGGGAGATTAGGAAGTGTGGTGGAGGTTCCTGAGGATTTTTGGGTGCTTCAAAATGAGAGGATGTTCATTGTGCTTGCACTCGCTTGCTCCCTTCTTTTCCACTTCGTTTCCTCCTTCGCTTGATCCCATCCCACCAGCAAGCAGTCAGTCCCCCTATCAAGAAAGAGGAGGGTGGTGGATCAAGCCAGTCCGGGTCCGGGGGCGAGGGAGCGGGAGATGCATGCTGAGATGTCTTCCTCTCCCTTTCCTATACATCCTGTCTCCCCCCTACGCCTTCCCTTGTCCCTGTGCTAACAGCAAGCAGTCTCTATCGAGGAAGCGAAGGGTGGTGGAGGAGGGCAGTCGGGGAGTGAGGGAGCGTGAGATGCACGCTGAAAAGACCTTTGTTCCATCCATTTCTCCCTTTGTGTGTGCAGCAAGCAGTCCCTATCAAGGAAACGCAGGGTGGTGGAGCAGGGCAGTCGGGGAGCGAGGGAGCGTGATGCATGCTGAAATGACCCTTTTCCTTCCCTTCCATCCCCTTGACCAAACAGCAAGCAATCCCTGTCACGGAAGAGGAGGGTGGTGGAGCAGGGCAGTCGGGGGGCGAGGGAGCGGGAGATGCATGCTGAAATCCAGGCCATGCGGGCGGCAAGGCACGAGACCAAGAAGGCTGCGGCAAAAGCTGCTGCAGAGTCTAGCAACCTGGAGTTGTGATTCTTTCGCGTGGAGTGTTTTGCCTCTTGAGGCGTGCCTTATAACGAGGGTAAAGCCATGCGCGCGGCGAGGCAGGAGACCAAGAAGGCTGCGGCAAAAGCTGCTGCAGAGTCGGGCAATTTGGAGCTGTAGATTTTGATGTGGGGTGCTTTGAGGCGCGCCTTGTGGCGAGGATAAAGCAGTGCGTGCAGTTTTCAGGCGCCTCGAAAGCTAATTTTGCTTAGAGCAATGTAAAGCTCTGAGCAGAAGCATCTTGAGTTCCTTGTAACGATAAGCTGCAGGAGTAAAGCAGGGAGCAACAAGGGTTGATCTTCCGTAACAATCCTTGTGCTGGCTTCTCACTCACCCTCGTATTTGTAATATATCGTGTTTACCACTGCTGGTCCTAGCTCAAAACATTCTAGCTTCCTTTTGTGAGGAAATCCTTCAAAAGTATAAGCACATTGTTTCTTTTTAAAATTATAACGGTTACCGAGTTTGGTGGAGTGCGTACTCCCTTTTCCCTGAATTGACCGTTGAGTTGGGGACCAGTGGATTTGCGGCTCACCCAATCGAAGCTTTCGCAACGGTTGTCCTGTACGTCAGCAGCCAGGCTCAAAATTGTTTACGCTGCCCGGAACCGTTCGCCCTGCCAAGCACTCCGTCAGTGCGGCGTTCTCAGCGGAAAAGCGAAATCAAATTCAATGTTGAAATTTTACGAATCCTCCAACAAAGCCCAACAACCGTAACTCGTCGGCAGATGAGTCTTTCAGGGTTGTGGTGGATTTGAGCGGGATGAAATTCGGTAGGTGTTCCGTGTGACCCTTCGGGGGTCTTTGAAGGTTCAAAATCACTCGAGAAGGCTCACACAACGCTCAAACTCCTTGGGATTCTCCGTCGGTGTTGCTCTTTCCACCTTGTTGCGACTTCGTCTGCTGGGTTAGCGAGATTATTAGGAAATCCTTCTTCCCCCTTTTGTTCGGCATGACCTGCTAAGTTGTCCGCGTCCCGAGCCCAGCTACCAAGATTCGAAAGACCCGTTTTAGTTGGATTCCCCGAAAGAACGCTTTTGCAGTTTTGCATGTTCACGGTATCGCTCCGTAGAAACAGTGACTCTTTCACCGAGCTTGGAGTGCATTGTCGAAGCCACTAGCTGAGAGGGTGCTTGCACAGGACGAATTTTCAGCAAACTTCAGGTTTAGATGCATTTCTGGGATACTCTGGCCAAGAAATATTGCATCAGAGAAGCAAGAGGTCGCACAGCAGACGAGAAAGGGTCGAAGCGTGCGAGCAGAGATACAACAAGCCGACAGTCGCCCGTCGACCACCTCCGACTCGCACAGGTATCGCACAGCCGCCAAGCAGTCGTACAGCAGCCGCACAGCAGTCGCACATCGATCGAGCGACATGGCGAATCTGGGATTCTTCAAGGAAGTAATGGCGGAAGCGGTAGACAGGGCGAAGGGTGCCGTGGTGGAGAAGACGCAGGCGGCGGTGGGGAAGGCGAGGGAGATGGTGGGACTGGTGGATGCCTCGGCGGAACCCTCCGCGCCTCCCCCGGAGCCGTCGATTTTGGACGAACTAAATCAGTACTGCTCGCTCACACTGAAACAGGTGCGTTTGTGGAATGGTTGTTGTTTGGAAAGTTGTGGGGGGGAAGGCGGGGGAGGTCATGGGGAAGGCCGTGGGGAAGCCGGGGGGAAGGCCGTGGGGAAGGCCGGGGGGGAGGACGGGGGGAAGGCCGGGGGAAAGGCCGTGGGGAAGATCGTGGGGAAGGCCGGGGGAAGGCTGGGGGGAAGGTTGGGGGAAGGCTGGGGGGAAGGCCGGGGGGAAGGCCGGGGGGAAGGCCGGGGGGAAGGCCGGGGGGGAGTCCGGGGGAAGGCCGAGAGGAAGGCTGGGGGAAAGTTGAGGTCGATTGTGGGTCTGGCGGATGGCTTGGAAATTTCGGCGCCTTCCCGGGAGGCGTCAGTCCTTGTATCGTTTGATCATGCATAATGTGTCACCATCATGTACCATCATGCATTTAGTACCGTCATGTGTTACTTTCCATGCATCATTATCATTTATCACGCAACGTTAGTCACGCATCTTGCTGCATGTCTATGCTGTCTCTCTCTTTCTACGCTGTGTCAGAGAATATACGGCTTTGCCACGTGTCTCTGCATCGGCATCTTCTGCACGCTCATGGTAACCACCTTCCCACCTTCGTTTGTTGACCGGCTTTGTGTGGTCACCTTTTGATAATCAAATTCATTGCCCATCAAGCTCCTGCCTCCCGCTCCCAGCCACTTAACTTTCCCGTGACCATCTCCTCCTACCCATGTCCCTTTCTCCTGATTGAAATCACTTTTGAGAATTCTCAAAAGTGATATCAATATAGCCGCTCTCAGCCACTCAACTTCCTGTGGCCGTCTCCTCCTACCCATGCCCCTTCTCTCCTTCTGATCCCAACGTCAGTCCATCCTTGTCTTTCCATCTTCCATCTAGCTCATATCTTCCACTCCTAGCCACATAACATCCCTCTTCCCCCTACCCCACCCCCCCCCCCACCCCCCTTCCGGCTCCCTCACCTATCCCAACGCCAGTCTATTCTTGTGTTCCCTTCGGCCATCAAACTCGCTCTCACCTACTCACAGCCACTCAACTTCCCATCCCCCATCCCTCCCCCCCCCTTCCCCTCCCCCTTCTCTCTAACCCACTGTTCCCAACGCCAGTCCATTCTTGTGTTCCCACATCCCATCAAATTCGCTCTCACCTACTCGATTGGGAACCTCATGGCCATTGGCAGGTGAGAGGGGTGAGGTGAGGTGAGGTGAGGTGCGGTCAGGTCAGGTCAGGTCAGGTCAGGTCAAGCGAGGTCAGGTTAGGTCAAGTGGGGTCAGGTCAGGGCCTGACAGCGAGCCGGTCAGTGCTCGTGGCCCATCAAATTTGCTCTCACCTACTCACTCGCGTGGCCATTGAAAGGTGAGAGAAGCGATTGTGAGGTCAGGTCAGGGCCAGACAGACAGCATCAACATTTTTCCCACCCACCCCACGTTCAACCCACGGGAGTGCAGGAATGCATCTGGGCATTGTTTTAGAATACTTCAAAAATCCCCCCCACCCCACTTTCAACCCATGAGAGAAGAGATGGTAGAGGCATGCACCTGCGCATGGTTTGAGGCACCTCAAAACTAGTCCCATTTACTCACCCGCATGGCCAATGGCAGGTGAGAGAAGAGATAGTAGAGGCATGCGCCAGGGCATGGGGACGTGCACAGGTACAATCCACATCAAGATGATGTAGAACAAGTCTATATCAAGAAGACCTGGGCAGGGTTCCTAATGTACTTCTCACTGCAGTTCAAGATGATGCAGTGTGCTTTTGAGAATTCTCAAAAGCACACAGCGTAGCGTTCCTAATGGACTTTTCACGGCAACTCAAGATGATGCCTGATCTGGTCCTTGTCCTTTCCCCTGTCCCCTCTCTCCCCTTTTCCGTTTTTTCTTCCCACCTTTCCCCCCGGTTGCAAACAGCACAGGGTTCTTTATAGGCTCAAGATGATGTTCGATCGAACCTCTTCCTTCTCCCTGTCGCCTCGCTCCCTCTTCCTTTCCTACTTCCCTCCGCTCTCCTCCCGCTGCTAACAGCACAGAGTTTCTCATAGGCTTGATGCAGCAGCTCAAGATGATGTTTGATCGAACCCCTTCCTTCTCCCTGTCGCCTCGTTCCTTCTTCCTTTCCTTCTTCCGTCCCCTCTCCCCCCGCTGCTAACAGCACAGGGTTCCTGATAGGATTCACGCGGCAGCTCAAGATGATGTTTGATCCGATCCTTTCCCTTTCCCCCATCCCCTCTTTCCCACGTCCTTAACCCCTTCCTCCCCCGCTCCCACTATTGGAAACAGCACAGGGTTCCTGATTGGTTTCATGCGGCAGCTCAAGATGATGTTTGATCCGATCCGAATTGGTGCCGCGATCGTCTTTGTCCTCTCACTCGTTCTCACGCTCGTTGCTGCTCTTTATGTGAGTGGTTTGCCATGTTTAATGGATATATACATTTCAGATTCTCGCTTGTCGTCAAATTGGTTTCTGCTACCAATGTGAACTTTATCCTGTGCTGTCTAATCTCTGTACACTGAAACATCCTCACACTCCATTCCGGATTAGGCATGCACAGCTTATGATGGTGCTATTGCTGTAACCCATTTGTGTGTTGTTTCGCTGCTGTTAACATGGGTATATATACCCTTCCCCTCGACCTGCCCGTGAGCAGGTTCAAGACGCCCTTCTCACTCTTCTCTGTATCGTCGTGCAAGCGTGCGCCCTCGTATGGTATGTTATATGTGATGAATGTTCGGGCATGTAGCATGAATGTTAAGGCACGTACCAGTACGCGTATGGGTTCACACATAAACGTCTCAAATGTTTCATTCCCTATCCGTCCCACCTTTTTCTCCTTCATATTCCTCGCTTTCTCTTTCCTTCTCCCCTTCCTCCCCCACCCACTCCCCTCTCTTTCCCTTCCCATTCCTTCTGTTTCCCTGACCTCATCAGGTACTCATTAAGCTACATCCCCTTTGCACAGTCGTCTGCTAAAAGGTGCATGCGCATGTGCTACGAGGCGGAGTTTTGAAGTCCGTACAGGATTTGCTTTTCCAGATTTAGGTGTGTGTGTAGGTCAGCAGCACCACAGTTCAGTACCTTCGGTGGTTCATAGTAACTATGTGCCAGGAGGCAGAAGCATATGTAGCACTGCCAGCGGGTGGCTCCAGTAAATTGGTCCTACCGTTGATTAAATCACTTTGCACAGCACTTGAGTGGGTGAATATGTACAGTAAGTGCCAAAATTTAATAAGGTGATAACTAAGCAAATACACCAACTAATATGGCGCCACTGTACACCAAATTTCCGAAAAGATAATTCCACGCAGTCCAAAGAATGGTGACATTCTGCACGCGCAAGTATCCCCCGACCGCAGGGCACAACCACCGCGGCGGGCTTGGCGCACCAATAGAAGCCCCGCCGAAACACCTAAGCGGGATCTAGTCTTGCCCGTACAATTCGGCGCTATAGCCGTCACTATCCAGGACTGCCGTTACCAGCACCACTGGCAGCATGCGAGGTTCGAAGCGCCTCGGATTTTCAGAAAAAAACCGCGTGTTTAGGGTTGGAGCGGGTTACAGTTGGTGTGCACGCGAGCGTCAGCACCACGACCATCACGAGCACGGGCAGCAGCAGCAGCTCGTCCGGCGGCGGACCGACGCGCGGCAACATCGCTGGCAGCAGCAGCACCATCACCATAGAAACAACCGTAACAAGAAACACCGACGACCATGGCGCAAGACTCTGCGGTTCCGCCGCTGCCGCCGCCGCCGCTTCCGCCAGATCGTCCGCGCAGACGGCGCTTTCGCGGAAACCCTTTCTCTGCGTCACACTCGCGTCCGCGGCTGAACTCGTGGCGCAACTTCGGGGGCCTCCTGTCCCCGCTTCCGCCAAAGTTGCGTCCGCGCAATTGTCTGCGCGGAAGCTGGCGCGCGGAGCGGCGGAAGCATGCGCCAGTGGTTCGCGCATCAGCAGGCGGTTCAAACCCCGCTGAGATCCGCTGCCCTCGCCGCTCCGTCGCGCCGACACCCCCGCGAAATCATCCGCTCGACTCCCGCCGATTAAGCTACCAGCAGCGGCGGCGGCGGCTCGGCTTCTAATGTGCGACCCCGAGCCGCACTCCCGCCAGCTCCCGTATCCTTCAGCTCTAAGCGCGTCTGTCTTCGCGCCAAGATGGCCGAACGCGGCGCCTCTACGCTCCGAACGAACCGAGGAGGGCTGCGTGAAGTGCGGAAGCTCTTGAAGCTCAGGAGCAGCTCGGCCGCTGACGTGTGCATGAGAGGCGATGTACGCGTTAGAAGCCGCCGTGGCGGATTCTGCGACGCTTGGGCATCGGCGGAAATGCCGGTTGTTGCAACTACCGGTGCTGGGGGGGTCGCTTTGGGGGCTGAGATTCGGTGGCGACAGAGTGTGCGACGGTGTGTACGACAGCGCGTGCGACAGTAGCGATTTTCCGCTGGCGCCGCCGTGCATGGAGCTACCGGGAGATGAGTCCCTGGAACCGCTGTGAAGCGCGGTGATGAAGTCACGTGGATCCCCCACGACGCGGCGCGGATGGTCGTCGAGAGATGGAGCTGCTGACGACAATGGCGTATTGGATATACACATCTTACTACGTGCTGAAATGTTTACGTCTGAAAGCTACACAATGCTAGTCAACGAGCTTGGGACTTCAAATCTGATTATACTCCGGAGATAAAAAGGCAAGCGGGCTGTCTGCTCTACCAAGATCAAGCGGGGGTATAAGAATTGAGAAAAATGAGTCTCTGCTTAGTAGAATCTGGAAAATGGCGCTGATGCGTTGACGACACATGCAGCGGATTCGACGGAAAACGCTGTTGACGATGCGTGGCTTTAGGAAGGAGCAGGAGTTGGGAGGATGCTTTGACGAGATGTCTGCTAATAATGGAAACGCGGCGAAATGACGATAAGTGCACTGCTCCAGAAGGAAAGCGAGAAACTGCACTCAACGGCGAACTGTTCTTGGAACGGCCAACGAGAGTGTGGAGAGGAAGAGCACGTGGACGTTGAACTGTTTCGAGGGTGGGGTTCCTGCGTAAACAGCGAATTGAAGGGTTTTGTGCGATTTAAGCGCCTTCAAAACGGTTTTGTGAGTCTGATGGTTGGCACCATTGTTGCTTTGATGCGCTGGATCTTGCCATCGTTGCGCGCTGCAGTGGGGAAATATGCGTGTGTGAGCTGTTGCGCGTGGTTACCGCCGAACCGCCCTTGGGTGCCTGTTGCGGGAACGCGGTAAGCGCGCCAAACTGAACCGCCCAGTTCCGCGAGCACGAGGGCAGCACAAGACCGCGGACGAACACGAGCCAGGGAATGGATTTCAAATCTGACGAAGCGTTGGTGATGTGTACATTGCGGGAAACCCTCAACAACACCCGTTGTAGATAGTGAAAGCAGATGGCCTAAATGCATGACGATTTGGCTGTACTAGCCAAACATGGATGGAATTGCCTGTCGTTTGAGTGGTTTGGGAGAATATGATGGCTTAAGAGTTTGAGTCAATGGGGATGGGTATCAAAACCTATCGCTCGGCAATGATTGGAAACCGAAATAACGTCAAGAACCGTTCTGAGGGTGGTTTGGAAAAACCAAATGCTCTGTACTGTACCGTTGCTCGTGTTCCGTCTCACCATCAACCATCAACATCATGCGTGTCATGTCCTCACTGGCTGTGATTATGCGCAGGCAGGATGTTCGATGGGAAATCATCCGCCGTCGTGCCGACGCTGACGTGACAAGCCCAATCAGGAGTTTCATACGCAATTCTCCGAACAGCAGCGCTTTGGAAGGAAGGGGAGAGAGAGGAGGAGAGAGGGGGCATTGGATGGAAGTGGAGGAAACTGGTGACACGTCAGATTCGCACGGCAGCGCTTTTACATCAAGTGGGGTAGGGGGAATCAAATAAAGGGCCGCGGTTCTGCAACAGTGTCAGACGCAATATTTTTTAAGCCCAAGCATTCCGAGGGCGTGCTCACACGACATCACGATTGCTGCTACGAAATTGCCACACAGACCGTCTTTGCAACTCACCGTAAAAATGAGCACTTCTGATAACACAATCAGGTTTATCAAAACACCATCCCGCAATTTTAAGAGTTGGAACAGCTGCTGGCATATTAGTTGAATACGTACCGAGGTAGCGTCACGTCCAGGATATGGCTTGGCCAATTAGCGCGCAGAGTCTCTGCCACCTAGATCAGGAATAGCTTATCCATGTGGGCAGATTCGGAGATTCCGCCGCAGCTGCAGATATTGGTCACGTGATGTGCAATCCCCAAAGATATGGCTCAATTGCATTCTTCTTGAATTTCCCATGTGGACGCACAACACCTATTTTCTAAGAAGTCATACAAATGTTTTATCAATATATTCACAATCTTGATAAAGGCCATCTAAATCATTGTGCACGGGTGCCTTCTGTGTCACTCTTAGTGCAAAACCATCACGCCCTTCTTCAATATTTACAGCTCAATAGTCACAAACCGTCAAGTCGGAAGCCGAGCTCGAGTACTGCTGTAACAAGAATATACGGTACAAACACAAACACCACTATTTCACTGAAGCTTACCACAATGACATGCTTCCTGTAACTGCTACCTGTAACTTCGTCGCGTAACAGCCTCCAGTAACTGGACCATATTTTGGCCTCCTGTTATGAAGCTGCTTTTTGTAACTGTCTCCTGTAACTGCTGCATGAGGCCCAAATCTATGTAGTGTCACCCGTCGTCCTCCATACCCATACCCATCAACCCATCATCCTCTTTTCCTGCCTCTTCCTATTCCATTCTCCCCATCCTCCCACCCCCAACATCCCAGTCTCAACCCTGTCAGTCCATGGTTATTCTTGCCCCTCATCCCCTACCCTGCTAGCCCCTCTACCCTCTTTCCCCGCTACTTCTTCTTTCTCTCCCCCTCATCCTCCCACCCCAAGCACTTCAGTCATGATCCTGTCAGCCCATGGATATTCCTGCTCCTCACCTCCCTACCCTGCTCCTCCCCCCACCCTCTTCCCCTGCTTCTTCCTCTTCCTCTTCCCCTCATCCTCCCACCCCGAGCACTTCAATCATGATCATGTCAGCTCACGAATTTTCTTGCCCCTCACCTCCCTACCCTGTTCCTCCCCCCACCCTCTTTCCCTGCTTCTTCCTCTTCCTCCTCCCCTCATCCTCCCACCCCGAGCACTTCAATCATGATCATGTCAGCTCACGAATATTCTTGCTCCTCACCTCCCTACCCTGCTCCTCCCCCCACCCTCTTCCCCTGCTTCTTCCTCTTCCTCCTCCCCTCATCCTCCCATCCCGAGCACTTCAATTTCGATCCTGTCAGCCCAAAAATATCCACATGTGCATCGAGCTGCGCCAATCGCAGCTGGACACGTGGCAGGTGGGTGCACTGCAGGCAGAGGAGGAACCACATGCTCCTCTCTGCATGTGGATTCGGTATACGCAGCTTCTTACAGGGAGTACGCATTTCTGATCCCTTTCTTTTCGCAGAGGCAGACTTGGGAGAGGAAGCGTCGGAAGAGGGAGCATTGGGAGAGGGAGTATCGGGAGAAGCAGCAGCATTGGGAGCAGCTGCTATAAGAGAGGTAGCATTGAAAGAGGCAGTGTGCAGGGGTGGTTTGGCGTGTCGGGCTATAAACTCGCCCTTGCCTCCGCAGCTCCTGCAGGCATGGCGGAAGAAGAGGGAGCGCCACTGGGGGGAGAGGGGGAAGGGGGGGAAGGGGGGGAGAGAGGGGTTGGGAGGGGCATGCGTGGGAAAGAGTCTTCCCCAATAACATCGCAGCTCCTGCAGGCATGGCGGAAGAGAGAGAGCGCCACTGGGGAATGGGAGGGGGAAGGGGGAAAAAGGGGGGAGAGAGAGGGGGATGGGAGGGGCATGAGCGTGGGGGAGTGTCTTCCCCAATGCCACCGCAGCTCCTGCATGCATGGCGGAAGAAGAGGGAGCGCCACTGGGGGAATGGGGGGAAGTGGGGATGGGGGAAGGGGGAGAGGGAGAAGAAGGGGGAAGAAGGGACGGAAGGGGGCAGAGGAGGTAACCAAGGGGCAGAAAGAGAGGCAGCTTGGCGTTCGGGTTATCAACTCCCCCTTGCCCCCTTTCCCGTCTGGGTGGTTTCCACCCTTTCCTGTCTTTGAGCCCACTGCAGGTCGGCTCATAACACACGGTTTAAATGCGGGAAAGCGATTCGTTGCTCACAGGTCGGAAGGAGGAGACTTCTGTCTGCCCTCGCGGTCGTCTGGGTGGTTTCCACCCTTTCCTCTCGCATTCCTTCTGAAACAGATGCTCGCTCGCTTGCGACCAGAACCGACACACCTGGGAGGATAAGAGAGGGATAAGAAAGGACGGGGAAAGAAAATCATAAAGGCACCTTCACATCCTTTCCTCTCGCACTCCCTCTGAAACCGATGCTCGCTCGCGTGCGACCAGAACCGACACACCTGCAGGGAAAAGAAAGGACCGAGAAAGAAGCGGGAAAAAAACCCTCGCATGCACGCACTCTGGATACGCCACCCCACCCGCTCCTCACGCATTCCTTCTGAAACAGATGCTCACTCGCATGTGACCAGAACCAACACACCTGCAGGGTCAGAGAGGGATAAGATAAGAAAGGACGGAGAGAGCGAATCATAAAGGCACCTTCACATCCTTTCCTATCGCACGCCCTCTTGAATTTTATTCTCGCTCAGCTGAGGCTCGCGTGCGACCAGAACCGGCACACCTGGGAGGATGGGGAGGAGAAGGAACTGACACGCTCGTTCGCTCATTCGCTCTTTTGCTGTATTGAACCTTTCTCGCACACTTCCTTCTCGCTCGCTCTACCCTTCTGCTTCTAGTCCCTCGCGAGCGAGAAGGGTGAGCGAGACGCGCAGAAAGGATTCGTTGCGCTTTCAACCTGGCAGGTCACGCGATCGCGAAAAGGGTAACCATCTCGACGAGCCTAGCGGATGGAAGAGGGTACCTGCGACGCGGCGAGAAGAGTTTTGAACGGCAGTTTCGCGAAGATCGCGGAGAGGAGATCGAGGTCGCGTCGCACCGTAAACTCGTGGAGCACGTGCGGGCGATCCTGAGGTCCCGCCATCTGCGGCGAGCCAGTCGCACACGATCGCTGATCGTTATTGCACGCGAATAGTCGCACTTGCGACGAGAGCTTAGGGAACCATGGGGAGAAGTGCATGCAAGAGGTCTTCGAAAACCACAAATACGGACTGGACAAGAAAAATGAAACCGAGGTGACATGGGATGTACGCCTTAAAACGTTTGGTTGCTCTTCCAAACGTTCTGGTACGATATTGAGCGGTTGTAACGCATCATCAAAAGTCGATTGTGGGAAGCTCTGTACGCGGTATGATCTTACACACCAGGCGAGGAATCTAGAAGTCCCATGGAAATTAAAGGGAGGTAGGCCTTATGGTTCATGCAAAATCACAATTGAGAACACATATCCTATCACAGCGCAAGAGATTCAGCACACATAATCTGTACAGACTGCAATCCTACATGAGGAATTCTAAAGCCTCAACAGTCTTTCAGTGGCAAAGTAAATGCTGGAACCTTAAACAATCAAATAACATGCAAGCTATGTGTGTCAGATTGGTGCAACCTCTTGCATCAAATCCAAAGACACTAACTCCTTCCACTTATCCACAAAATCCATTCGATTTCCCTCCTTGAGCGGCCTTGGAGAGACGACTCAAACATCTCCCCAACAGGAAAACAATTCCGCAGCTGCCTGAGAAAAGACTGATAAGCGGAAGCTGCCCAAGGAACAACATTTACAGCTAGCAGCCCATCCGGTCTTATAACTGTAGCAAGTGACCGGAGGAAACGGGGTGTAGTGAACTCTTTCGGCGGTGCATTGAGGCCGGAGCGAGGATCCCAGGAATCTATATCGAGGATAACCACATGGAATTGGAGAGGGGATGGAGTAGAGGGTGTGAAGTTGGAGACAAGTGGGATGCTGATTGAAGATTGCGATACTTCCTGGTGCTGCTGACTGCAATTTGAGATGCAACCCTCCTTCCGTCTCTTATGCCCCTGCTGCTGCTGCTGCTGCTGCTGCTGCTGCTGCTGCTGCTGCTGCTGCTGCTGCTGCTGCTGCTGCTGCTGCTGCTGCTGCTGTTTAACCTGCACTTTCTCTTGCAGTGCTTCATGCCCAACCTTCTCCCCGCTTCTTGCAAAATGCAACTTGGGTCGCTTCGATTGTATTCCTGCCGCTCTTTGAATTCGGGCTGCAAGTCTCGATACATACTCCCTAGCATCCCCGATATGCACACGAATGCCACCCCCCATCCCTCTCCTTCTATTCCTCCACGCGCTCTTCTCCCTTTCCCTCTTGCCACCCTTCTTGCTCCCGTTGCTCATCACGCTCCCCTGTTCCACCTGCCCCTCTCTCCTCCTCTCCCGCTCCTCCCTCCACTTGATTCGCATTCCTTTTTGCTGAGGCCTTGCATCCAGCCTTCTTCTCCTGTGTTCCACGCGATTCCACGCCCCGCCCGTAAGCCCAAAATACCGCTGTGCCACGCGGTGCATGAGTGTATCAATCTCAACCACCTGGAAGAGAAGGGGTCGGGAGAGAAAAGGGAGTATTGAGGGGAGTGAGGAGTGAGGAGGAGGGTAAGGCTTGATTCCACGAGCCTCTGTGCCACCAGGTGCATGGAGGGGATTGATCACCCCACCTGGTGGGGTGGGAGAGAGGGGAGGGGTAGAGGGCTTTCCAGTGTTCCATGCGACCCCATGCCTGAGCGGTGAGCCCAAAAAGCCTCTGTGCCACGAGGTGCATGAGGGAATCAATCTCCGCCACCTGGTGGGGCAGGGGGGAAGGGAGGAGGGGACACAAGTAGTGAACAACTGCTGTGCGCCTGTCCTGCATTCGACGTGACCCGATGCCTGACTGCTGAGCCCAAAAAGCTGCTGTGCCACGAGGTGCATGAAAGCATCAATATGAACCACCTGGAGGGAGGGGGAATGGGGAGGGGGGAAGGGCTTTTCAAGCAGCCCACAAGTAGTGAACAACTGCTGTGCGTTTTCCCTGCATCGATCGTCATCATCTGGAGAGAGGAGGAGTGAGAGTGAGCGACACAAAAAGAGGAGAGACATGAAAGAGGGCACAAGAGAGCTGAAGGGGGGATAGGAGGAATATGCTGGCAAGGCCAATGGGGCAATACACTCGATGCACGTGATTTACCGGTCGAGGTGACTTTTGAGTCGACTCAAGAGTCACCTTGTTCGAATGGGAGGAATATGTTGGCAAGGCCAATGGGGGAACACACTTGATGCATCTGATCTACTCGACTTGCCTGAATGTGATAGTCTGGTCGGTGCGCGTGCAGGTATATCGGCAGAGTGATTGTTAAGTTGACAAAAAGATTCACTTGATGCACCTGATGTACTAGGCTTGCCTGGATGTGGTAATCTGGCCTGTGCGTGTGAAGGTATACGGGAAGAGTGAACGCGCCTCTTCCCTGTAGAGCAGGCAGGTCGATCAGTGATACATACCTGATGTACTGGGCTTGCCTGGATGTGATAGCCTGGTCGGTGCGTGTGCAGGTATATGGGGAGGGTGAACGCGCCTCCTCCCAACACCAGCACTCGCACTCCCTCTCTCCTTCCTCCCCCTATGCCTCTCTCAAGAGGCGACTGATCCCCCTTCTCCCCATGGATTGCCGTAGCGACTCCCCTCTCTAACAAAGGCTGGACTCTCCCCTCCAAAGCAGGCGCGGCAAGGGGGAATCCGGCGAGGATAGGGGGAAGGTATTTGTGTGTGAGATGTGAATAGTCTGGGACGAGGCGATAGGGAGGAGAGAGGGGAAAAGGAGTACTCCATGTGACTGTACGGAGCGAAGAGTGTGAGAGAGGAGGAGAAGTGCACGATGTGACTATACGGAGAGGGACTTCTGATTGGATGAGGTTGGGGAGGCGGCGGAATCGCAGGCGGCGACGTAACACCACAGGGATCAGCTTGCTTGCGCAATTACTAACTCCGATAGGGTTACCACATCCAGTAGGGTTACAAGCTCCAGCACTAGGGTTACCACCACCATTCGCTATAACTGCTACATCCTCCACTAGCAACGGTCCAGTGAGCCTAGAGCGCGCCACCAGGCGAACCTTCCTGGCAATTACGTCGTCCTGGAAAACGAGCCATGGGATGACTGAAGGTGGGGAGGTGGATGGTGCGTATGGGTGCAGGGAGGGTGGTGGTGGGTGTGCTTCAAACAGGAGTGGCGGTGCGTGTGAGTGAACGGGGAGCGGTGGAAGAAAGGAGGAGGAAGCACAACAGTATGGATGGGAGGGAGAGAAGAGGCTGCGAGGGGCAAGCGCTGTGAGGAGAGGGGCCAAGGCAGCCTTGATTGCACCATCAGCATCATCACTATCATTGTGGTGGTCATTGCTGTCACTATAACCACCAACACCACCTTTGCCATCCCCATGCCTATCACTACCACCACAGCCGCTGCTGATGCTGCTGTGACCAGTGCTGCCACTGCCAGCACACTGCTGCATGAACAGCAAAGGCGCTTCTAGCGTATTCGGAAAAGCTGCTGCAGACCCCTTTGGAGAAGCCTCGGTATTTTTCTGTGGATCTGTACTGAGTTGAGTGGCTCGGCAATCCCAAGGGCTGTTGCTGTTGATGTTGATGTTGCTGCTCTCCGCTTCTCTGCCCGCACATACTGCCAAAAGCTCCCACGTGCTGCCGCCCTGGCCAATCCAATTCCGATCAAATCTCCTCCGCAATCTGCAGTCACCATCGTTACTGCCAGTGGTATTTCCAGCAGATTTCTCATCTGATTCTCTCCAGAAGCTGCTCATCCTCCTGCGCTTCACACAAGTCCTGCTGCACAATCGCGAAAGGTAAACACCGCCGTTACTGCCAGCAGTAATTCCAGCAAATTTCCCATCTGATTCTTTCCAAAAGCTGCTCATCCTCCTGCGCTTCGCACAAGTCCTCCTGCAGAATCGCGAAAGGAATGGCCAGAATCGAGACCCTGCAGCCATGGCTGCTGCTGCGGCCAACACGGGTTGCTTGCACCTAGATCGTTTGAAGCGAGAACTCTTTTGAGTCGACTGAAACAGAGAAACAGACGGCCTGGAGGCGGAGTGAGCGGAACTGGCAGTGCGGCTCCGTCTTGTGACAATAACGAGTCTTCTCGTATTGGCACTCCGGAGCAGCTGCCACTGTCCGCCTGCTGACGTGTACACCCAGTCTCTCTCACTGCCACGTGGTACGAGCATGGCTGCGTGCAGGTGAATATACTGAGGCGGATCCGTGGAGTCTTCGTTTAAATCACCTTCGCCATCAGGAGCATCCAAGACGGTGACTGTAACGAGCGCTTCCGCGACGGATCCACCCCGACCTTCTAACGGGTACAAAAACACTTTCCGCCTTCCCGGATGGAAACCCTCGAATTCGTCCGCCTGCTCCCCTTCCGCTACAGTCACATTCGATCGCATCGCAGCAGTACACGCATTCGAATCCAGGACAGTGCGCATACGCACTCACACAAGTTTTCTACTCCTTTCACCGTTCGGCGCCTTGCTAGTGTACCCGCCTCAACACGCCTCGAGACGCACTCGCATTCAGGTTTCAATTACAGCTCTTCGGTAGAAGAATGAATGAAATTCGTAACGCCGGGATAGTGTATTCCTGGACTCCTACATTCCAGGCGTAATAGTGACGCTACTGAACGCTGCGGTTTGCTTTCTGCGAGATGCTTGTGATCACGGTGCTGATTCGATACAAGCTCATCTGGTGTTGTATCCATTGGTACTGTTTCCGACAATCAGGAGGCGTTTCTTTTCTGCCTCTCCCATGCGGTTCAGTGGGTTTCTTTACGTTTCGATTCGGCTCAAACACTTAACGCCGTGATGCACATATGCCAACTCATTTCCCTCCCACAATAAACTTGGAATGCAGAAACTCATTGTTATGTCCATCGGAGAAGCTGAATAGACAGACGCTTGTAACTTGTATCGAGGGACCCTCTGCCCGCACTCCTTGTGAAGAACCGTTTCCAGCCACCCACCGACTTCACTGATGGGCTATCATGCCTCTAGTCTGGTCTCCAGCACTCCTATTAGGTATTTACGAAATTATCAAATTTCCCAATGTCCATATTATTGTCACTGTCGCTCGGCGAAGCTAGTAGAATCGTGTGAGAGGCCGTCACTTGTCGTTTCGTCAGCAGTCGTCCACGTCGCCAGGCGAGTCAGTAACGGTCGCTCAGCGCGCTCGTCGATGCTGCTGCTGCGATGGACGACGGCGGAGCTGCGAAAACTTACCGTCCGTCCACGTCACCACCGCGCAGCCGCCACGTCACCTTCTGGCTTATCCAAGCCATCCTCGGAATCGCTCTGGTCGCCTGGGTCTCTCGATCGCTCCTCTCTTCTTCCCTGCTCTCGTTCTCCTGCGATCTCTCGGTAAGAGTCTGGCGTATTTTGCATTCCCGTTTCCATTCTCTATCGCCCTGGTTGCCTGGGTCTCAATCGCTCCTCTCCTCTTCCCTCCTCTCATTCTCCTGTGACCTATCGGTGAGAGTCTGGCGTATTTCCCATTCCTATCTCCCGTTTCTACTGTTCTGGTCGCTTGGGTCTCTCAATCGCTTCTCTCCTCCTCCCTCCTCTCATTATCCTGTGACCTATCAGTGAGAATCCGGCGAATTTTTCCTTCCTCTCCCTCTATTCTCTCCTCTCCTTCTGCCCTCCTCCCTCCTCTCCTTCTCTTGCGTTGTATCGGCGAGAAACTGGCTTATTTCCCGTTCTTAATTCCTCCTCTTCTATCTATCTGGTCGCCGGATATGTCGACCGCTCTTATCGCTCCTCTCCTTTTCCCTCCTCTCATTCTCCTGTGACCTGAAGGCAAGCTGGCGTTTGTTTCCCATTCTTATACCTTTCCTCCTCTCATCCTCTCCTCCCTCATCCCATTTCGAGGCGACTCATCATAACCACCCCTCTCCTTCTCACCCCCCTATCCTGTTCGCACCCTTCCCTCCTCACCCCTCATCCACACCGTCATCAGCACTACATCAATGCTACCCTATCAGCCCAGGTACCTCTCCTTTAGATTCGACTCAAAATTCCCCTCTCATTCTGCCCCCTCTCTTTTTCACCCCCCTCTCTTTCTCATCCCCCTCTCCTTGTCAACCCTCCTCTCCCACACCACCATCAGGATCACATCAATGCCACCCTATTGGCCCAGGCACCTCCTTTTGAGGCGCAAATGCTTTCTTTTCAACCTCCTTTCCTTTTCACACCCCTCTCCATTCTCCCCTCTTCCACACCACCATCAGGATCACATCAATGCCACCCTATCGGCCCAGGTACCTCCATCCCAACCCTGCCTCCCTCTTGTGTAACGTTCCTTGCAAGACTAAGCCATTCTTTCTGAAAGTGTCATTTCTTGTGCGCGTAGTTCATGCGTATTTGTGGCTCACTTGGAGTCATATTGCGTGTCATGGCATGGCACATCATGGCATGGCACATCATGGCATGGCACATCATGGCATGGCACATTGGCATGGCATGGCACATCATGGTACGATATGACTGGATGCCTTGTTGTGGCAGCAAGAGCACAATGAGGAGGTGGCTGAAGCGTTAAGTCAAGCCCTACGAGCCCTCATGGTAAGACCATGGCTGCAAGACATGAGCCATTTTGAGTTGACTCAAAAATCGGTTATGGCAGGCATGGCATGCCTTGCTTGTTGTGGCAGCAGGAATACAACGAGGAGGCAGCTGAAGCACTGAGCCAAGCCTTACGAGCCCTCATGGTAAGACCATGGCTGCAAGACATGAGCCATTACGAGTTGACTAAAAAATCTGTTATGGCAGGCATGGCATGCGTTGCTTGCTGTGCCAGCAAGAGCATAACGAGGAGGCAGCTGCAGCACTGGAGAAAGCCATACGTGCCCTCATGGTACGGTGATAGAGAGTGATAATACACCCTGTAGTTTATTTCTGTTGCAGCATTACCTCCGTCCACCCTCCAACCTTCAACCTCCTTCTTCCATCCTTATTTCCTTTCATCCTCTTTTCGTGTGTCTTTGCTCCTCTACCCTTGTTCTTCACATGTATGTACGTATACAATGTGACAAGCCTCATCCCTAGCCAACGCTGCTGCTCCTGCTGCTTTCCTGCATCTGCTGCTCCCGGTGCCCCTCTCTCCTAAAACGCCTTCTGCTCCTCTCCCATTTCTTTTTCTTGCATGCATGCAGGTGGACAAGGCCTTGCCAAAACAAGCTGATGATGGCTACTGCTTATGTTGTCTTTGACTGTTGAGGCGTCCCAAACCCTTCTCCCCTCGCCCATTCCTTTCTCTTGCATGCATGCAGGTGAACAAGCCCTTGCCAAGACTAGCTGATGATGGCTACTGCTTGTGTTGCCTTTGACTGTTGAGGCATCCCAAACCCTTCTCCGCCCCCATTCCTTTCTCTTGCACACAGGTGGACAAGCCCTTGCCAAGACTAGCCGATGCTGCTGTCCGTGCTGCGTTCGTGCATCTGCTGCTCCCCGCTCCTTCCAACCTCTCCTCCTCCTCTACCCCCTCTTTCACCGAGTCCCCACCTCCTGCTTCCAACTCTCAAGCTCCCATTGCTGCCACCACCACTTTCGATCCTACTGACCCAACTGCTGCTATTGATCACACATCTGCTTCTTCTCTTCTGAATAGCCTCTCTTCTGAGGATAGATTTTTTTCTGGATTCTCTACAAATGAGCATGCGGGGTGTGAGAGCTTCTGTGCGACCTGCATTCGCCCCCTCAACTGCTCCCTCGTGCCCTCCTTTCCCTGCTCCTGCTGTCGCCGCCCCGACACGCCTGCTAATGTTGCTGATCTCGATGGGGATTCGGAGGACGGTGACGATGGTGATGGTGATAGTAGTGGTGGTGGGGGAGGTGGTGTGACTATAACAGGAGCTCAGGGTGTTTCAGAAACATGTGAAAAGAGGGAGGAGGGAGGAGTGGGGGAGGAGGGAGGGGAAAGGGAGGGGAGGAAACCGCCTTGTGCTGATGGCGCGGCGGCGGGGCGATGGGTGAACTACACGTGGTGGGAGGCAGACGAGTGTGAGTACAGGTGAGAACAGGCTATTTTTGAGAATTCTCAAAAAACAAGTACAGGTGTGGACAGGCTATTTTTAAGAATTCTCAAAAAACAAGTACAGGTGAGGGCAGCCTAATACACTTCAATCACGTGGATCCTGTGAGACCATTTCTCGTCTGAGACCACACTTCTGATCCTTTGCTTTGGGTCCAAACCCTGTGGCAGGGATTAAACTCTCTCCATCTTCTATGATCCATCCCCTGTGCCTGTCTGCCTGTCTCCTCTCTCCCCCCCGCCCCTCCCCAGCCAGCGAATTCTCTGGACCAGAGCTGTTCGAGCCTCAAGGGTCAATGGATCCTTTTTTTTCGGCGATCAGACCTCTCGAACCCCTCTCCACCTTCTCTGATCCATCTACATCTTATTCCCTCATGCCTGTCTGCTTTCTTACGCCCCCTGCTCTCTCTCCTATCAGTGACTTCTCGGGTCACGAGCTGTTTGAGTGCCTCAAGGGCCAGTGGATCCACTTTTTCGGCGACCAGACCTCTCGAACTCTCTCCACCTTCTTTGCCAAGAAGATGCGAATTAAGAAGGTCGGCATCACACCCCCACAGGGGCTGAAACCCCCCTCCCCACCTCCTCCTCCTCCTCTGTTTCGCCATCCTCCTTCTCTCCCTCCTCCTCCTCTTCCGCCTCCTCCTCCTCCTCCTCCTCCTCCTCCTCCTCCTCCTCCTCCTCCTCCTCCTCCTCCTCCTCCTCCTCCTCCTCCTCCTCCTCCTCCTCCTCCTCCTCCTCCTCCTCCTCCTCCTCCTCCTCTCCCACTCCCACCGTGGATGAAGGTAGAGCTCTTATCCAAAAGGATGAGCGAAGCTCTAACAACAGAAGAAGACTTGCTTATAACGAGGATAATACTGACAGCGAAGGCACAAGCAGCAGCAGCGGCAGTAGTAGTACAAGCAGTAGCAGCAACTTCAATGGAGGCTCTTCTAGCGACAATTCTGATACTGACAGTTCCGATAGTAATGACGGCGACGGTAACAAGAAAGCTAGTAGTGCAAGTGGTGACAGTAGCGAGAGAGCTAGTAACGAAGATGATGAGAGAGAAGCAAGGGTGGGAGCAAGGGGATGGCAGCCGGTCCCAAGGAGTGCAGATCGCCCCACCGTGTCGTATCTCTTCCGAGCGAAAATGGCCCACCAACGCGCCCCTGCAGTAAGTAATGCACGTTTTTATTGGGCTGCAAGGGGAGGGAGTACAAGGATTGCAGCCGGTTCCAAGGAGTGCTGATCGGCCCACAGTGTCTTATCTCTTACGAGCAAAGATGGCCCACCAACGCGCTCCAGCGGTGAGTGGTGTTGAGGGTTGTGCTTTGTGCAGCTGGTGTTGGTGGTGCTTTAGATGTGATAGTAGTGGTGGTGTAGCAGCCCGTGGCAGGGAGCGCTGATCGCCCCACTGTCTTCTATCTCCTCCGAGCCAAGATGGCCCACCGTCGCAGCCCAGCAGTGAGTCATGTTTTGTGGCACTGATGATCATGACTGCTGCTTCTGGTGGTGCGGATGGTACTAATTTCGCCAGTGCTGCCAGAACCCTTAACTTTTGCTGGTGGCGCCAATTTTGCCCCTCTTTCTCATACCCCCTTCATTCCTCTCCTCCTACCCAACCCACTTCCTCCTCCTCGACAAACCAGCCAGGGGACCAACCAGACGACACCGTCAATGACCTTCTTATTCGAGGGCCTTCAGCATATCAACCCCCGCTCCTTGATTTCTCGCCTTCCCTGCTTTCCTTTTCACCTTTCCCATGCCCCCAAACCAGCCAGGGGACCAACCAGAAGACGACATGAACGATTTCTTTTTCGATGCGCTGCAGGACCCCTTAGCGGATCGGCCGGATGTGCTTATAATGAGTATGGGCGCGCACGAGGTGTTTGGGTGGTCCGGGCGGCCGCGCGTGAAGCTAAACCTGACTGTCTTTAAGGAGGATGCGGAGGAGCTGCTGGGGAAGGTGCTGGAAAGCTTCCCAGAGCAGAGAGTAATTTGGTGGAAGGCGCATTATATCCAACAAGGTGGGTGGGTGGGTGGGTGGGTGGGTGGGTGGGCGGGTGGTGGGACGAATGCTTTTTAGCCTCCTAAACGGGCACCTCAATGGTTTTTTTTTTCCGCAGCAGAGGTAATCTGGTGGAAAGCTGGTGACTTTTGAGTCGACTCAAAAGTCAGCTCGGAGCAGAGGTAATCTGGTGGAAAGCGCATTATATTCAACAAGGTGAGAAGCTGTTTAACATTCGGCATTACCACAGCTGCCACCGCTGCCACCGGTTTCCTCTCCTGGCACTTTCTTCTCCCATAGATCACCCCTCTTTCACTTCCACTCCCTCTTCTGTTCCTTGCATGCCCCACCAACCCCTGTTGTTGCAGGCAAGATCAAGGGATAACAACTGTTTGAAATTCCACGATGCCACAGCCGCTCCCAGCGAAGCACTGCTGCCCGCTTTGCAGCCTTGTACTCATCTCCTCCACCTTCTCATCTCCTCCACCTTCTCATCTCCTCCACCTTCTCATCTCCTCCACCTTCTTTTTGACCTCCTTCACCACTCTGCATCTGCAGGCAAGATCAAAGGAGAGCAACTATTCAACATTCGGCGATATCACAGCTGTTACCAGCGCCATGCTTCCTCCCAGTCTGCTGCTAGCTGTCACATCCTTTTCTCTCCATTCCACCTCTCCCCTCCTATGCAGGCAAGATCAAGGGAGAGCAGCTATTCACCACTCAGCGATACCACAGTCGCTACCAGCGGCACGCCGCCGCCCGCTTTGCTGCCAACGGTCATTTCTCTTTCTCCATTCCACCTTTCCCCTCCTATCCGCTTCCCCCCCCACCTTTCCGCTTCCCCTCCACTGTTTGCAGGCAAGATCAAGGGAGAGCAACTGTTCACCATCCGGCGATACCACAGCCGCTACCAGCGCCATGCTTCCCCCTTAGTTCCCCCCATCCCATATTCCATCTCCCTCTCCTGCCCTCCACCCCTCACAGGCAAGATCAAGGGAGAGCAGCTATTCACCATCCGGCGATACCACAGCTGCTACCAGCGCCACGCTGCTGCCCGCTTTGCTGCCAACGGGCACTCGATTGCGGATTTCTATGCGACCACTAGGAGGAGGAGCGAGGCTTGTAGGGGGGAAGGAGGGATGGAGGGGATAAGCTATTGGTACCACTTTCCTCATCTTCCCTCTCTACCCCCTCACTCCCCCACCTGCCTTCTCTGTTTTCTTCCGTGTACTGCCAACGCAGGTAAGATCAAGGGAGAGCAACTTTTTAACATCCGCCGATACCACAGCCGCTACCAGAGGCATGCTGCTGCCCGCTTTGCTGCCAATGGGCACTCGATTGCGGATTTCTACGCGACCACTAGGAGGAGGAGCGAGGCTTGTAGGGGGGAAGGAGGGATGGAGGGGATAAGCTATTGGTACCACTTTCCTCATCTTCCCTCTCTACCCCCTCACTCCCCCACCTGCCTTCTCTGTTTTCTTCCGTGTACTGCCAACGCAGGTAAGATCAAGGGAGAGCAACTTTTTAACATCCGCCGATACCACAGCCGCTACCAGAGGCATGCTGCTGCCCGCTTTGCTGCCAATGGGCACTCGATTGCGGATTTCTACGCGACCACTAGGAGGAGGAGCGAGGCTTGTAGGGGGGAAGGAGGGATGGAGGGGATAAGCTATTGGTACCACTTTCCTCATCTTCCCTCTCTACCCCCTCACTCCCCCACCTGCCTTCTCTGTTTTCTTCCGTGTACTGCCAACGCAGGTAAGATCAAGGGAGAGCAACTTTTTAACATCCGCCGATACCACAGCCGCTACCAGAGGCATGCTGCTGCCCGCTTTGCTGCCAATGGGCACTCGATTGCGGATTTCTACGCGACCACTAGGAGGAGGAGCGAGGCTTGTAGAGGGGATGGAGTGAATTACGACTCGGAAGTGGTTTGGCAACATGTGAAGATTCTCGCTCATATGCTCTGTTACAAACACGCTAACAAAAGATAAGCATTGCGTTGCGATGGAAAGTATTTGTGTTTATGGTTACAAAGATCCCAACACCACATCATTGAGAGGGTGTGAAACGGGGAACGATACCTGAGCGTCGGTCACTCCTCATGAACCAGTAGTGCTGCGTCCATGGATGACAGAGATTGGATACGGGTCGTAAGCCCATACTCTTGAGCTTTGCTGTGCCGCTACTGGTATGCTGTACTCTGGTTTTGGCTACGCGTTTGTGTCAAAGTCAGGTCAGTCCTTGATGCAGGCAAGGAGTGATGGACCAGGCAAAGGCCATTGGCAGAGAATGATTCACTTCCACTTTTGCTTCTGTGCAACAGCACATGTTTTTACAGGGCATCTACTACACCTGAGCTTTTATTCCTTGTCCCAGCCAAACCTTCAACGTTCACTTCTCATCTAGGACAGCCCAGCCCAGTCTTTAATGGGGGCGAACGATTGGCGGTGGATGGGGCAAGGGCCGTGAGCTAAGAGTGCTTTCGTGTGTGCTGCTGTGCCATAGCCCGTATTTCTTCCATGCATCTCAATGCCAGGGTTCATTTCTCGTCCAAGACAGCCCAATCCTTGATGGGGGCGAAGGATCGGCGGTGGATGGGGCAAGGGCCGTGAGCCAAGAGGGCTTTCATATGTGCTGCTGTGCCGTAGCCCTTGTGTTGCTTGAAGCCGTATGCTGGGTAGAGCCTGAGGGACACACAGGGTTAGATAGAGGAGCAACAACTATGGAGTTTGATTTGAGCCGAGAGTACTTTCAAAGGTGCTTTCGTGTGTGCTGCTGTGCCGTAGCCCTTGTGTTGCTTGAAGCCATATGCTGGGCAGAGCCTGTGGGAAGGTGTGGGTATGCACAGAGTTAAAATTGACAGAGCTTCAGACACAGGTGTTGAGGCGACTCTAAAGTCACCTCTGTGCCATGTTCCAAGAGTGCTTTCATGTGCGCTGCTGTGCCGTAGCCCTTGTGCTGCTTGAAGCCATATGCTGGGTAGAGCCTGAGGGAGGAAATAAGGAGGCAGCACAGGGGAAGATGAACAATCAGGGATAGAGTCAGCTGGGAAGTCACCTCTGTGTCTATCCCTTGTGGCGCTCGAAGCCTTATGCTGGGTACACCCTGGAGTAGAATGGGCAGAGTAGCACAAGGGAAGATGATGGCAAGAATGGCATGGCGTGGCATGGCATGGCATGGCATGGCATGGCATGACATGGCATGGCATGACATGGCAGCATTGCATGGTATGGTATGAGATGGGATCAGAATGAGTCTACAGCACCACCAAGCGTATGAAATTTGAGCATTAGACGGTTCCTTGTGTCCTTGTGAAATAAAATAGAGAATGATATGGGATGAGATGGGATTAACACCAACTGTACCTATAAATATGAGCATCAGTCGATCCCTCGTCATTTTGGCGAGTAGGCAGCAGCAATGGCATAGCAGGTGTTGAGACGTCTTGAAACTTGATGAGACGGCACAAGTGCTAACACGAGTCTAGAGTAGACCTTGTGTTAGCACGAGTGCCTTTGTGAGTCGATCCCTTGTCTACTCAAATTTGACTCATACTCACGAGTAGACCAGCCATACCTGTCAAATTTGAGCATGAGTCGATCTCTTGTGACTTTGGCAAGAATGGAAGCAGCAGCGATGGCATAGCAGGTGGCATCACCCTGCAAGCACATCACACGGGCAAAACATAACATAACAATAACATTGTGAGACAGTCTCAGTACATATGTCAAGTCGGAGTCCACTGAAAAGGCACCACCCTGAAAAAGGGGGAATAGCAGAGCGCGATAGCATAGCAGGTGGCATCACCCTGCAAGCAGTTCACGCTGCAAAGAGCAAAAGACGTGATTGCAGTCTAAGAAACGAGTGCGACTTTTGAGAATTCTCAAAAGTTTCACGCTGCAAAGAGCAAAAGACGTGATTGCAGTCTAAGAAACGCGTGCGACTTTTGAGAATTCTCAAAAGTTTCACACTGCAAAGAGCAAAAGACGTGATTGCAGTCTAATAAACGCATGCGACTTTTGAGAATTCTCAAAAGTTTCCCGCTGCAAAGAGCAAAAGACGTGATTGCAGTCTAAGAAACACGTGCGACTTTTGAGAATTCTCAAAAGTTTCACGCTGCAAAGAGCAAAAGATGTGATTGCACTCTAAGAAACGCATGTAACATTTGAAAATTTGTTTGCAACGCTGCTGCACCACTCCATACCTTGACAACCGCCTCGGCAGCACAGGGCTGGCCATCAGGAACCCTGTTGCCATGCACGAGCACATAGTCGGGGGAGGGGCTGCTGGGGTACCATACCATACTGCAGCACACCACATCGTACCATACTGTACCGAACTGCACCGCTCCATACCTTGACAACCGCCTCAGCAGCACAAGGCAGCCCCTGAGGCACCCTGTTGCCGTCCACGAGCACATAGTCGGGGGAGGGGCTGCTGGGGTACCATACCACACCGCATAGTACCGTACCGCACCGCTCCATACCTTGACAACCGCCTCAGCAGCGCACGGCAACCCCTGAGGCACCCTGTTGCCGTCCACGAGCACATAGTCGGGGGAGGGGCTTTTCGGATCCTCAACCACTTTGGCAATAGTGTTGGCCATTGCCAGCATCGTTGCCTCAAGGATATTGACCTTATCGATCTCTGCTGGCCCTACAATGTCCACCTTTACAACAGCAAAGATACAGGATGGACGAGAAGAAGGAAGGATGATTCTTGTAAGAAGTGAGAGAATGGTTCCTGTAAAAAGACATCGTGTTGAGCTTATCAGTCCCTGCTGGGTTTACAACATTCACCTGCACAACACAACAGGGCAGCACAGGAAAGGAGAGAGAGAGAGGAAGGAAGGATGATTCTTGAGAACTCTCATAAAGACAGGAAGAATGGATGATTCCCCTAGGAATAGAGAGTGGATGAACCACAGTGACCATATTAATCTTCGGTGGCCCTACAATATTCACCGGCACCACAGGAGGGATACAGGAAGGAAAAAAGGCATGTGTGACAAGCGGGGGGGAAATGGAGAATGAATAGAAAAAGCAGAGACTTGAAACAACAAGAAGAATGTAAACTTGATGAAAAATAAAACAGCAAAGAAATCAAGAAAGAAAAGATAGAAATAGCAGCAGAATTATGAAGGTAAAAACAAGAACGAAAGGGTAAACTTCAGAACAAAGATGCTATTACACAGCCTCGTATGGCTTCATACTATGCCATCTTTACAACGGACATTTTCGTACAGCCTGCATCACACAGAAAGTGCAACAGCTTCATACAGCGTAAAAGATGTCAGGATTTCCAATGATGGCGTCAAATATCTCCTCCCTTTGCTTCTCCGTGAGCTTCTTGCTGTCTGCTAGCCCTGTGACAGCAAGGGAGGAAGGCAAGAAGGCAGGAAGGTAGGAAAAAGAAGCTTGGATCATAACAATGAGACGGTTTCCAATGTTAGCGTCAAATATCTCCTCCCTTTGCTTCTCCGTGAGCTTCTTGCTGTCCGCTAGACCTGCAAGAGTGAGGGCAGCAGGGTAGTGAGGCAGTACAACCAATGCACTAAGCCCGGCAGATCGCACTAGCAGCAGCGAGCATCCATAAACATAGATATAGCACACTCATGTTACAAACGCCAAACATGCCATAGATATAGCACACTCACCACACACTCAGCTCAGCACCCACCCACCCGTGATCTCCAGCCCAGCAGGCACGACACAAGCAGCTGCCACCACAGGAATGCACGCTTTGTGCACGCTCAGTGTCAGTCAGAACACACACAGCACACACAGCACGCACAGCACAATCCCCTCCCACCTGCAATCTGCAGTCCAGCAGGCACGGCACATACAGCCGCAACCACAGGAATGCACGCTTTGTGCACGCTCAGTGTCAGTCAGAACACACACAGCACACACAGCACGCACAGCACAATCCCCTCCCACCTGCAATCTGCAGTCCAGCAGGCACGGCACATACAGCCGCAACCACAGGAATGCACGCTTTGTGCACGCTCAGTGTCAGTCAGAACATGCACACCACACACAGCACGCTCCCACCTGGTATCTCCAGTCCAGCAGGCACGGCGCATGCAGCCGCCACCACAGGCCCTGCCAGTAGCCCCACCAGAAGCGATGTAGGTATGTTGTGTGCATCTATGTGTCAGTCGAAATATACACACCACACACACCACACAACACTCCCACCTGGTATCTCCAGTCCGGCAGGCACGGCACAAGCAGCCGACACCACAGGCCCTGCCAGCAACCCCATCACCAACAGGATGCAGGTGACAGCCAGCACATACACACCGCACCGCACCGCGCAGCACCCACCGCACGCACCTGCGATCTCCAGCCCAGCAGGCACGGCGCAAGCAGCAGCCACCACAGGCCCTGCCAGCGGCCCTCGCCCCGCCTCGTCCACCCCATACACGTGCTTGAATCCGCGGGACCACAGGGATTGCTGGGGGATGAAGGGTGAAGGGAGTGGGAAGGGGAGGAAGGAAAGGAGGGTTCTATGGGGTCTTGCCAGCGGCCCTCGCCCCGCCTCGTCCACCCCATACACGTGTTTGAACCCCCGGGACCACAGGGATTGCTGAAAGAAGCGCGGAGGGAGAGCAGCGAATAGCACACACACACAGAGTGGTGGCATAGTCAGGGAGGAATGCACCCTGCCAGCGGCCCTCGCCCCGCCTCGTCCACGCCGTACACGTGCTTGAACCCGCGCGACCACAGGGATTGCTGCAGTTTGCAATGGGCACGGGGTGGAGTGGGAAAGGGGAGAGAGGAAGAGCGGTTACAACGTGCCATGCCAGCGGCCCTCTTCCCGTACACGTGGTTGAATCCGCGGGACCACAGGGATTGCTGAAAGAAGCGCGGAGGGAGAGCAGCGAAAAGCACACACACACACTAGGTGGCACAATAAGAGAGGGATGCGCCTTGCTACCAGCCCTCCCTCGCCCCGCCTCGTCCGCCCCGTACACGTGGTTGAATCCGCAAGACCACAGGGGTTGCTGAAAGAAGCGCGGAGGGAGAGCAGGGAACAGCACACCCACACAAGGTGGCATAGTCAGGGAAGACTGCGCCGTGCCAGCGGCCCTCGCCCCGCCATGCCTAGCTTCAAACGCCTTATCCCGTCCTTTCCCCCACATCCCCCCACACCCACCCACCCCTCCTTCCCTCCCCCGTCAGCCCATCCCCCACTCTCCCTTAACTTCTCATCTCCAGCGCCCTGTCCGGTCCTTGCGCCCTACCCGCTCCCCCTGCTCGCTTCCCCCCTCCTCCCCCTCCCCACCCTCCCACTCTCCCCTCCTTACCTCCAGCGCCCTGTCCGGTCCTTGCGCCGGCACTATCCCCCGCTGCTCTCTTCCCCCTTCGCAGCAGCACCACCAGCAGCGTCAGCAGCCCCCTCCCCCTCAACCTTTCCCCCTCCTCTTTCCTCCTTACCTCCTGCGCTCTGTCCGGTCCCACCCCCTCTTCCCCCCCCCAACCAGTCTCCCCCTCTTCCCCCCCAACCAGTCTCCCCCTCTTCCCCCCCAACCAGTCTCCCCCTCTTTCCGCTTTACCTCCAGCGTCCTGTCCGGCCCTTGCGCCCCCTTTCCTGCTCCTCCTGCTCTCTTCCGCTTCGATTCGCCAGTGCCAGCGCCAGCGTCAGCAGCAGCAGCAGCAGCCGCAGCAGCAGCGCGTTTGAGTGAAGAGAACGGTTTGTTGCTCGACCGTTTAGGCGCCTGAAAAGCAGCGCCACGGTCTGTCGCTGCTGCTCCTGCTGCAGCGGGTAATTCCGTTGCGGAATTTGCATCGTTGCTGGATTGCAAAGCGGCCAGTCGCGCGGACCTTCGAGGCGCCATGGCGGAAAATGTCCGCTCGGCCGAAAGACTTTGTCTGGTTATAATGGCCGCTGAGAAGTAAGTTCTGACAGACGACTCGTAAGCCACGGGGAACGGCGATAACCCTCGGCTCCGAATCACGGATTGCCGAAGCGGGAGGAAGCCCTTGCACCACGCGGTCATTTCTAATTGTTCAAAAAAGTGTATCACGGACGTTTCTATTTGCTACATTATCGCTGACGTTCTGTCGCGGAAGCAACCACGCGGAGAGTAAGGTGCCACGATATCTGTTACTGAACAGTCGCGTTGATTTTGCAGCGAAGACCACGCAAACCGATGAATGATCCACTGGAGAAACGATGCTGCTCGTCAACGGCAGTCAACGGTGGTCAACGCGCTCGCTTCGCGCTGCCGCTGCGCATTGACGGCCTTCGTTGCGTAAGAGGGCGCAGCTATTGCGACGCGACGCCAACGGTAGGAGCAACGGCTAGTATTTTCTTATAACATACAAATATTCGGGTGGCTTGGCTTGGGTTGCACCCTTCAGCCGCTTTGATAGCTTGTCGATTGCTTAGCGTATCCGGCTCGAAACGGTTCAGAATCAGTTACGGCTCGGCTCAGCAACAAGCATGTAACTTAGTGAGATAGCTCGGCCCGAATTTGCTCCAAACGAAGATACAATTCTCAAGTACCGTACTAAGTACGCAACGTGTGACAGAATAAACCGAAATTCTATGGAAGACGCCAATTGGAAAGGCGCCCGCAAATTTTTGTGTTCCTGCTGTGACTCGATAAAAGAAATTAGACAAACCAGTGCCATCTATTTCCATGTAAACTGCTTGAATGCATTTACATAGGTAAGTCGAATGCAAGTGCTAAAAGATGCCATAAAATGTTCCTCTCATTTTGTCCCAGCTCCACAACACCTGCACAAACAAGTTTCATACGAAGGAGGTAGAAATTCAGCAAAATCTTCAAACGTTCTTCATTGTGCGAGCAGTTTTGAAGTGTTTCAAGCACTTCGGAACGGTTTTAAAGGGGTGATTGCTAACGCACCTCTTGTATCTCTTCCCAGAGCCACAGGGGCACGGGCTGTTGCGAGACGGAGCTCCTGCCGAGCCTGCACCGCCAGCCGAACCAGCGCTGGCTCCCGAGCCTGCTCCCTTTTTGGATGGTGACCAAGGGCCACCCATCATTTGTTCGATCTGCGGAGAAAGTAAACGGGAGGAGAGAAGGTAAGCGAGTGTGAAGGTGCGCCCAGCACAAGCAGCAGAACCGGAAGTAGCAGCACTGGCTCCCGAGCCTGCTCCCGTTCTGGGTGGTGACCAAAGGCTACCCATCATTTGTTCGATCTGCAGAGGTGGTAAACGGGAGTCTGAATTTGGGTGCGGATAACTTAGGGTACATTCCGCTGTGGACATGTCCCAATCGTACATGTCCCAATCGGGTGTACCGCTCCGAACCGAACTAAACCAGAGAAGCGAAAATTTTGAAACTAGGGTGTAATTCGGTGTAATAAGATGCAGTGCGGTAGAATCGATTGGGACACATCGATTGGGACGCTGTCCACAGCGGAATGTACCCTTAGGTGTTTTTGCATAAGTGACCTCGAATCGAAAATTGCAGCTCTTCTTAACAAGCAGTCACTCATTCTTAGCTAAAAGCACCCACTCTTTGTTCTCACCTCTGCGAACTTTTGAGGATCAAGTTTCCCTTGGTCTTAGCGCCTAGATTTGTTAGCGCCTCTTTGAGCCACTCGTACTTAGCTAAGAGCATGTCATTTCCAGTAGTGATATTCCAGTACTTAACTAACAGCAACCATATTTCTTACCTCTGCAAAGGATCGAGGAAGAGGCTTCCCTTGGTCTTGCAGCTCTTGCATTCTATTAGCCGCCTCTGCAAACCACTCGTACTTAGCTAAGAGCATGTCAATCTCGCCCATGGTGCTCCCGGTCTCGCTTGCTACGCGCTGCCGCACAGCGAATGGGATGGACAACTGGACGGGGGAAGAGATGGATGGGGTATGGGGGATGGTAGATGATGAGGGATGCGGGATGGGAGAGGAAGCACAGAGGCATGGGATAAGGTAGCTAGGAGCATGTCGATCTAGCCCATGGTACTGCCGGTCTCGCTTGCTACGCGCTGCCTCACACTGAAGAGGATGGAGAGCTGGAGGGGGGATGCGGGACGGACAAGCGATTCCTTACCCGCTCGTCGGCCAGTTTGGCTTCAGCAGCATAGGCAGCAAGAGCTAGGGTGATGACCTCCTGCTTCCTCAGTGAGCTGGTTACCACCTTAAATGGTAACACTCTCCTGTTACCACACTTCTGTTACACTCACCCGTTCATCAGCCAGTTTGGCTTCAGCAGCATACGCAGCAAGCGCGAGAGTGATGACTTCCTGCTTCCTCAGGGAGTTTGTCACCACGCTCTGCCCGCCCTTGGGCAGACTCTTTCCAAAAGTTGTCAGCTGCCCGAACTGCCGGGCCCGCTTTAGCTGGTTGGCGAATTCTGGGAGGGAGGGATGGGAAAAAAATGCATAGATTTTAGGGAAAAACAAACAAACAAACAAACAAACAAGCAAGCAAACAAACAAACAAACAAACAAACAAACAAACAAAAGAAACAAAAAGCAGGTGATTTCTGGGAGTTGTGGGAACCCACTCTGTCTGCCTTTCCATCTCCCCAATCCCATTTCCCCATTCTCCAAGTTCAGTGCTGCCCCTGCTCTCCATTCCCCATTCCCCCATTTCCCCAACCTCCAACCCCCAAACCACCATCAACATACAATGATGGTTGTTTGGCAAACACATTTTCCCACCTCTCCCATTCCCCCGCTCCCCCAACCGCGTGTGTCCCGCCATTTCCAGTCCCCCATCCCCCCATTCTCCCATCCCCCAATTCCCCCATCCCCACCCCCCGGCCCCCCTCCAACTTCCCCCCCCTCCCAACTTTCCCCTGCCCACCAGTAAGACCCTCCGCATGCGTCAGGCGCTTCTTCTCCCCCCCCCCCCCTTCACCCTTCCCCCCCTCCCCCTCCCTCCCTCCCCCCTTCTTTCCCCCTCCCCACCCCCTACCTTAACCCCGCCCACAAGTAAGACCCTCCGCGTGAGTCAAGCGCTTCGGCTCCCCCCTTCCCCTTCCCCCTTACCTCCCCTCCCCCGTCCCTCCCTTGCCATCGTCCTCCCCTCCCCTCTCCCTCCCTTCCCCCCACCCTCCCTTCCCCCCACCCTCCCTTCCCCCCACCCTCCCTTCCCCCCACCCTCCCTTCCCCCCACCCTCCCTTCCCCCCACCCTCCCTTCCCCCCACCCTCCCTTCCCCCCACCCTCCCTTCCCCCCACCCTCCCTTCCCCCCACCCTCCCTTCCCCCCACCCTCCCTTCCCCCCACCCTCCCTTCCCCCCACCCTCCCTTCCCCCCACCCTCCCTTCCCCCCACCCTCCCTTCCCCCCACCCTCCCTTCCCCCCACCCTCCCTTCCCCCCACCCTCCCTTCCCCCCACCCTCCCTTCCCCCCACCCTCCCTTCCCCCCACCCTCCCTTCCCCCCACCCTCCCTTCCCCCCACCCTCCCTTCCCCCCACCCTCCCTTCCCCCCACCCTCCCTTCCCCCCACCCTCCCTTCCCCCCACCCTCCCTTCCCCCCACCCTCCCTTTTCTCCCCGCCCACCTGTAAGACCCTCCGCGTGCGTCAGCCGCTTCTTCTCCAGCGCCTTCCCCCCGCCGCCCTTCCCCAGCCGCAGAAACGTCTGGAACCGCGACAGCCACCCGCCGCCGCCGTCCCCCTTCCCTTCCGCCTCCGCCGCTGCTCCCCCTCCGCTTCCCCCCGCGCCCTGTCCTCCTCTCTCTGCCGCTCCCCCGCCGAACAGCAGATTCCAGCCCCTGCGCTCGCTCCCAGCCTGACCCGAGCCTGGACCCGAGGCTCGGTCGGCGCTCGCTGCCGAAGCTATTGGCGAGCCTGCGGTTGCGCTCGCTGCCGAGCCTGGCTGCGCTGCCGGACCTGCGGTAAGGCCCGTGCCTGACACGTAGCTCCGGGCAGCGAAAGGAACGGCTGGGATTACGCTCCTCCTTTCGCTCGTTGCGAGAGGAACGACCGCATCAGACGCCGCGAAACGCGGAGCGATCGGCGCGAAAGGCGGCGCGGCCTCCTGGAACGAGTCAAGACGCGCGTCGCCGATTGCGCGACTCGAGAGGATTTGCGGGGTTGGCGCGGGAATTACAGACGATAGGGCATTCTGGGACTTGCGCGTCAGATCGGACTTGCGACGCGATACTTTAGAGGCCGACGCGGAAGCGACGCGCAAGGCAGCATGGCGCATGGCGTAGAACCCAGTAAAACGGATGGATAAAAGGAAAATGCTACTGGCGAATGCTAGTATGGTCCTGCCCAGGATAATAAGGATCTCGGCAGCCAGCAGCCAGCACGCGTTACTGCATGCTCCGATAATTATTTCTTTACTGTGCATGAAGCACAGACATTTGAGAGTCCAGTACAGTTGTATTGTAGTGTTCCTCTAGAGTACTACACTTTTTTTAAGGAGGAGGACAAAAGGAAAAAGGGAAAATCAACCATCGACTATTGTCTCTGAATTTCTTGTTCTTCTTTTAGCAGCAGGGCGCGGAGAAATAGCTCTCCTCTCGCCGTCTCCCTAACAGCCGTCGGATCGTCAGCAATGAACCATGTGGAATCAACGGCTGAGATCTGCGTGCAATCACGGCGACCATTAATGAGGTCAATGTACTGGACAGAAAAAAATAGAAGATGTCTTTCCTTGCCTACCTTTCCCCGTGTGTTCATTCCGAATCTGGTCTTGCCGACCAGAAAAATCGCATCGTCCTCCATATCCTCTCCCTCCTTGCCTCCCTCCCCTTCCTTCCCCTCTTTACTACTCCGCCTACCTCTCCCTTTCCTCCCACCAGCATCGCTCCCACCATTGCTATTGCTCCCTCCATTCATCCGACTTTGCTCATCCTCCTCCTCGTCCTCTTCCTCATCCGCTTGCCTCAATTTATCTCTTCTCTTCTCAAAACCAAGAATCCCATTCCCTTGCACTCCCCTCGTCTCATACTGCCCCTCCTCTGCAGGAAGGTTCCTCCTGATCTCCGCCTCGTGCTCAGGAAGGTTCCTCTCCCACCAGTCTGACAGCCCCATGCCTGCCACTGCTTCCCGCCCGCTCTTAGCTAAAAGAATGGTCCAAAGGGCAGTGATCCAGCGACGGTCTGAAGGGGAGGTGATGGGAGAAAGGGGATTGAGTTCCTGAATATGCCTGCCTTTGACTGCTTTCCGCCAATTCTTAGCTAAGAAGATGGTCTAGAGGGCCGTGATCCAGCGATGGAGGGAGGTAGTTAGTTAGAAGATTAAGTCACTGAACATGCCTTCCTGCCACTGCTTCCCACCCGCTATTAGCTAAGAGGATGGTCCAGATGCCCAAGATCCAGCGGCGGGTCAGAAGGCAAGGAACCTTGGTGCCTTCACGAGCGTTTCACACCTACGACTCACCTGGTGTCTTCACGAGTGTCTCAGAATAGAGGTGGTGCAGATGCAGGTGCCCCCCTGCTGACCCCACCAGCTGCAGCCACTGCTGCCACCTGCACAATAAGCATGGCACAGGATCAGCCACAAAGGTTATTGAGGCGCCTCAGGAATCGCTGCCTCAAAAAACGCTGCAGGTGTAGCCCAACACACACGCACCTCTCTTTGCCTCTCAAGCACACCACAGGGTTCTGCACTCAAACACACTCCTCCACCAGTCCCATCGCAAAGATATCCACTGGCTCTTCCCCTTGTGCTTGTGCCTGTGGCTGCTGCTGCGGCCACACCACTCTCTTCTCTCACCTGTCCTTTCCTTCAACGCACACCACAGGGTTCTGCACTCGAACACCCTCCTCTACCAGTCCCAGCGCAAAGATATCCACTGGCTGGCTCTTCCCCTTGTGCCTGGGACTTTTGATACGTCTCAAAAGGATTTTGCCCTGTCACTATGCGACTCACATCTCCCATCTCACCTCTGCCTGCCTTGCACGCACACCACAGGGTTCTGCACTCGAACCCCCTCCTCCACCAAACCAAGCGCAAAGATATTCATAGGCTCCTCCTGTTCTGCCTGTGACTGTTGACGACGATGCTTCATAGCCTCCTCCTTCTGTTTGTCCCCGTCAATCCGAGTGTTCGCGAGTTCCTGTTTCTCCTCTTGTTCCTCTTGCTCCCCCTCCCCTCTTCCCCCCATCTCCTTGAAAGCTTGAGGTTCAAGGGGAGGTGAGGGGACTGGGGGCGAGAGAGCGTGGGGGAGGAAGAGGCGGAGGGCTGTCAAAAGGTCCTGAAGCTTGTCGATCATTGCAGCGGCTGGAGGGGTGTGGGGGGAGGGGGGGTTATAGGGGAGAATGGGGTTGGGGATTACAGGGGAGGAGGGGGCTGGAGGGGAAAGTGCGAGTGGGAAGAAGAGGCTAAGGGCTGTCAGGAGGTCTTGAAGCTTGTCGATCATTGCAGAGGCTGCGAGTAGGGGGGAGAGGAAGAGGAAGGAGGGGAGGTGGGAGGGAAAAAAGCATAGCACTGGGGAAGAGGCGGAGGGCTGTCAGCAGGTCCTGAAGCTTGTCGATCATTGCAGCGGCTGGGGTGGGGGGGTTATGGGCGAGAAAGGGGTTGGGGATTATAAGGGAGGAGTGGGTTAGAGGGGAGAGTGCACGTGGGGGAGGAGGATGCGGAGAGCTGTCTGCAGGTCCTGAAGCTTGTCGATCATTGCAGAGGCTGTAGAGAGGGAGGAGGGGAAGGGAAGGGAGAAAAGGAAAGAGAACGTGATACTGGGGAATAGAGCTGAAGAGCTGTATGCAGGTCCTGAAGCTTGTCGATCATTGCAGAGGCTGTAGAGAGGGAGGAGGGGAAGGGAAGGGAGAAAAGGAAAGAGAACGTGATACTGGGCAATAGAGCTGGAGAGCTGTCTGCAGGTCCTGAAGCTTGTCGATCATTGCAGAGGCTGTAGAGAGGGAGGAGGGGAAGGGAAGGGAGAAAAGGAAAGAGAACGTGATACTGGGCAATAGAGCTGGAGAGTTGTCTGCAGGTCCTGAAGCTTGTCGATCATTGCAGAGGCTGTAGAGAGGGAGGAGGGGAAGGGAAGGGAGAAAAGGAAAGAGAACGTGATACTGGGCAATAGAGCTGAAGAGCTGTCTGCAGGTCCTGAAGCTTGTCGATCATTGCAGAGGCTGTAGAGAGGGAGGAGGGGAAGGGAAGGGAGAAAAGGAAAGAGAACGTGATACTGGGCAATAGAGCTGAAGAGCTGTCTGCAGGTCCTGAAGCTTGTCGATCATTGCAGAGGCTGTAGAGAGGGAGGAGGGGAAGGGAAGGGAGAAAAGGAAAGAGAACGTGATACTGGGCAATAGAGCTGAAGAGCTGTCTGCAGGTCCTGAAGCTTGTGGATCATTGCAGAGGCTGTAGAGAGGGAGGAGGGGAAGGGAAGGGAGAAAAGGAAAGAGAACGTGATACTGGGCAATAGAGCTGAAGAGCTGTCTGCAGGTCCTGAAGCTTGTCGATCATTGCAGAGGCTGTAGAGAGGGAGGAGGGGAAGGGAAGGGAGAAAAGGAAAGAGAACGTGATACTGGGCAATAGAGCTGGAGAGTTGTCTGCAGGTCCTGAAGCTTGTCGATCATTGCAGAGGCTGTAGAGAGGGAGGAGGGGAAGGGAAGGGAGAAAAGGAAAGAGAACGTGATACTGGGCAATAGAGCTGAAGAGCTGTCTGCAGGTCCTGAAGCTTGTGGATCATTGCAGAGGCTGTAGAGAGGGAGGAGGGGAAGGGAAGGGAGAAAAGGAAAGAGAACGTGATACTGGGCAATAGAGCTGGAGAGTTGTCTGCAGGTCCTGAAGCTTGTCGATCATTGCAGAGGCTGTAGAGAGGGAGGAGGGGAAGGGAAGGGAGAAAAGGAAAGAGAACGTGATACTGGGCAATAGAGCTGGAGAGCTGTCTGCAGGTCCTGAAGCTTGTCGATCATTGCAGAGGCTGTAGAGAGGGAGGAGGGGAAGGGAAGGGAGAAAAGGAAAGAGAACGTGATACTGGGCAATAGAGCTGGAGAGCTGTCTGCAGGTCCTGAAGCTTGTGGATCATTGCAGAGGCTGTAGAGAGGGAGGAGGGGAAGGGAAGGGAGAAAAGGAAAGAGAACGTGATACTGGGCAATAGAGCTGGAGAGCTGTCTGCAGGTCCTGAAGCTTGTCGATCATTGCAGAGGCTGTAGAGAGGGAGGAGGGGAAGGGAAGGGAGAAAAGGAAAGAGAACGTGATACTGGGCAATAGAGCTGGAGAGCTGTCTGCAGGTCCTGAAGCTTGTCGATCATTGCAGAGTCTCGGGGGGGGGAAGGAAACGAATCATAGACGGGAATGTGAGGAGGCTAGGTGCACACTGGAAAATGAGAGGGGTGGAGAGTGCGTGGGGGAGGAAGAGTAGTTTTGAGGCGCCTCAAAATTAGACGGGAATGTGAGGAGGCTAGGTGCACACTGGATAATGAGAGGGGTGGAGAGTGCGTGGGGGAGGCGAAGGGACCGGAAGGGAGGGGACGGGAAGGGAGGGGGGGGATGGGAGGGGAGGGGATGGGAGGGGAGGGGATGGGAGGGGAGGGGGAAAAGGGGGAAGCGAAAGAGAGATGTTGGAAACACACACGGCAATGGATAGACAAACACACATCCTAACGCCCACCCAACTTGACTGTCAATGTCTGGCGGAGGGGGGTAGTCATAGGGTGTGTCTAGCTCCTCCCTCTCAATCACATCCTTCTCGATCACATCCCTCTCAATCACATCCCTCTCGATCACATCCCTCTCAATCACATCCCTCTCGATCACATCCCCCATGTAAGGGAATACGCATGAATATGAATCGGCAAACACACAGACAGACCATTGCAGCCACCCACCTTCCCTGTCAATCTCTGGAGGGGGGACGAAGTCATAGGGTGTGTCTAGCTCCTCCTCTTGATTACATCCCCCATGTAGGGGTGAAGACACGTGGGATACAGAGAGCAATGCATAGAAGGCCACACCGCCAAACACCTACGCACACACCTTCATTGCTGATCTCCGGAGGAGGGGCGTAGTCATAGGGTGTGTCTAGCTCCTCCCTCTCAATCACATCCCCCATGTAAGGGAACACCCCAGCAGTGCGGGCTAAATCTGCCATGAGGCCATGACAGGGAAGATGGGAGGTGCTAATAGGAGATTGTGACAGTATTTAAAGTAGCAGTAGGGTGTCTCTAGAGCCTTTCTCTCAATCACATCCCCCATGTAGAGAAACACCCCGGCCGTGCGGGCTAGATCTGCTCGACAAATAATGAGATCAAAGGGATGGGGATGGGGCAGAGCAGACAGGCGCATCACTCTCCTCCCAATGAGAATGGGGCATGGGAGTGGGGCATGGGAGTGGGGCATGGGAGTGGCGGATGGGAGTGGGGCATGGGAGTGGGGCATGGGAGTGGGGCATGGTAGTGGAAGATGGGAATGAGAGATGAAAATGGGAGTTAACAATGGGAGATGATCGCAAACACCGTCCTTATTTGTGGTTTGAGAAATTTCACTGCCATACCTGATTTGCCCTCCTCACATTTCACATCTATTCATTATATCCGGAAACTACCCCACCGCCTCACCTCCATCTTTCTTACCTGGGAAACGCTCTTGAGCCTCCTGCTTCCATCGCAAGCCTCCCACAGGGGCACTCAGCGGGTGCACCTTCCCAGAAGCTTCCATCTCCTCCCACAGGCGAGCCACTGCCTCAAACTCCGCCTCTGCTGCCTCCTCCTCCTGCTCGCCCTCCTCCCACTCCCACCCTGGGATGTACTTGTACTCGTTATAGCTGTACTCGTTATGGTAAGGTTCGTTGTAGTTGTGTGGAGAGGACTCAGCTGATTCACCTCTATGGCTTTTGCCTTGCTTAATCCTTTTATCGTCAGACCAGCTGCTGCTGCTGCTGCTGCTGCTGCTGCTGTTGCCACCACCGCTGCTTCGGCTGCTGCCGCCGCTGTTGCCATTGTCACTCATGCTGTCAAACTCGAATGCATCATCACCATTCTTGCTATCCCTTTCTCTGCGTCCACCTCTTCCTGGCCTGTCCCTCGTATCCTCGCTCCACCGAACCTGTTCCGAGCCTCCGGCACCCATTTGGTCGAGAAACGCAGCAAGCTCCGGCCGAGCCTGTTCCGAACCTCGGTCAGCTGGCTCTTGGCTAAATTCAAGCCTGTCTTGGTTCGGTAGGTTCAGAAACTCATTAGACTCAATGGGTCTGCTGCTAATACTGGGCCTCTTGTCTAGGTTTGGGAAGATGGAGGCTCGGATCTCCTGTTGGCTCGGCATGGATGAGTAGTTGATAAATCGAATCTTGGTAGGATCTATTCCCTCCCATCGAGAGGCCTTAGCAGATTCTGACCTGGCAAAAGGTGATAAGATGGAGGGTGATGACGTGGCATAATCTGCTCGGGAAGTCGAATGAGAAGCAGGGTTCCTGACGCCTTTCCCTTCCTCAGTAGGAATTGCCGTTTCCATTTTCATCAACACTTTATCCCCCTTCCGGTTCCCCTTCCCCTTCGCCTTCTCTTTCGTATTACTCTCCTTCTCCGTCCTCTCCCCCTTCTTTTTCCGTTTCCTCTCCTCCTTCCTCTTCTCCTTCCTCTCATTCACCTCTCCCCCTTCCTGTGACGCTTTAAGTCCCTCTCTTTCCCCACGGCGCCCCTTATCCTCCCCTTTGCCGTCGCTTCCCCTCTCTCCACTCCTCCTTTCCTTCACACTCTGCTTGCTCTTTTCCCCGTTCTTTTTCTTGACCCTCTTCCTCTCAACATTCGCGGAAACTTCCCAACTGGTCGGTTTCCCCGCTCCTTCCCCAGCCGCCACAGCTGTCGACGTAGTTAATCTCCCCCAGGAACTTGAGCTTAATCCATCCCGTAGAGGTGTAGTAGGCTCTGCTGTAGTTAATCTCCCCCAGGAACGTCTGAGGAGTGTGGGAGGCTCGGCCAGACTCGTAGTTAATCTATCCCAGGATCCCGTGTACACGTGGCAGGAGGTATGGTGTCGTGCTGTTTGGAGGATCGGAAGACGCGGGGTGGAACAATACGGAAGCATGCGCATCGTAGAAGCTTCCATGGCTCAGTAATAGCGAAGCTCAAAGTTGACCTCTGAGTCAACTCATAAGTCAACGCGGGGAGGAAGACTATGTAGGCGTGGAAGCTTCCACGAACGTGCCCTTTCCCATGTGTGAGGACCCAATCGAGGCGCCTCAAAACGCGAATATCAGGTTTCCATAAATGTCTGTTTCAGGCGCCTCGGAAACAGGAATAGGGCAAGGGAAGGCCAAGGCGGTAATGCGGTAAGTAAGGGACGAATGGTGAATCTACAGCCGTAAGCACGAATCCCGTAAGTCCGCTATAGTAGCATATTACAATGTGTGCAAGCGCGAAAGCGGTAAGCAGTACGCCAGGCTATGCTGTTGCTGGAGGATGCCCTGAAAGCTCAGTGACCCGTCTCGTAGGGATCCGAGTAAGAATATAATAAGAATTTGAACCTTGCTAAAGCCAGGAAATTCAGAGCCTAAAAGCGAGTGCGGGTGCACCGAACTTGTTAAAGCTTTATTGATTAAAATTTCGTATTTATACTGAATGAAGAATTTCACCACACCTGGGAACGAGGTTGTTTGAAGGGAGTACAAAACCTGGAAGATATCTTCTTGCCCTCGATATTTTCCTGGTCGGAATTTCACCAGATCCATTCTGGCTTGAAAGCCTGAACTATCTGCTGCACCCTCCATAGTTTCTTTTGACTCCCTCCGCAAAAACCGGGCTCTGAAGCAGGCTGCATTGCCGCTGGAACGAACAGAATCGTTCCTAGGTTTAGGGAGCGGTCCGCTTTTTCCTTGCCAAATGGCGTCAGCGATTTCGACCGCCGCTAGCGCTATAAGCACATTCAGCCACAGTCACACCGTCGCGGTGGTTTCCCGCGCGGATTCCCGCCATTCCTCCATGACATCCGCGCGCGGTGCTACATCCGCGGGGTTACAGCCGTATGCGGCGCAACTGGCCCGCGCGGGCTACAGCGAGAGCCTTCCGAGCGGGCAATTCACATTGCGCCGGTCGCTCGCGGAGCGGAACGCATTCCGCGGAACTGCAGCCTCGCGCGGAAAAATCTCCCCTAGAAAGGCTGCTTTAGTCTCCGCCATCCGCGGCGGCGGTGGCGGAGGCGGTGGCGGAAGCGGAGGGGACGACGCGGCGGAATGGTGGGAGCGCGAGGAGAGGCGCTGGGAGCGCGAGCAGCAGCGGTGGGAGCGGGAAGAGCTGCGGTGGGAGCGCGAGGAAGCGCGATGGGCGCGCGAGCGCGCATCCCTCGAAGCGGAGATCGCGGAACTCGAAGCGGAAGTGGAATCGCTCCGCGCAGCGCTCGCAAGCGCGGAGGGAGGGGGGCTGGCGCAGAGCTCCCCCCCTCTCCTCCCCCAGGCGCAGGCGCAGCTGGCGGAAGCGGTTGGCGGGGGAATTGGCGGAGGAGTAGGGGAAACAGGGGGAATCGGGAGTGATTTGTCAAAGCAGCAGCTGCTAGTGCTGCTGCGGGGGCTGCTGCACCTGCTGCAGATAACGACAGACAGCCACCGAGCCAGCGAGGTTGCCACGTCAGCGGCGATTGCCACGTCATCAGGAGTGATTGCTGGCGCCGGTGCAGAGAGCCTGCTACAGCTGTTGGCGCCAGCGGCTTCAGCTACGGGCAATGCTACAGCCGGAGGAGCTACAGCTGGAGGATCTACAGCTGGATCTACAGCCGTTGATGGAGTTAGATCTACGGCTGGCGTTGCAGGAGGAGCAACTGCAGAGGAAATTCTGAGGAACATTCCCGATGCTGACATCATCGCGGCTGTAGCGTCGCGCACAGTGAACCCGCTCCCTGCTGACGTGGACGAGGGCGGTGCTGAGGTGGCAGGGGGTGCAGGGCAGCAGGAGGAAGGAGCGAGGAAGGTTCAGCGGAAGCTGATTCGGGGGATGCATGGAGATGACGTGGCTCAACTGCAGGTACAGTGACGTTTGGAATATGTAAAGAAGTTATGATATATATAAATATACATATATATGTGCGTTGTTACTATTTATATATTCATTGGGTGAATGTTTGTAGCGCAAACTGGGGGGCGTATGGAGAGGACTTGCGGCAACTGCAGGTAGGCTGTCATTGTAATGAGCAAACCATGTGACCTTGTGCATGCTCCTGTACGTACCTGCAGGCTGTAAGGTCGAGGAGGATGCATGCTTGGTTCTCTCACTCTCTCATATGAGTTGGCTCTGTGATTATATGATAATGAAACCAGCATGTGGCCTTCTGTATGTTCTTTGATTTGCCTGCAGCTGCGTTGGCCATTCAGGGGTTCTACTGTGGCGAGGAGGACATGGAGGATGTGAATTTGTTCTCTCACTCACTCGGTGTGCATGTTCATGAATGAAACCATCGTGTGTGTGCGCGTATGCAGGCTGCATTGGCCATTCAAGGGTTCTCCTGTGGCGAGGAAGACATGGAGGATTGTATGATGATGAAACCATGTGTCGTTGTGCATGTTCGTGTGTGTGCGTGCAGGCTGGATTGGCCCGTCAGGGGTTGTACTGTGGCGAGGAGGACGAGGAGGATGCGTTTTTTGGTCTCTCACTCCTTGTGTGTGTTCTTGTATGGAACCATGAGTCATTCTGCATGTTCCTGTGTGTGCGTGCAGGCTGCATTGGCCATTCAGGGGTTCTATTGCGGGGAGGAGGACATGGAGGATGCGTTTTTTGGTGCCAACACCGAGAGTGCTGTGAAGACGTGGCAGGTGAGGGAGTGATATGATTGCTGGTAGGTGGCATGGGGGGCATGGGGGGCATGGGGGTCATTCCAAAGAGGATAGGGACTTAAGGGTCTACTCTGCTGCAGGTAGGATAAGGACATGGAGGATGCGTTTTTTGGCGCAAACACTGAGAGTGCAGTGAAGACGTGGCAGGTGAGGGGATGATAGGTGGACGGGATGGCAGGTGCGATGGAGTGACACGAAGGTGGGATGGGAGGTGCGAGGAGGACAAGGAGGATGCGTTTTTTGGCGCCAACACCGAGAGTGCTGTGAAGACGTGGCAGGTGAGGGAGTGATGGGATGGAGGGCGAGTGATAGGGGGGCATGGGAAGGGTAAAGGGCTGTGATGCATGCTAGTGTGGCGAGGAGGACATGCAGGATGCTTCTTTTGGTGCCAACACGGAGAGTGCTGTCAAGACGTGGCAGGTGAGGGGATGAGAGGGGGCGGGATGGGAGGAGGGCGAGGAAGATGCTTCTTTGGCGCCAACATGGAGAGTGCTGTCAAGACGTGGCAGGTGAGGGAGAGTGCTGTTTTGGCAGGTAAGGAAGGGATTGGTTCAACAGGAAGGAAGGGGATTGTTGCACCAATTTGTGCTTCCCTTCCCTCTTGCCTGCTTCTTCTCCTGGCTGCTACCGCCTTTGATAGAAGAAGTGTTTTGAGATGTGTTTTGAGACGCCTCAAAACGCTTCTTATGTCAGGAAGGGAGTGTCGCGGAAGGCTTCCCTCTTGCCTGCTTCTGCTCCTGGCTGCTGCCTCCTTTCCCTCTATTCTGCCTCACTCCTCTGATCACTCCTGCATGCAAGATTCGTCTGGGCTCTGATTTGACGACCCAAAAAAAAAAAAAAACACGTGCACTTTTGAACATCCTCAAAAGTGATTCTGTCTTGATTTGAAGTGATCTCTGAGTGGACTCAAAAGTATCTTGGCTCACTCCTTCCTTTCTTCAATCCCTCTATTCCGGCTCGCAAGGCTCGCCTGAGTTCTGTCTTGCTGAACCGCACGGGCAACTCCCCGCTGCGACTCTCCTCCTTCCCAAAACCTCTAGTGGTTTTGAAACGTCTCAAAACCTCTATCCTCTCTCACTCCTCACTCCCTCCATCCTTGCTTCGCTTGCAAGGCTCGTCTGAGTTCTGTCTTGCTGAACCGCTCGGGCAACTCCCCGCTGCAACTTTCCTCCTTCGAATACTCGCTGCTTAAGGTGAATCTTGAGTCGACTCAAGAATATTCTCGCTCATTCCTTCCTTCAATCCCCAATTCAAGACTCTTCCTTCCAATACTCGCTCCCCTGAATACTCGCTCCCCTGAATACTCACTCCCCTGAATACTCGCTCCTTAAGGTAAACTTCTCCATGCAAGGCAGCAAGGCTGCTTCATAACACCACCATAGCCCCCCTCCCCCAGCTTCCCTCCTCCTGCTCCCCCCGCTCCTCCCTCCCTTTATGCTCCCATCTCCAGGAAAACATGCAGCTTTAGCAAGATGGTACTATCACGCCGCAGCCTTCCTTCTCTCTCCCCTTTTGAGACTCAAAAGTCAGCTCTTTTGAGTAGACCCAAAACCACGCTCCTCCCTCCCTTTATGCTCCCTCCTCCAGGCAACCATGCAGCTCTAGCAAGATGGTACTATCACGCCACAGCCTTCCTTCTCTCTCCCCTCCTGTCCCTTATCTGCTTCTCCTTCTGCCAATTCTCCCCCATACTCCCATCTCCAGGCAACCATGCAGCTTCAGCAAGGCGGCATCGTCTAACCGGGCCTCTTTTCTCTCTTCATTAACGGCCCCTCCGCCACCCCTGCCCCCTACTCTCCTCTCCTCTCCCCCATACTCCCATCTCCAGGTAACCATGCAGCTTCAGCAAGATGGCATCGTCACACCGGCCCTCTTCTCGCCCTCACTCCTTTCCCCTTTCCCCCCTTTCCACCTCGTCTCCCTTTCCCCACATGCTTCTATCTCCCTCCAGGCAACCATGATGCTTCAAGAAGACGGCATCGTCACACCGGGCCTCTTCTCTTTCCATGAAATCACAGCCCCCCCTCTCACCTACTCCCCTCTCCCCATCTACTTCTCCCCACCGCCCAAAACTCCCTTCCCCAGGCAACCATGCAGCTTCAAGAAGATGGTATCGTCACACCGGGCCTCTTCAGTGGCTTTAAGTCGATCGCGAACCCCCGCCTCCCTTCCCTCCCCCGGTTCCCCCTTCCCCATACTCCCATCTCCAGGCAACCATGCAGCTGCAAGAAGATGGAACCGTCACACCGCGCCTCTTCTCTCTCCATGAAAGCACGGCCTCCCCTCCCCCCATCTACTCCCATATACTCCCCTTCCCATGTCCTCCCTCCTCCTCTCCCCCCATACTCCCATCGCCAGGCAACCATGAAGCTTCAAGAAGACGGTGCTGTCACACCGGGCCTCTTCTCTCTCCTCGTTGGCAATCCCGAACCAGCCGCCGAACCATCCACCGAACCAACCCCCGAACCAACTCCCGAACCTCCCGCAAAGCCTTCACCCAAGCCTTCCTCCTCAACACCCTCCCTAGAATCAGCGTCCCCCCGCGCCCCCCCTGCCACCCGGGAGAAGCGGGAGATTGAAAGATATGCTAGGAGTGATCTAGAGATGGGAGAGAGGCGGGTGTTTCTGCTAGGGGAGAATCGCTGGGAGGATCCGAACACATTGATTCGTCGACTCTGGCAGGGAGAAGGAGGAGGGGAAGGACGAGGGTGGGGAGGAAGAGGAGGAGGAGAGGGAGGAGGTGGAGGGGAAGGGGAAGGGGAGAGGAGGGAGGGATTTGGTGGATGTGAAGGGGAAGGGGAAGGGGAAGAAGGGGAAGAAGGGAGAGGAGAGGGGGTTGAAGCCTGTTGCTGCTGCATGCTTTCAGTGCAGAGGAGAAGGTAGCGTCGTCTGCATGGGTGAGTTGAGGATCCTGGGGCTTATGTGTGTGGGGGTGCTAGAAGGGAGAGGAGAGGGGGGTGAAGCCTGTTGCTGCTGCATGCTTTCAGTGCAGAGGAGAGGGCAGCGTCGTCTGCATGGGTGCGTTGATGAGCCTGGGTTGACATGTGTGACTCATGCGTGCTTGTGTTGTTTGAGGCTTATGTGTGTGGGTGCTTGAGGGGAGGGGGGGCTGAAGCCTGTTGCTGCTGCGTGCTTCCAGTGCAGAGGAGAAGGCAGCGTCGTCTGCATGGGTGCGTTGATGAGCCTGGGTTGACATGTGTGACTCATGCGTGCTTGTGTTGTTTGAGGCTTATGTGTGTGGGTGCTTGAGGGGAGGGGGGGCTGAAGCCTGTTGCTGCTGCGTGCTTCCAGTGCAGAGGAGAAGGCAGCGTCGTCTGCATGGGTGCGTTGATGAGCCTGGGTTGACATGTGTGACTCATGCATGCATGTGTTGTTTGCAGCGTGTGTGAGTGGGTGCTTGAAGGGAGGGAGGGAGGGGTGCTGAAGCCTGTTGCTGTGGCGTGCTTTCAGTGCAGAGGAGAGGGCAGCGTCGTTTGCATGGGTGCGTTGATGAGCCTGGGTTGATAGATGTGTGTCATGCGGGCATGTGTTGTTTGCAGCGTGTGTGAGTGGGTGCTTGAAGGGAGGGTAGGGGGGGCTGAAGCCTGTTGCTGTCTCGTGCTTTCAGTGTGGAGGGGAGGGCAGCGTCGTTTGCATGGGTGGGTTGTTGTGTTTGGGGTATTATGTGTGTATGGGCCATTGTGTGAGTGTGTGTATGGGCCATTGTGTGAGTGTGTGTATGGGCCATTGTGTGAGTGTGTGTATGGGCCATGTGTGTGTGTGTGTATGGGCCATTGTGTGAGTGTGTGTATGGGCCATTGTGTGAGTGTGTGTATGGGCCATTGTGTGAGTGTGTGTGTATGGGCCATTGTGTGAGTGTGTGTATGGGCCATTGTGTGAGTGTGTGTATGGGCCATTGTGTGAGTGTGTGTATGGGCCATTGTGTGAGTGTGTGTGTATGGGCCATTGTGTGAGTGTGTGTATGGGCCATTGTGTGAGTGTGTGTATGGGCCATTGTGTGAGTGTGTGTATGGGCCATTGTGTGAGTGTGTGTGTATGGGCCATTGTGTGAGTGTGTGTATGGGCCATTGTGTGAGTGTGTGTATGGGCCATTGTGTGAGTGTGTGTATGGGCCATTGTGTGAGTGTGTGTATGGGCCATTGTGTGAGTGTGTGTATGGGCCATGTGTGTGTGTGAGTGTGTTTGAGGCATGTGTGTGTGTGTGAGTGTGTTTGAGGCATGTGTGTGTGTGCTTCATGCGTGTATGGGGGTGCTTGAGGTTGGTGTTGGTTGAAGCCTGTTGCTGTTGCATGCTTTCAGTGCAGAGGGGAGGGTAGCGTCGTCTGCATGGGTGCGCTGGGGTGTGCTTGTGTTGGGGTTGATATGTGTTGACAAGGGGGGGAAGCCTGTTGTTGTCTCGTGCTTTCAGTGCAGAGGGGAGGGCACCGTGGTTTGCATGGGTGCGTTGGTGTGGGTGTGTGCGTGTGAGTGTGTTGTTTCAACAATGTTTGTATGTGGATGCTTGAGGAGAAAATTGGATGTTCATAGGAAGATGTTAACTGTTCCTGTGCCCACTCCCCGTTGGCCATTTCCCCCTTGCCCACTCTCCCTTGCCCACTCCCCTTAGCCCACTCCCCCTTGCCCACTCCCACTTGTCAACTATATTAAAATCACTTTTGAAAATTCTCAAAAGTGATTCCAATATAGCCCACTCCCCCTTGCCCACTCCCCCTTGTCAACTCTTCCTTTTATCCCTCAACCCTAGCTCCTTTCGATGCACTCTTCTTTCATTTCCCTTTGACGAGTGCGAGGGCACTGGGGACCTTAACAGAGTTGTGAGACGTCTCAAAACCCTCAACCTCAACTCCTTTCGATGCACTCCTTTTTTCAGTTCCCTTTGCAGAGTGCGAGGGCACTGGGAACCTTAACAGAGCTGAAAGGAAATGTGGCATGTGCCATTGTAACGACATGACTATTGAGTCGACTTGAAAGTCACCTCGTTACACAGGGGACCATAAGTTCTGAGACGTCTCAAAACCCTCAACCCCAACTCCATTCCATGCTCTCCCCTGTCATTCCCCTTGGCATGGCAGAATGCGAGGGCACTGGGGGCATTAAAGCCGAGGAACGTGTTACGCCCGCCCTTTCTTGCTGACTCGTCCTTCATCCCTCATCCTTGCCTCTATACCTTCCACTCCCCTCTCATTTCCCTTCGCAGAGTGCGAGGGCACTGGGGACCTTAACATCGAGGAACAGGTAACTCACGCCCTACACACCTTCTCCCCCCTCTCCCCCTCCCCCCTCACACTTCCTCCCTACCCCCTTTTTCCCCCTCCCCTCCCCACCTCCCACCTTTCCTGGGGCCCCTTCACGCTTCCCACCCACCCACCTTGTTCATTTTTTTCTATTGCCACTCGCTTGAATGCCTGTTGATACAAATTGGTAGAAATTAAAAGTGTCGAGGCATTGGGACGTCAACAATCTCGCCCTATTCATATGCGTGTTTTTTTGCTTGTAACGTCTTTAATTCTGGCGTGGAAGAGCTTACTGCAAAATATGAGGGCATACGATCTTCATTCGACACTGACAGGCCAATGTTTTTTCAGCGCTACCTTTTTTCCCTTGTATCAAATTTGCCTTCCTTCCATGTGCAGTTTCTTGATTGGGTGGAGGAGGGCGCTTGCTGCCTCTATTGCAACGGCACTGGAGCCATTACATGTGATTTGTGCGATGGGTCTGGGAAATGAGCATCCGTCACAGCATAAGGGGAGAGCTTTATGTCTCCCATTTACAGCTTTATCATCGCTCATTAATGCGAGTACACTTGACGTCATTTGTATCGCGGATGCCGCTGTTCCTGCAAATTTGCATAAAGGCGCGTGGTCGAAACACGCTCACTCCAAGTCCAGATCGCAGATTGTGCTGCGAAAGATTGTAACGAATGTTTGTCACTACGCAGCCTCCACTATGCAAAATACACGTGTATGATGTGCTTTTAACGATTTGTTCAATCACGCAGGTCGCACAACGCGATGCTGGGAACAGAAAGTGAGCGCCTTGTGTTGGCGGCTCAGGGGGAACTCTTGGGTTCTTCGCGGTACTTGTACTTTTCCCTGTAAATTGGGATCGCAGCTGAAGAACAGGGGAAATTTGCAGGCCGTGCGACGGATCTGCGTCGCCCGATTGAACTTATGATCAATCGACGGTCGTTCATCCAAGATTGGTCCATGATCCGACGATTATCCGCAGACCTGGTCGCACAAAATTGGGCAGGTAGCCTCCACCAGCCAAAACTCCCGCAAACTAGCATGTCGCATCCAGCCAATAGCAGTCTGCAGCCCCTCAAGTCCCGACTCCCGACTCCCGAATCCCGAATCCCGAATCCCGAATCCCGATTTCCAATTCCATTCCAGCCTGCTCACACTTCTTGCGCCACCAGCCAGCAAACACAACATATGCCTCGTCAGACATATATTCCCCTGTATGTGAAGACGTTTTGACGAACTTGGCTCGTCGAGTTCTTCTGCTTTCCACTGAGTCAAAATTTAGGTGACTTTCAACTCGAAATTGCGAGCCACGCGTAGAGTTTGTACAATGACCCCAGCGGAGAAGTCTCTTTTGCCACTCAGCCCGTCGTCAAGGCTCAGAAAAATGGCGCTGGATTCTTCTGGTTACGCTTACCCCGTCCTCAAAATCGCCTTCATTATTGTCACGCTGGCCCTGCTGTGTCTATTCGGCACGCGTGAGTACTACGAGGTGCAAGAGGAGATTAAAGAATTCTACGACGAGATCGAAAAGGCGCCGTGTAACAACACCGCAATACTGTACATCTCCCGATCGAAATATTTCTTCTGCCCGATAGAACCTTCAGCTTCCGCGGAGGCAGCTGCAAAAAGGACGGAAGCGGGACTTGCGGCGGCAAGGGCGGCGAGCCAGCCTCCGAAAAAAAGCGACACCGCAGCTGTTGACGAGGATATTGAAGAGCCCGAGCCGCCACGCGACGGGTGCGACGAAGCGTGGGAGTGGTTCACCGACAGCAGCGGCGGCGGCGGAGGAAACGGCGGCGGAGACAGCGGCGGCGATGACGGCGGAAGAAACGGGGACGAGTCTACGTCGGCCCCGCGTGGAAGAAAGCTCCCCCAATCCCGGCGACGCGCGAAGAGGTCGCCAGCGGATTACGAAATGAACGACCCCAGCGGCGTTGACTTCGACGACCAAAATCCGTCCACGTACCCGCCTACGTGGACCCGCGCTTCGGGAATTCCGCGGCGCGAGCGCGGGAAGAACTGCAAAGCGGAATGGGTCACTTACTCCACCTTTTCCGCCGTGGGACTTAATCGTCTAGCTGACGTCACCAGCATGATTGACCTGCCGCTTGCAATTGTCGGCTTGCATCAACCGTGGAACGGATTTCGTCCCCGTCTGGTAGCCGTGCTCGAGTACGTCCAAAGCTTGCCGCCCGACCGCATCGTCATCGCGACAGACGCGCTGGATGTAACGCCCGTGCCGTCCTGTACCGCGTCGCGTATCATCTCGGCGTTTCTGAGTTTCAACGCGCCGATCGTTTTCGGCGCAGAGCCGTACTGTTTCCCGGATAGACTCGAGGATAAATACCCGTCGCTCCCGCCGGAAGCAGCGGCGGTAAACACGCAGTTTAAGTACCTCAACGCGGGGACATATGTGGGATATGCGTGGGCAGTTACTGTTGCGCTTAAAGCCGCTTTAGCGAACCCCGTTAGTTGGTTTGACGATCAGCGGGAGTACACTCGTCTATTCTTGAACCAAACGCAACTGTTGCCGTTCATATCGAAATGGGAATACGAGCAGCAGAGCAGTTTGCGGCGGCGGCTGCGGCGCGAATGGCGGTTCGAAGACAAAATCTGGAAGTGGCGGCGCGTGGCGAAGACTATGGAGGCGCGACTCGCGGCGCGACCCGTGATCGTTCTCGACCACATGAACGGCTTGGTTCAGAACCTTCTAGGAACCAACGACGAGGATTACGAGGTCGTTGACTTGAGGGAGATTCAGCGGCTGCAACAGCAGCAGCAGCAGCAGCAGCAGCAGCAACAGGGACAGCAGGAACGGCAGGAAGGAGAGGAGCGGAACAGTGCTGCTGGTAACAGCGGCAGCGGCGGCAGCAGCAGCGGCAGCAGGCAAGCGCAACCCTTCTCCCCGCTTCTCCCCCTCTCGCCCCTCCCCCAATGGCCGTCCGCGCTGCACCTGGGCTTGCGCAACAGACACACGGGGGGGTTCCCGTGCCTCCTGCACGAGCAGGGGGAGAAATTTAACAACACGCTGCCCGTGCTACAGCTGCTCGTGCGGCTACAGATTGACGAGGCGCGGGCAGGAAAAGGGTTCATTCCGTGGTGGCGTGTGGGGTGGCTGCATAGAGTGGGCAAATATAAAATCTAATGCCTTAGAGTGCATGGAACCAGGTTGCACGTGGCTGGTGCAGTGGCTGCAAAGAGTGGTGGCTGGTGCAACGGGAGGGGCCAAGCATTTCCTTTCTTTGTATAGTGGCAGTTACCTGTGCTACAGACAGCTGCCCTTGTGGCTGCAGGTCGCCTAGGTGTGGGAGGGCAAGGGAGGGGTAAGAATCGTGGTGGTGTGTGTAGTGGAATGAACTAGTATAAAAACTGGGGCTATATTGGGGTGTAAGAAGATAGTTACGTTTGCTACGGCTACGGTACTTGTGTGGCTACAGATGACACAGCATGGGCAAGCAAGGGGTGAAAGTTACCCATGCTGGGTTAGGGCTGTAAATACCAGTACTTTACACAGGAATAACAACTTGTGAATCTGTCACAAAAAGAGGCATCTGATGGAGCACAAGCTACTACGGTAATAGTAGTATAGAGGCACATGCAGTACAAACCTTGCACATTGCATGTGCCAGCTGACTAATATTATCATTAGTAAATAGATTACCAGCCGTAAACTTTAGCTGTAGGTCTTCACACTCACACTCACACACACTCATACTCTCACTCGCACTGATGGAATCTCAATATCACCAGTTCCATCCTTTCCTTCCCTTCCTTACATACCATCTCAGCTCTGCCCAACACTATTCACAGCACAACCACAAATCACCTCATGCACTCAAGCTTCCCCCCCACCAACAGCCTCAGCTGTACCAGTGACATTTGAGTCGACTCAAAAGTCACCTTGCTACAATGGCACTCAGGCTCCCCCCCCAACAACAGCCTCAGCTGTACCAGTGCTAGTGCTATTCCCGCTCCCACTATTAATGCTATTTCCCCCCCAGGATTTAGGATAAGCATAGACAGTCATCTTGACCTTCAATCCCGCCTGGCAGTCCCCAATGAAGCTGCTTCCGAAGTAGAGAGTCGTTCCGACCATGTCTGGTTTGATAAAATACAGCATCCACCCCACCGGCGAGTACGGGAAGATGAGTTTCGAGCCGGAGAAATCGCAGGCTTTCCATTTGGCTTCGGACTCGAAGAGACGCACGTCGTGAGTCAGAGGGCTGACCCAACGAAACACTGCAGAGGAAGAAGGGGGAAGGGAGGGAAAAGGGAGGGGTGGGCGCAAAGGGGATGGAGGGTAAGGGTGCTTTTGGTTCTGGATTCAGAGTAGAGAGTTGTTCCGACCATGTCTGGCTTGATAAAGTAGAGCATCCACCCCACCGGCGTGTACGGGAAGATCAGTGTCGATCCGGAGAAATCGCAGGCCTTCCACTTGGCTTCGGATTCGAACAGACGCACGTCGTGAGTGAGAGGGCTGACCCAACGAAACACTGCAGAGGAAGAAGGGGAGGAAGGGGGTGAAAGCACAAGGAACAGAGAGTCAGGTTGGAATTGGCTTTGGATTTGAAGAGACGTATGACGAGAGCCAAAGGGCTGAACAAGTGAGGCACTGCAGAGGAGGGGAGGAGAGGAGGGGGAGGGGGGTTGGGGGAATGGATGTGGAGCAACGGAGTTGGAACAGTGAAGTCAAGTGGGTCTGGCTTCGTAAGGGCGCATGTCGTGAGTGAGACACTGCAGTGGGGGTGGAGGAGAGGCGTGGGAGGGGGGTTGGGGAAATGGATGTGGAACAACGAAGTCGAATGGGTTTGGCCTTGTAAGGGCGCATGTCATGAGTGAGAAGGCTGACCCAGCTGAACTCTGGGAGGAGGGAAGAGGGGAAATGAAGGGGGGAAGGAACAGGTGTAGAGCATTGTAGTGGAATCAGAGATTCAAAGAAACGTACGTTGGCAGCTGCACTCTCTCCCCAACTTATCTTATACGTGTTGTCAGCATGCTCCGTTCTCGCACTGTGTAAACAACCCAAGTGTATACTTACACAGAACGTAGTTGGGGAACAGCCGGGGCGGCTTCCAGTCCCACTGCACGCCGCGATGCCACGGGCGGATGTGATAAGGCAGCACTCCCCCTACTGTCACCTTGCCCACCCGCATTCCTGGGATTTCTTGGAGAACCCTCCGAGCAGCCTGGCAAGGTAAAAGGGGAATGGGTTGAGATAGTGAGCACAGGCTGAGAGTTTGGTAAGGATAGGATGTGGTAAGGGTAGCACCCCCCCCCCACCGTCACCTTGACCACCCTCATCCCTGGAGTTTCTTGGAGGTCCCTGCGCGCAGCCTGGGGTGTGGGGAAGGATAAAGGAGGGGGTGAGAGGAGTGTTGGAACGCGAAAGGCAGCAGCACCCTCCCCCACCGTCACCTTGACCATCATCCCTGGGATTGCTTCGAGATCCCTCCGAGCCGCGTGGAAGATCCCCCCACTGTCACCATGTACGCTCGTGCCCCTGGTATCTCGTAAAGCTGGTTTTGAGCGGCTTGGTGTGTGGGGGAATAGTTGGGAAAGGGAGCGGTGAGATTCGAAGCAGGGGGTGTGTATGTGTTGGGAGGAGGAGGGGGGAGAGAGGGAGGGTTGGGTTTGAGTCGGGAATAGCAGCAGCACTCCCGCCACCGTCACCTTGTACGTTCCCACCCTTGGGAATCTCGTGATGTTCCCTGCGTGTGCGACCTCCTGGAACCTCCTCCGCGCAGCCTGGGGTGAGGGGGGAGAGGGGGAGTGGGGAAAGGAGAAAGCGGGAGATTGCGAGTCGCCATCGCAGAGAAACGCCCCTTCCCGTCACCCGCCCGTGCGCGGCGGATCGCAGCGGAGCGGAACGCGCACTCCTGGAATCCCGCGGACGTGCCTGCGCGCAGCTTGGGGTGTGCGGGGGAACGGCCCTTTTCCGCGGGAAGCGGAGGGGGGAAAAAGATGCAGGAATGAGAAAACGCTTCAGACGCCGTCTGTTGCGGCGCCTCGAAACGGGAGGTTATCGCGCACGGCTGAGGTTCCGAACGCCATAATCTTCCCCCCGTCGCAAACCGCTGCGGTGTTTTCGACCTTCCCGCGCGAACCGCTGTGGCAACATGAACACGGGAAATGACGGCGCGAACGGCGCAGAAAAGCTCGCATCGCTACATTTCATCGCTCGGACCGCTGAGGAGGTGAAGGTGAGAGGGACACGAAGGGGGGCGGAGAAGAAATGAGACAGGAAAGGAGGAGGCGGAAAAGAGAGGGAGGGTGGGTGAGGGAAAACGCGAGCCGCGCGGCCTTAAGAGCGCCGCACTCTTGAGAGTGCGACGACTGCGCGGCTTCACTGATATGAATCGACTCCAGAATCATTTCTTCACGACTTACCAGTCCTTGCAGAACGAGGCTTGCGAGGATTGCGACGATCAGGTAACCCGCCGCAAGCTGTCTCGTCGTAGTCGGTTTCATGGCGGCGCGAAAGTCGCCCCGATTACGTTTCTTCAAGTTCGCTCAGGGACGACGATTTGAAGCGATTTCTGAAGGAAACGAGAACTCGGCTCCTCGAGTAGTGGACGGCTTGAACGACAAGAAGGACTTGAGGGATTCACAAGCTGTGGTACCGCGTTGGTGCTCTCACGAGGAATGAACAGGCGCGTCGCCAACGCCAGTTGCTGAGTAAACGGGTATCGCGAGCTGCTGTAGTTGTAAGAATGGAGGAGCCGCGTTTCTGTTGGTGCCTCTGCAGTATCGCAAAGTGAATGAAAACTGTTGCTGTTTGAGCAATGAAAGGCGACTTCGCGTGAAGACGGGATTTAGGGGAAGCCTAGGGGCGAGCAAGCAGTTTGCTCAGCTCTTCCCCGCAGGAATGGTTTTTTCCATTCCATCCATACCAAAAAGGGGCCCCTTTTTCTCGCCCGCACCACAGACGCCCCTCTACTCAAAGCAGGGACACGTACTGCTGTTTAAATCGGTTGTATACGTATTTGTGTGGTATAAAAAGTTTACAAAACTATACAGCACGGTACAGAGTTCGGCAAAAAGCCGAACCTGCAGGTTTGTAACCCTCAGTTGTCAGCGTCTGTCACGACGAACCTCTTTACCTAGTCTGGAAGCGAAGCTGGGCAAACCTTCTCAGATCTGGAACAACAGATAAGCAGGGCGCAGAATGCGTATAAGCAGCGAACTCGCGTATGATTGGACCGACGATTCAGGTCTGGTGTGCTTTGGAAGCTTGACCCTAGGGAACTCGCGTTTCGGGCGCTGGTTTGCGGTAGGTTTCTGCGCTTCGGTCATGGGCTGCCTGGCTGGCAGCCTGGCACGCAAACACGGGTGTCACCCAACCACACGCGTGTGCTGCCAGCACCGAATTATGAAACGACGTTGTCGGTGGCATGTTCTCGTCGTTGCTCGGCCAGAATCGTCAAATACAGCAGCATCAAATGGTGGAAATGAAACTTTTATTGTGTACAGTTTACCACAGAAATATTTTGGTGTTCCATACTCGTGCACTCTCACCGAATTCGGTCTGGTTCAAAAAATGTAATCTTGCCAAATTGTGCCTCAGTTATTGGACGTGGCCTATCCAGGCTGAATGCGCTGGCGGAGGAAGGTTCTTCGACACCTGTAGATGATGCCAGCGATGCAGATATTTCCTCGCTGGCGCCAAAGATGAAGGAGCGTAATCCACGTGGAAACAAAAACGCTGTTGTGGCAATGGCAACAGTTTATGACGTCACTCCTGCAATTCTCGCTACTGCATACCCCGCCGTCCAGTGAAATCAAACAACTCGAACACATCGATAAGTGGATTAGGAGAAAACTATAAACACAAACGACTAACACGCTTTATTTACAGAGGAGAAAACAAGGAGCTCTAGCTATCCTCCTAAAAAACACACTACCGTACAGCAGCAAGGCATTAGCCTGGGTCTAGCTGATCAGCCGGTACGAATGAGAACAGAACGTCGTACCGTTTTAACTGGAGTTACCAGCGGATCCCCTGCGCTTTGCCAGCTCTTTTTTAATCGCTCGAAGCACCCTCTGCACATCCTGGCTCCTGTCATGCATCCGCGCTCTAATCACAGCTTCCGCATCCTCCCACCTGTACACATTAATCGCAGTCTTCAGCCCCATCTTGCAGTCGAAATTGCCGGGGATTTTGCTCGAAAAATACTGAGTGGTGTTTTCCCAGGCCTTGGGAGTCAGATACGGTAGCCAGCCGACAGGAGAGTTGGGCCAGAGAAGCTTGGCGCCGGAAAAATCACACTTGTCAAATTTAGCCTTGCTTTCCATCATATACACGCTGTGAGGAACCGGGCTGACCCAGCGGAAAACTGCACGTGGCCAGGGAAGACGGGGGATGGGAATATGAAACGATGAGTGCGGGATAAGGCGGGAAGATAGGTATGTGGAGCGATGAGATAGATATCTGGAACAGTGAGGGCGGTGAGCGGGGTCCGCTGGGATTAATCCGGTGTTTTACAATCTGAAGAAACCAGAAAATTGACTCTATCATGGCTTTGATTTTTTTATGATTGTCGTTTTCGATCGAAAGACGTACTGAGCAAGAAGTCCGGGAAAACCGGCGGCGGTTCGGCCCATATGAATTTCATAGTCGGACTCCACGGGCTCAGATGATTGGGAAGGAATCCTCCGACCGTTACTTTGATTGCCTGAATAAGTTGGGAGCGGGTGTGATACAAACGAGAGGCGAAAAGTTCATGGTCGGACTCCACGGGCTAATGCGGTTGCGCAAAAACCGTTACTTTGATTGCTTATATAGAGAAGAATGGGAAAAACGGCAACTTGGAATTCCTAATGGGCTGAGTACAACCGGAAAAAAAAAAAAACGGAGGAAAACAATTTTTTTTCCAAAACGAATGTGACATTTGAAAGCGGTAAGCACCTGAGTGGGCAGCACATTGCTAGCCGCGACGATGAGAAGAAGCACCGCCGCAAGCCGGATGTGACGGCTCGGACCCATTCCGGCGAGCGCGAGTTATTTCGTCCTTTCAAAAGTCGCCTCCTCGGGTTCGATAAGATGGAATGTTCGATGCGCAAAGAATTCGAATTTTCGGACCAGATCTGTGAAATGCTGCGTATGAGCTTGCCTTCCCCTTCTGTTCTGGCTCAGTGGCTTCAAAGTTTCAGGTTGACAATGGCTGTAGTTAGTCTAAAGTAGCAAGAGAGACTCGCGTCACTGCGTCTTTCACAAGAGATGCGGCTTCTGAATGCGGAAAGCAAAACGGCTTCTTTCGGTGGCGCTACGAGATTGTTTTCCAACTGCTTTGCTTGCTGCACCACTGCTCAATTTGTACAAATTCGTGCTTGGCATGCTATGGCCTTTCCCTCTCGTTTGGCAAATGTGTCTCCCGCGCATGCTGGGCCTCCAAACCAAATTTCGCCCCAGCCCCCGCCTTCTCCAGGTCCTGGCATATTTTCTCGTGTCGCCCAATCGACGCGCATCGCGCCGTACAGCTGTGCTGCGCTTGTGCGTGCGTGACCAGTTCTTGCTGCCCTCCCGCATGGTCTCTCCAGTGGACGTGGGGAGATGCTTGTGCGCTGTTACAGTGCTTCCGCAGTTGAGGTTGCGCCTATCGCTGGCTTGCGCACTCCCCGCAATGAAAGCCGCGTTCCACGTTGCAAAGAATGAGCACGTGCTGGAGAGGGGAAACTCTGCCAGCGGGGACATGCTGAAGGGTGCACTGAAACAGGTGAGCAGAGTCGCCACGATCTGATTGGCGTTCAGCAAGGCTTCGCTGACTCGACAATTCTACGCAGACTCCCTGGCCCTGGTGCTGCTGAGTCGTCTGCCAGCCACATGCAGCGCTGGGTGTTGTTGCCAGTGATTGGCTGAACAGGTGAGAGTCTGTAGTGGATGTTGACGTGGTCATAGGTGCATGATTTCACTGATGGTTTCCAAAAGCAGAGATGAAACGGATACGCGCCAAGAGCAGGGAGCGGTAACATCTTTGAACAGACAAACAGGGTGCTCTGGTTTGTCAAGTTCATAGGTTTGAGGCAGCAACTCAGTTATTAAAAACCATCAGAAGTGGACAGGTAGGAATTTAGCAACAATGGATAATTACTCTTTGCAGTCGAATTGTAAACTGTTCAGCCAACTACTGGGGGCCCTTAGCAGCAACAATGTAAGTTCCAGGGAGTGACATCATCTTCTTCCACTTCGAGACATAAGCCCTTCTGGTGAAGTTGTTGTAGTCATTGGCTTCAATGGCATCAAGGATTTGAGCATAGAGCCTCAAGGAGGCCCACACCTGAAGAGGGGTACGCATGAAGATTGTGAATGAAAATTTGAGCATAGTACAACAGGGAGTGAAACAAGGTGGTGGTCTATTAGTGTCGACCCTGGCAAAGATCGAGCACAGCAAGAAGTAGTTAAATAGACTCTTACCGGCCATCTGCTTTGCCTGTCAAGCTCAACCACGCCTGCTTCTGCTGTCTTGAAGTAGTTGCGAGCCCTCTCAATCTGGAACTTCATGAAACCGCGCCAGTTGTCAGTAACCTTGCCCTCGAAGATGTCATCGTCAGAGAGACCAAACTGGGCCAGTTCGTCCTGAGGAAGGTACACGCGACCGCGCTGAGCACTGCAGAGGGAAAGGGGGAGAATGTGACACGAGAAAACATAGGTCCCATACTAAACGTGAGTAATGCGGTGGCACATGAAGCACTAACGCATGGCCACAGGACAACATTGATGGACCGACACTCCTCCAGAATCGAAAGAGGAGCCATTCAAGAAATCTACTCGCAGGAGCAACCGCTGGCGATTGATACATACAGGTTTCTTCGACACAGAAAACAAGAGGTACGCGAAGCTGAAAAAGGAGGAGGGGAAAAAGATAACGACAACGTTCAGACCACAACTTACTCTTCTCCAACATCTCTCAAGATGTTTGTGAGCTGATTGGCAATGCCAAGGTCCAGAGCAGCCTTGTACACATCCTCTACCGGCACTTTGGACTTAGGGTCGATTCCCATGACAGGAACGCTCATGAGACCCACAGTGCCAGCCACATTGTAGCAGTACACGTAGAGCTCGTCAAACGTGCGGTATCGGGACTTCCTCAGGTCCATCCGCATGCCATCGACCATGTCTCTGTACGGCTGCAATGATATCGGCGGGGAATCCGGGAATACGGAAAAGCATGTTGCTAAGCTACAAACATGGCTTCTTGCACGTAGTCACACTCGAATAAAGTCTTCATTTAAGACTTGTTTATAGAGCAAAAGGACGTACGCAGTCAACAAAATTCAGCATGCCATTGCTCCATACCTGAATGCTCATCGGGAACGTCTGGATGGTGTCTGAGAGAGCAGCATCCAGCATGTCGTACGGCCGACCTTGGAAGAGCTCATCCAGGCGCTCCTCCCATCTGTCTAGAGCCCTCGGGGTGATGTGCGACGCGTTCGGACCATCCACTAGCTCGTCGGTTCTCCGGCACCAGACTGGAACAGCGAGAGACACAATGACATGCATGTAACGTGTAGTTGCTACCACTGACGAATGCGTAAAAAACTCGACATGCCTGGACAAGTGTCCATGATTAACGGAACCACTACAATGCAGCGAACACAATGTGCGAATGCGAGCACGATTTGACGAGCTAAACAACCAGAATAAAAGATGCATTTATAATGTACTGAAACCGTTGATGAAAAACGACATTCTAACATATAAGACGGACAGGGGGGGCAGAAATACGTACCATAAATGGCCCAGATAGCTCGGCGCCTCTCGGGAGTCATCAGTTTCGTCCCTGCACGAGCACAGGAAACAAGAGTCAGCTGACTTCAACATGCAACATGGAAAAGGAGCACAAGGAAGCATACTAGCCGATTTCCTCACCAAGATAAAATGTCTTGGCGTACTCGGCACAAACTTCTCCACACCGTTCATAAGCCTCTGCCAACAGCTCCGGGGTCATCAAAACTGGCGATTCTTTCTCAGCCGGCTTGGAAATGTAAGTGTCTGCAGCCTCCTTGACTACAACATCGAATATTCTTTGCTCTGCGGACACATAATCAGCGTCCGATTTCCTCTGGCCGGGAATCACGAGCTTCTTTTGAAACCCCTGGAAGGTTCCGGCTTGGCCGGTTGGTACGTCAAGAACAGCTCGTGGTTGAGAGAGCGAGGAGCCTGCGCGATCTACTGACGAACGGACGGCTTGTCTGCTGCTGCTAAGCCGTTTCCCTGTATTCCAAAATGACCGGTTTCCCCAAGAAAGGCTTTGTGTGTTGGCTGATGATGTTGACATGGGGCCATGGTTGTTCGGAGCTGCAACTGTCAGGTCCTTTACACCAGCGGACTGAACTAGAGCCACAGAAACCATACTGACTGGCCGTATAGCAAGTGTGATACTGGTGGTCAAGCTCGCTGGTACGTGGAAAAGCTCCCTCACAATGCCTCAAGCTGGTAAGCGAGGACACAAAAAATATACCGTGATCCTGTGACCAGCAACGCACTGGTAATGAAGTGGAAGGGGCCTCTTCTTGCTAAGTGCAGCCTCGAAGTGCTGGGCCTCTACAATGTCTGCTGGAACCTGTATTGGCCTAACTGTAATGTATGGGAGGTTACAGCATTTCAATGGCTGCCAGTGTGAGATGAGTATTCTGTGATTGTTGTGGTGGGTATCGCTTGAAGAGGCGAGACAGGGCAGCCTTACCGAAGTGGTCTTTTCTGCGTGAAAAACGGGAAGCGGGGCTGTCATTGCTTAGGGGACGATCGATCAGCCGTCCAGGTTGATGCAAATGGAGAATCCAACGGCCTAAGAGAGACCGACGAAATGAACCTTCGAGGGGATGGGCTCCAGAATTTCGCCTGCCCCTTGAGAATTTCCCTGCGTGTGCGGCTCCAATCAGAAAGCACACCTGATCGCACGGCTCAGCGAATCTGGCCAACCAAACTCGAGGTGGGGATTATGTGGAGGTGTGAGGCCAAAACAAGATTCGCGGGGTTATACAGGCAGAGTCGACGTGGCAGAATAACGCTGGGAAAGCAAAAGTTCCCCCAGGAATATGGGTCTAGTCAGCAAACCTCTTGAAAGTGATGACCGTGACACCATGAGACGCGTGGTTTATTGCTTTTGCGAAAACAGTTGTGGGTGGATAAAATGCAACCACCGAAGACAACCACAACCATTCTAACGCGCGGCGACCTTCGTAACGCCTTCGCAGACTAATTTCAGCGAACAAGGGTACCTGCACCTGCGCGCGACGCAACACTTCTTCGAAACTTGTGCCTGAGGGAGACTCGGGTGGAGACGTGCAATATCAACCACACACCCGCGAAATCCAGGATCTCCGATATTGAGTAACATCCGTTTCGTTGTAGATGTAATATACAACAGAATTTCTACGTATCCGTTTCCAGATTGTAGGGGTTTCAAATACTACATAAGCTGGAATGTAAAAAAGAGTCGCATCCGGAGTTGTTCTCAAACGAGGTCAGCTCGTCGCATCAGAACCTCTCACAGTTTCAGCACACAATTTTGCAGTCTGCGTGGCAATCAAACATGTTCAGACAGATGAAAGGCAAGAAACGGAGTCGCACGACCATATACGTACCAAAGGCTTCCACAACCGTGCTCGAGCATTCACAAACCAGTCTTCAACCTGGCAAGCAGAATCCAGTTGAAAAACACAGTACAAAAAAATACACAAAACAACTTCAAGAGGTTGCTTACCTGTTTTTTTGTAATGTTGAATGCGGCCATAAACTCCATCTTCTCTTCTTTTGATGGTTTCCTGCGGACACCACAGAAACCCACGACAATGTTCGCAGGTGGTTCCCATGGTTGGGATAGCGCACAGTGGAGAACAGGCGTCGAGAACTCAGCAAGATAACAAAACAATGACCACGACAAGACAAGACTGCCTCGGCCGTCAGTCATCCCCTCCAAAGAGCCAGTGGATTAGTGGAGTATCCAACAACACAGTCCAGTACAAACCCACCCCATCCCGCCCATCACAGCACGTCATTTCCACATACCCAACTTCCCACACAAGCTTACGGATTATCCCAATGCGCCACCAGCCACTGTAGCATCTTCTGGGCAGCGGCTTGTGGCAGGGCCCCCCTAGCTCCAGACAAACCCAGCTGCTCCCTCGCACTCACTGCTCGCCGCTCCCGCCCCTCCTTCCTCCTCCTCTCCCTCTTGCCACCGGTGCAGTGAGACGGGCTTATGCTATGTGGTGGCGGTGGTGGTGCTGGTAGTGCTGGTGACAATAGCGGTGGTGATGGTTGCAGTGGTGATAGTAATGAAGGTGATACTGGACAGATAGGCACAGGAGATCCTGGCAGTGATGGCACCAGTGTAGGTGCACCTAGAACAGGTATTACTGGCAGCGCTGGCTGCGGCAGCAGCAAAGGCGGTGGCTGTAGAGGCGTGGAAGGAAGCAGAAGCTTCTGTGGTGACAGGGAGGGCTGTCCGTGCTGATTGCTTGCGGGTGCAGCTGCAGCAGTAACGCGGAACGAGGGGCTTCTTGCTGCTTAACACAGACACCAAGAGAAGGAAGTAAGAAGAGACAACCAAGGGGGGGCGTGAGATTCGATTGGGTTGAGCTAAGGCACTGTGGAAGCCATATGCTGCATGCCATGCACTCGTTCCCTTACGCCAGCTTTGAACCACTCTTGCCATTTCCCCTTCGCACCAGCTTTGAACCACTCTTACCATTTCCCCTTCGCTGCAAGCAGCCATAACGTCCAACCAGCCCCTCCCGCCCCGTTCCCCCCTCCCCACTCTCCCCTCCACCCCTTTTCCCGCCCCTCCAACCCCTCCTGTCTTCGCTTTCCTCCTCCTCCGTTTTTAAGCCCCATCCCATCCCTGCTCACCCAAAAGCGGTGGCCTGCCACTGGCACTTACCATTAAGCGTCTTACTTAGCACGCAGTTGAGCCTTAACCCAAACCACTGGATGGCAGCAAACGGAGCAAGGCCCGGTAGGCCCGGTAGACCCTCCGAACCAAATAGGCCCGGCAGAATCCGCAGGCCTTGTAGACTTGGCAGAGTCTGCAGACCCGGCACACATGGCAAAGTACAACTCTCAGGTAGAGCAGGTAAGAGGCCAGGAGCAGCAGATTCTGCAGGGGAGTTGCCAGCAACAGCCAGGGCGCCATAGAGCGGGTCAAAGGCACGCAGCATCTGCCTCACATGAACCTCAGTTGTCACCCCTGCTCCAGGCATTCCAAAGAGAGGCTCAGCCTTCTCTGTGAAGGCATCACCTACATCTATCGGAGCAGCCAGACAACTCAGCATCCATCCCACCTCCCCCAGTAGTGCTCTCACAACCACCTTCAGCCTATCCCGTCCTTCCCCTCCCTCTTGTTTTATCGGCATACTTGCGGAAGTATCATCATCAGCAGCAGCGGCAGTGGTGGCGGCAGGAGCAGCGGTAGCAGTAGCAGTCATGGGAGTAGCAGCAGCAGTAGTAGTGACAGTAGCTGTTTCAGGCACAGGAGAAAGAAAATCTGAAGAATCGTCATGTGCATTGTGGGAAGCAGACAGAGAAGGATGCGATACAGACAAAAAGCATTTTTGCCCTGCCATCCCGCTAATTCTTCCACCCTCTCCTCCATCTCCTCCCCCTCCTCCTCCCACACTCACTCTTACCCTCTTCCTCGTACTTCCCCCCTCCCTCCACGCTCCCACCCTGCCTGCACCACGAGTGCTTCTTGCTCGCTGAACTTGCTGCAAAGCCTGAACATGTGAAGACACGTGGCACATGCCAAGAGGAGTGCTGCCAGGTGGAGGGCTGCCACGTGTAGAGTTGCCACGTGGCAGCTGTGGGCTAAAAGATGGCGGCAAACGAAGGGGAGATGGAGGGCTAAGTAGTGGTATTGAGCTAAGTGGCAGTGGTGGAGATTTAAAACGAGGAAGAGGCTTGAGTGTGGGAGCATGGTTGAGTGACGGCGACAGGTGGAGTGGGGGAAGGGGGGGTAGCCCCAGAAGTGCTGGTGGTGGTGGCGGTGGTAGTGACGGTGGGGTTGATGGTGATGGCGCAGTTGCTATTGGTGATGGCGTTGGTGATGGTGATGGTGCTGACGCGGTGAGAGCAGGTGAGAGGGACAGCAGGGAAACTCGTTCTTGTGCCTGTTTCACCACCACCTCTTCCTTCTCTTTCTCCTGCTGCTGCTCCTCCCGCTGCTGCTGGTGCCGATGCTGCTGCTGCTGCTGCTGCTGTTGCTGCCGCTGCTGCTGGTGCTGCTGCTGCTGTTGCTGCCGTTGCTGCAGCGTGATCGGGTCAACGGAGTGTGAAGAAGGTCGATGAGAAGTATAAGGAACTGGGAGGGGTAGCTGTGGCAGCGACAGAAGCTGGTGATAGTGCCGCTGCTGCGGTTGCTTCTTCGGCTGTTGCAGCTGCTGCAGCTGCTTCTCCTGCTGTTGCAGCAAGTGATTGTTGTTGTTGTTGTTGTTGTTGCTGCTGCTGCTGCTGCTGCTGCTGCTGCTGCTGCTGCTGCTGCTGCTGCTGCTGCTGCTGCTGCTGCTGCTGCTGCGGCAGCGGCAGTGGCTGATCCAACAGCAGTGGCTGATCCAATGGCAGTGGCTGATCCAATGGCAGTGGCTGATCCAGCAACAACACATCCAACTCGTGCCCGTTGCTGCCTCTTACCATACCACCACTGCCCATCCACTCCGAATCACCAAACGACCAGCAACGGGCAGGAAGGATCGCATTTTCACTCATACCCCCACTCTCTATGTCATTATGGTTCTGCGTTGCACAACTGGTAGCACCCATGCCGTGACCACGCATCATCACCATGCCATCCATGCCATTCCGATTAACCAATGCACCAATACCCATGTCACCTATGCTGTGTACGCCCATCACCATAGCCCCTTCAGCATCCATGCCGTAATCGCCCACCATGCCCCCTGATTGAACTTGCATCATTCCAATGTCCCCGCCCTTCTCTCCCGCAAAACCCACATCCGTTACCCCTTGATCCACTGATGCCACAGTCTGAGCCGCCTCTAAGATACACTCCTTACTACCAGTGATGGGTGCATTCATCCCTCTGAGAGACGCACATGCACCCACCCCCACAACCCCCCCTACATCCACTAGCATTTCGTCTCCCTGGCCCATCAAATACCCTTGACCCATCAACTCGCCATTGCCCTCAGCACCCATCTCCATCCCTCTGACAGACGCACCTGCACCCACACCCATCCCCACACACCCCCCCACATCCACTAGCATATCGTCTCCCTGGCCCATCAACTCCCCCATCAATTCTTCCACCAATTCCCTCTCCCCTTCCTCCCTCTTCTCTTCCTCCCTCTTCTCCTGCCTCGAATCTTGTCGACCCGAGCAACTCATACCCCCTTTCTGCAAAACTCCACGCAAGATATTTTCCGGATCTTCCACAGAAGCCCTGGGTGTATCCACAGAAATTGCCCTTGGAGATTCAGGGAGGCGCCAGAGCCAATCAGGTCCGTCCAGGCTGGCCAGGGAAATTTGCTGTTCAATCCCAGCCGTTGATCCCTTTGACTGGTGCAAATCCACCAGCAGAATTTCCGCACCTTCTGCCTCTTCACCATTCGTTGCATTGGTTCCGTTTAAGCATGCAATATCCTCCCAGATATCCTCTTGAACCCTTGGGTTTTGCCCGCCCTCCCCTTCTCCTCCCACCGCTTCCCCTCCCACCGATTCTCCCCCCACCTCTTCACCGCCAATCCCTTTGCCTGCAATCTCGCCTGCCATCCCTCCATCTAACCATTCCTGTTTTGACCCAGTCCCTTGCTCGACCACCACTGGGCCTTTCCCCCTTGCTCCAATCGTTTCCCCTCCAATCCCTTCTCTTCCCATCCCCTCCCCTCCCATACCTCCATCTGCCAATTCCTGGTTCGACACAGCCCCTTGCTCGACCACCACTGGGCCTTGCCCGTCGCAACTGGGCTCCTTGGGATTCGCCATGTCATGGCCTGTATCGTGATGGCCAGCCACGTCACGGTCTGCCACGTCCGCCACGTCACGGTCTGCCACGTCATGGCCTGCCACGTCGTGGTTCCACTGGAGCCCAAACTCATGGTTCCCCGCATCAAATTCGAAGAGGCTTCCGCATTCGTCTCCATTCTGGAAACTCAACTCCAGGGTTTCACGCGACGGAATGCTATGAAAATGGTAACCATCTTCGCTGTAACCCGCTGCCATCGATTCCGCGTACTCATCCGTAAGGTTACCCTCCGTCGGGTTACCAGCTATAGCGTTGCATGGACGGTCCGTGCTTCTAGACGGTTGGCCGGTGCTCTGCAGGCTGCTGACGTCATCAGGAGCGTGGAGGAGGAGAGGGAAGGGTTGTGAGAAGAGCTGTGGAAGCAGATGCGAGAATAACTGCGATTCGTAATCCAAAGCGGAAAACACGCCGCCGTTTTCGTCGCTGTCCGCTGCTGCAACCTCGGCGTCCGCGATTCGCGCTGGTGGATGTCCGGGAGGCTGCTTACGTGGAACGTTTTCCGGAATCTCCGGGACGTGAAGCGTGGGACGATCGTAACGATCAGTATCGGAGGCATGATGTGTAGGACGAAAGGACTTCGGATTTGGCAGCGACGGCGAGATCGGCGCTGTCGGCGCTTTGGACATTCACCAACGCAACCGTGCCGTACGCGATAGAGAGCGATCTGAAGCTTCTAGCATCAGGTAAAGCAAACTTCGAGAATAACACGAGAAAGCGGCTGCAGCTTCTGGCACCAGAACGAACTAGACACAGAACAGCAGGAAGAGAAGCCTTAGTCGATTTCGGACTAAGATTTCGAACGAAGCTGATCCGATTGGAAATTGTTAGCGAGACACCAGAGCGACCGTGCCTTGTGTCGTTTGTCACAAGACCCGCTAAATGGCGGGTCGCTGTACGGATGTGTATGGGCTGAGCGCTTTGCGAGCCGCAGTGCGCGCGGGAGATGCGAGAGAGAGGAACGAGGAGGCCGTGGGAGACGGACGAATGCGGTGCGACAGTGAGAAAATCCCCTGCGAGGGGAAAGATAGCCGCGTAAGTCAGGCGGGTGGGGCTGCAAGGTTTGATTGGCGGAACGGGAGGGATCGGGTTTCGGAAGGAACGGAACGGTACGCTGAAGGAAGCGGAACGGATAAGCGCAATCGCCTATGACCATCGCCGCGGTTCGGGTGTCCATTGTTGGTCTAGAATAATTCACTGCCAAGTGATGCGGCATGGAGGAGAGAGGAGAGGCGGCGGTGTTTGGATGCGTGCGAGACGGCAACCACTTGACACAGCAAGCAGAGCGGTGTGCCGGAATGGTGTCTCTAAAATTGACGCCGTAAGCCAAAAGAGTCTCATCTGGTGCCACTGTGAGCTACGAATGTACTGTATTATGGCGCGTTCGTTCTTGCCGAACCTGACAAAGTTCGAACTCAAACCGCTTTGCACCGTGGCAAAACGTTTTTAATTGTATTCTACCGTGACGAACCGTTACAAAAGTTCGAACTTTCAGTCAGGTTCGGCAAGGACGCCATCGATGGAAAGAGGAATACTGAGTGCTTTGCTGTCGTCTCGTAAACTCTTCGAAAAGGTGCTTTCGTCAGAATCTAGGTGCGTTTTGCTCCGCATCTGAGGATATTCATGATTCCTAAGCGAGTTGACGGGTTTATTCTCTTTGTAACGAGGGACTGAATGACGGGTACAAACCACTAGAATTTGAGCGGCTGCTGCTACTGCGCACGAAATGGTCGCCGGCCGCGATACTGCACAGTAATTCACCCCACTCCAGCAGCTTTCCCAGCATCCGATGCGCAGGTGAAAACTCAGCAGAGCATTCAGGAGAACAGGTGAAACTTTGATTCCTAGAACACCTGAACACAGTGACGGCATTGCCCCATAGACGGAACCTGAGCAACATCACTCCGAAGCCGGCTCACTAGGGAAGCGCGAACAAACAGTAGACTTCGTACGAAAAACCAGGCGATAATGGAGATTCCAGTTCAGCATGACGGGAGAACCAAGAAAGTATCGCGATGCGGCAAGGGCCTGCTTTTTAGACCACAGAAATAGGTGGCCCTTGTTCGCATGCCAAGTTTTTGTTGCTCCACCTTTGCAGACAGTGCCCATCCACTCTGCGTTAATCCCGCTAAACGCCAATCACGCAACAGTAGGGTCGGCTTTCTAGACGACGAGACGCCCATCACGCACGAACGATAAGCGATAGTGAATGTATTTCCACGTGTTCATGCATCTGGCCAGTCACCCGTCCAGATCCGGCAGCGACCACCAGTGCATTTATCGGCAGGTGCCTCAAAAATCACGCAGCCACTGACAGTGAGAGAAAAGCAGCTTGTGGTTGTGATGTGAGCTTGGAGCGCCGAGCTTCAAGCCAGACTCTGAAGAGACATCAGAAACGAGAAGATTCAGTGTAAAAACCCCAACCGAATTTCAGATAGCCATTCTCGCGCAGCGTCGGTCGCGGAACCAGCGGGGTTTCTGGCACGCGGTTATCATGGCAACCGCCGCCTGGAGTAACGCGGCGCACGCGCTGCGGTTTCTCCCGCTCATCCTCCTCTCGCTCGTACTTTCCCAAGCGGCTCGCCCCGCCGCCTCTCAGTCATCCGCGGCGCCCCGCCGCCTTCTCGCCACCGAGACGCCGGGCAACCCCGTTTATATCGTCCGCCTTAAAGGAAACTCCGTCGCGGCCGAGATTAACGGGAACGGTAACGGCGGAAACAATGGCAATGGCGGCGGTAACGGCGGAGGGAACGGGAGGAATGGACAGCGGCAGAAGATCGACCGGAACTCGCAGCGCGTCAAGGACCACGTCGATCGAGTCAAAGCCCAGCACGCTCGCGTCGCGCGCGGCGCGGGGGTTCCCGACTCGGACGTGCTCTACAGCTACGTGTACTCGACCAACGGTCTCGCGGCTCGGCTTTCCAAGGAACAGAAGCGCGCGTTAGAAGCAGACCCGGAAGTAGCGTACGTGCAGGAGAGCAAAGTGCGCAAGCTGGATGTCCTCGACTCACCGAATTTCCTCAATCTGCCCAACACGCTGTGGAAGGCGAATACCGCCGCGTCGCTGAACGCGGCCGGCGCGGGAACGGTCATCGGGATTGTGGATACGGGCATCTGGCCCGAGCACCCGTCGTTCCAGGACCAGGTGTGTAGAAGTTACGCTGTAACCAGGAGTGAAATGAGTTGGCGCATCATAGCACCACCCTCCGCACGCTCATGCCCCTTGATTCCCCCCTCACGCCCATGCCGAATTCCCCCACTCATGTGTCCCCCGGGCCCCTTATTTCCCTCCCCCAGGCGGCCAACCCGTATCCCAACCCCCCTGCCACGTGGACGGGCAAGTGTCAGACCACCTCGGATTTCCCCAAGTGCACGCGCAAGCTCATCGGCGCGCAGTACTTCATCGCTGCATTCCCTCTCCCCATGTTCCCCTCCCTTCTGTGTCCACCAGTCGACCAACCCGTATCCCAACCCCCCTGCCACGTGGACGGGCAAGTGCCAGACCACCTCCGACTTCCCCAAGTGCACGCGCAAGCTCATCGGCGCGCAGTACTTCATCGCGGGCTTCCTCGCCGCGGGGCTGACGTACTACGACCCCAAGGACTGGCTCTCCCCGCGTGACGTGGCGGGCCACGGCACGTGGTGTGCGGAGTAAGACTCATGGAGGGGGTTGCTTGCAATGTACACTGTTTTAGTCGGGTACTTTCAGACTTCGTACTTCATCGCATGGTTCCTCGCCGCAGGGCTGACCTACTAAGGCTCTCCTTCCCTCCCTTTCTCCCCTACCCCCCAATTTCCAGAGCCGCGGCAGGCAACGGCCCCGTGTCCTTCGGGTCGCTCAACTCCGTCTTCCTCAGCTCATCCTACGGCGTGACTCCCCGCGCTTTCCTCCCCGCGTACAAGGTCTCACAGTCCCTTCACCGGTTCTCGTCCCCATCCCCCATCCCGTCCCATTCCCAGAGCCGCAGCAGGCAACGGCCCCGTGTCCTTCGGATCGCTCAACTCCGTCCGTCTCGGCGCGTCCTACAGCATCCTCTTCACCCTTCCCCACCCGTCTTCACCCTTCCCATCCCCTTCGTTCCCCTCCATTTTCTCACAGAGCCGCGGCCGGCAACGGCCCCGTGTCCTTCGGGTCGCTCAACTCCGTCTTCCTCAGCTCATCCTACGGCGTCGGCCCCCCGCGCTTCCTCCTCGCGTACAAGGTCTCACAGTCCCTTCACCGGTTCTCGTCCCCATCCCCCATCCCTCCCCCATCCCTCCCTCCCCATCCTCCCTCCCTCCCCCATCCCCTTTCCCTTCCCCATCCCCCCTTCCTCCCCAATTCCCAGAGCCGCGGCCGGCAACGGTCCCGTGTCCTTCGGATCGATCAACTCCGTCTCGCTCGGCTCGTCCTACGGCGTCGCGCCGCGCGCCTTCCTCGCGATGTACAAGGTCTCGTGGTACAGCACCGCGTACGGCGGTCGCGTAATTGTTGATTCGGATATCTACGCGGCGGTAGACACGGCCGTGGCAGACGGCGTGGACGTGCTCTCGCTCTCACTCGGCGGAATGGACCCCTCCGACACATACTTTGACGACTTGGGATACCTCGACGCGCACCTCGTGAGTTTTCTGAGCCTTCTTCGATTTTCCCGGTAGACACGGCCGTCGCGGACGGCGTGGACGTTTTGTCGGTCTCGCTGGGGGGGATGGACCCTTCGGACACGTATTTCGCCGACCTGGGCTATCTCGACGCTCATTTGGTGAGTGCTGAGTTTTGAGACGTCGCATCACGGACGTCGCATCACGGACTCGGATATCTTACGCGGCAATTGACACGGCCGTCGCGGACGGCGTGGACGTGCTCTCGCTGTCGCTAGGCGGAATGGATCCTTCGGACACGTGTTTTGACGACCTGGGTTACCTGGACGCGCACTTGGTACACCCTGTGCTCTCTCTAGCTCTCGCCCTCCCTCTCTCGCAACGGTGGACGCAGCCCTCCGCCCTTCGCTTGCAGCCCGCAGGCTTTCGGAAAATCTCAATACTCATCCTCTGCCCCTTGCTAACTCCCTCTCCCCTCTCCCCCTTCCCTTCCCCTTCCTCCTCCTATACCTCCACCAGGCGGGAGTGGTGGTGGTGAAATCAGCCTCCAACTACGGTCCTCCACCCTTCCATCCCTTGCTCTACCGCTCCATCTCCAACTTCTCGCCCTTCTTTCTCACTGTTGGCGCCAGGTGAGTTCTCAGGTGATTCAGGTTGTTCGAAGTGCGTTAATTCGTTCTCTCTCTCTCTCTCTCTCTCTCTCTCTCTCTCTCTCTCTCTCTCTCTCTCTCTCTCTCTCTCTCTCTCTCTCTCTCTCTCTCTCTCTCTCGATCTCACAATCTCTCTCGCTCTCTCTCTCTCTCTCACGATCTCACAATGTGCCTCTACTCTCCGTCGTTACTCATCTTTGTCCCCTCTTCTCTTCCCCCACACTTCCCCTCCCACCCGTCCCCCTTGCATGCGCGCAGCTCTATCAGCCGTCGTTACAACGCGTCGCTCACCCTCGGTAACGGCACCGTGATTTACGGAAACGGGTTTGGCGGCCTGAATATGGGTGCCAACACCCCCCTCATCGACGCGGCTAAAATTCCCGCTGCTGGATATGATGCATCTACAGTAAGTAGAGAAAAAATCATAATGTTTTTTCTTCTAATGCTGACACGATTCCCCTTTGGTTCTCCTGTGACTCCATTTGCCTTCGTCAGTGCATCTATAGTTCTTGAAATGAACAAAATTCCTGAATGTGGCCATGCATCTACAGTTGGCGTGACCTACTCTACTTTTTTATAGCTGTCCTCTATTGTTGTACATATATGCTACTTGCATTGATTTTGTTATATTCTCATTTTTCATTCCCAACAAGCCAGGCATTGCAAGGACGGCTTGCTCCCTTCTGAGAACCGTTTTTTCTCCTTCAATTCCAATTTCCCAACAGGCCCAGTACTGCAAATATGGCTCGCTCGACACAGTGTGGGTGGCTTGGCGCATGGTGGTGTGCTTATACGGAGGGGGGGTGAGCAACGACGAAAAGGCTTTAGAGGTCTCTCGTGGCAAGGGCCTGGCAGTGCTTATAGTGAATGTGATGCCGGCAGACGATGCGTCATTCACCCGATACGGCACGCTCCCTGCAATGACTCTCTTCCCTCCTAACGATGCGATTCTTACCAAGTACTTGCTGTCTGCAAGGTAAGCGTTCTGTGTGCTATTTGCTGTTATGTGGCATGGATTACATCGATTGTAGCGATTCTACTTAAACGCCACTCTCCAGATTCCCCCTGTCGTAACCCCCTTTCGAACACTCCCTTTTGCACTGTCCTTCGTTTCATTTCATCGCAGACGCTCCCTCCCCTCCCGTGAGTTCCCCCACAGGCACCTCCATTCCGTTTGTTTTTCTTTTGTTTTGCTTTGTTTTGTTTTTTTTCATTGAAACTCCATGTAATGTACCCCTTCCACCCCTGTACCCACCCATCTTTTTTTGGGCTCCTCCCAGCCCCACAGGCACCATGTCGTACGGTTTCACTCAAAACACCGGCGGAGCCGCAGCAACCATGGCCTATTTCTCTTCCATCGGCCCTCTCGTGCTCCCCTCTACCGTCCCTCCTCCCTCGTTCCCCACCAACGACATCTTAAAGCCCGATATCATCGCTCCGGGCTATAACCTCTGGGGCGCTGCACCCGGGACGTCCCCGGGTGCTGCCATGTCTACCGCTACTAAGGCTTTAATGAGCGGAACGTCCATGTCTACACCTCACGTTGCCGGAATCGCGGCGCTTATAATGCAGAATAAGACCGATTGGACACCGTCGCAAGTGATGTCGGCAATAATGACAACAGCTACAGTGAAGAACAACAAGGGCGTGGCGATTAAGAGTTACAACAATACTGCAGCGACGCCCTGGCAAATGGGAGCTGGACACGTGGACGCAAGCAAGGTGCTTTCTCCAGGCCTTACATACAGTTTGACCGGGCAGGATTTCTACAATTTTTTGGCCGGGCAGAATCTGACCATTGCGCAGTCACTGGTTGCTGCTGATGCGGTTTTGACACCGATCCCTGCTTACAACCTCAACCGGCCGACGATTTCCGTGGGGCGGCTTACAGGGAGTCTGACTGTAACGAGGACGGTTACGAGCGTGGGGAGTGCAGTGTCAACTTATAACGCCACTGTGGTGTCCCCTACTGGGGTTACCACAGTGGTTACACCAAAGTCCTTCACGATCGCACCTGGTGAGTCGGTGACGTTCAACGTAACATTCAAGGTGGTAACCGCATACAATGATTTCAGGTTCGGGAGTCTAACATGGAAGGATGGCAAGAGTGTGGTTACATCTCAGATTGCGGTGGTCCCCTGGTCTGCCTAGCCGTGTTTGGCTGGGGTGAATCGTGTACCAGTATCGTTCTTGTATCGGTTTACGGTTGCTGTCTGGCTTTTTGTATTTTATATCGTGGTGTGGTGGTGGTGGGTCAAAAGGTGCTTGGTGTGTTTGATTTGATCATAGATGAGGTACAGTGCCAGTCCACCGGTACCGTACCATATGTTTGAAGAAAGAACAGTTTTGCATATTAGTAATAGTATAGCTCCATTGTCCCTCCCGCCTGACTATATGGGTTACTGTACCAGATTTTTTTATACATGCTGGAATAAATTATCATGTACTTTGCTTTCACATCATATTGTGTGCCTTTTTGGACTGCCATTTTGCTGCCCAACCTCGTTTTGTGGGGTTGTTGGTCTGGCCCTTAGAAGCATGTTTATGGGCTCTAACATAACAGTACAAACACAGCCAGTAAACCCAGCTGTCTAGGGAGGGATGCATGAGTTTGTCACCGTTCAAATTATCTGGAGACAAACCCAACTATTCTGCGCGGATCATGGAGCTGTACATAGATTTAGCTGTAAATGCTTTCATTGATTTCAACATTCTGGTGTACAGATATTACTACTTGGTGAGCACAGCCAAAGATGTGAATACAGCTGGCAGAAGCCAGGGCGTCGGATCAACCGATTCCAGAGCCACAGCAAAGCAGCCCAGTAGCAGAGCAGCAGCAAACTGCTTAAACGCACTCAACCACTCTGTCATGACCAGGAAACATGATCCCTGCCAATGCAGCTGCTACATCAGTGGTATTCATGTGCGACGACAATGCTGCGTCCTCACGCCTCAGATTCAAATGTCCTGAACGTGCAGACCTGGGGGGACAAGGAGCGGGTAATGATGCGAAGGGAGAAAACTAAGGGAGGATGACAACGGGTCAGACTCATTGTGATGTACGATGATTGAATCAAACAGCATATTGCAGCGAGAAGATTCAGGCAATGAATCCTCTTTCACAAGAAGTCAGTCTCTGCTGGTCTCGTCACAAGGGATACCAGCCCATTGTTTCCCAGGCTCACAGAAAGCCAGAAACATCTGCAATCTCCCAGGGCTACGGTTGGTTGGAGTCAGCCAATCAACTAAACGTTGATGCTTAAGCAAGACTGGCCGCGTGCATTCAAACAAACTCTACATACCCAGTGCTAAACCGCTTGCATTCCAACACTCGTCTGACGACCTTTGAGCTCGTTTTTAACTCTGCTTTTCCTGCTCATTACCATCTCGCACCGCAATTCGCTGCAGTGTATTCCTGACGCGCTCCCTCCTGTACCCATAAGTTCCATCTACTCGAAACATCAGCACACAACCCAAATCTAAGCTCCTGGAAAGGAAGACTTCCTGAACCTACGCTCGCTGCTCTGATATCAGCTTCCTCCATCTAACCTTGCTGCACCAAAACGGACTCCCCTGGGCCTAGGCTTGATTGGCTGAAAACGACTTCCTGAATCTAAGCTTCCTGCACTAGGAAAACTCACTAAATCTGAGGGTTTGCACTAAATTTAAGCCCTTGAAGCGCTTCCCTGCACTAATTTATAACGCCAGAACGGGTCTCAGCTTCCCGTGTCCACACGTCCGGCACAGCAGATGCGACAGTTTATCAACAAATCTCTGAAGCACCTTATTCGAAATAACCTGATAGATTTAACGCTGCAGATGGAAATATTTGAGAACTGGGGATGCGCGTGGGCTCATGGGGTGAAGCAGGTGAAAAGGTGCTTCAACTGCGCACATACATCCCCTTAAACTGTACAAAAAGTCCTTTAACTGTATAAATACATCCCCAACAACGCGTACAGCATACCAGGGGGGAGCAACTGCTTGAGCTTGTCCGCCACGCAGAGCGTGTAGAAGTACTTGAAGCATCACAATAGAAGAATACTCTGTATCGCGTACAACACATACCAGGGGGCAGCGACTGCTTAAGCTTGTCCGCCTTGTCGCTGTCGGTGACACATAGCGTGTAGTGGTACTTGGAGCACCGCAACTTGAACAATAACCGAACACTCTTATACCGCGTACAGCATACCAGGGGGCAGCGACTGCTTGAGCTTGTCCGCCTTGTCGCTGTCGGTGACGCAGAGCGTGTAGAGGTACTTGGAGCACCGCACCTTGAACTTCACCACGTCTCCGGTCTTCTTGATCTTCACGGCTGCGGGAAGAAGGGGAAAGAGGAGAGGAGGGAAGGGGGGCAGGTAACAAGTATAAGAACAAGTGCTTTTGGAGCATCGCACCTTCAACTTTGCCGCGTCTCCGGTCTTCTTGATCTTCACGGCTGCAGGAAGGGTGGGAGGAAGGGGGGAGGGGGGGGGCGGGGGGGGGGGGGGGGGAAGAGGAGGGGAGGGGAAGAGGGAGTAGTGCGTTGGGGTGAATGAGGCGTGGGAGATGCAGAAATGACTGGTGAGTGAGCGAGGGAGGGATGGTGACGGGGAGAAGGTCGAATAGACTTGCACTTGACGATCAGAGAATCACTGAAGGAAATTTCAAGGCAGGGAATGTCAAAGCAAATGATGGGTGAGGTTTGGAAAGAAGGTGAAGGAAGTGGCACTTGACCACCAGAGCATCAGTGAAGGAACACTTACAGGAGACCATCAGCATCAGTGAAGGAACACTTACAGGAGACCATCAGCATCAGTGAAGGAACACTTACAGGAGACCATCAGCATCAGTGAAGGAACACTTACAGGAGACCATCAGCATCAGTGAAGGAACACTTACAGGAGACCATCAGCATCAGTGAAGGAACACTTACAGGAGACCATCAGCATCAGGGAGTATGTTAGGTTAAGGGGGAGGACGAAACCCGAACACAACGCTGAGCAGATTCATAGAACGGATACATCCAACGGATACATCCAACGGATACGTACAGCGGGCATCCTTCCGCCGCGCGGTGAGGAGGAAGTCCTTGATCTCGTGGATCTGCTTCGGCTGGCAGCATAAAAAAAAAGTTGAGCGGTAAGGAATGGGGGGAGGTGTGTGTGTGTGGGGGCCGGGGGGGGTGAGGAGGGGATGGGGGGGGGGGGGAGGAAGGGGGGGTTAGGTAGAGGTGAGGGGGAAGTCCTTGATCTCGTGGATCTGCTTAGCTGCAGCATGGATTGACGGCATTGGGGAAGGGGGGGAAAGGAGGGAACGGGGTGTGAGGGTGGTTGTCAGTTGAGCGAACTAAGGGAAAACTATCTTAGGGGAGCGGAATGGGGGCGGTCGGGAGGGGTGAGGAGGAAGGCCTTGATTTCGTGAATCTGCCTCGGTTGGCAGAGAGAATTGGCGGCATTTAAGGGGTAAAGGGACATGGAAGTGTCAAAGGGAGAAAATAAGTGGACGAACGGAAAGGAGAGCGCAAGGGGGTGGGTAGGGGAGCGGAAGGGAGCTGTGAAGAGGAACCTAATGACTCGTCAGCGGAAGAACGGGAAAAGGGGACGGTGGGGTGTGATGGGGTTGAAAATAATAAGGGTAGAAGAGATAGCAGGGTGCGTAGAAGGGGCTGAGAAACAGCGGTGCGTGCTGGAAGTCGGGAATTACGAGGGGCAGAACTGACTTGAGGAGTAGACACGGGAGAGAGAGAGGATGCTAAGGGACGGGGAAGAGAGGAGCGGAAGCGGAACGCTGGACAGTATGACGACGGAAAGGCCGTGCTTTCAAAAGCACGAGGCAAACGTTGCCGATTGGAGTTGAAAAAGATTTTTGGGAACGTAGGGACGGGAGGAAAAAGAGCGAAGCGGGAACGTCGCAGTTTGAATCTGTGACTGCTGACAGCCCGTATTTCTGAGACGCGAGGCAAAAGCTACTAAGAGAAACGTCTGACTGACGGTCCAATCCGATACAACATCTAGCTAAAACGAGAACTTATAGCGGCAAGCCAGTAAGAGGCCTGTATGCGCGAGCTAGACGCAAGACTAATCGACGACGGCGAAAAACTGGACAGGTCGGCAGCATGCGCCTTCTGCACCAGCACACGCGAAGGAAGCTGTTTGACGTGGGCCAAACCCTAATTTGCCTTTGACCCTGATACACAACGCGCCACGCAACAAAAGAACGGCAGTTCCGCCAGCAGGAAAGAAACACCCGACCTTACAGGGGGAAAAAGTAACATCACTGGCCTTTCTAAGTGGCACACGCTCAGAATATGTTCAACTCAATTCAACTCAATTATGTCAAACTGGCGGCGCGAAATGGAAGCCTACTCATAAACAGAGGAAGATCGAAGCGCAATGTGAACGCACCATGGTGACGACGTAGGTGGCCTAAAGACCGAAGAAGGAATCAACCCTAGGTGCGATTAGGGCAAGCTAAGTCGTTAGGAGGGAGAGGAAGGAATCTAAGAGCAGGAGCTAAGGAAAAATGCAGAGCGGGAGGGAGGAGAGAGTGGTGGGCGGAGGGAGCGGAACAGCGCGCATGCGCGCTTGCGGAAAGGGTTTTGGGTGTGAGAGAGTGGGTGCGGGGAGGGAGGAATGGTGAGCGGGGGTTGAGGGGGAAAGGAGAGGGAGAGGGAGGGTTTTGTTGGAGAGCACATTAGAATCAATTTCAGCAACCGCGTTCTGTTTTTTGGGGCTTTGCTTCCAACTACGGTCTTCACTTTTCCAAGCTTAGTGTATATTGATAGTTTTTTTATATGCGAATCTCCGACGCATTGTTGTGCGGCTGTGTGCTGCCAGCGCGTTCGTGCAACGCGAAGGTTCTTGTCTTAATCACCCTAGCTCTGGCCGGACCTCCACATAGGCTTGGCTGAAAAGCTTCGCGATGCCTTTGCTTTGGGCACCCAAGCCTTGCTTGGAGCTCTGGCCGGACCTCCAGGTATGTGAGTGAAAACCATTGGCTGGAATTTGAGTGAGGCGGTTCTGCGCAAGCCCTGATGTTCGTCCCACGTGGAATTCGAGTGAAGCGAATAGGTTATCCATCGAGTCTGGTCAGCCAGGAACGCCCAAACCAAGAATCAAAGAGATCCACCCACGGCCAGGGCACATGCTACCCACATGACAGGGTGGCACCTGCCATCACCTGACCCTTCTATACGGTACAGTGTGGTACTGTAGAACTCTATGGGATGGGGATGGATGGGAGGAGAAAGGGCCACGGCTTCAGCCCAGACCCGACGCAAAAAGTGAAGCCGAAAGCACTGCTGCTGGCGCTACCACTACCCCAGATAACTTCGGTTATCGCTCAGGGGGCGGCGTTTTGGTGGGGGGAAGGGGGATTGGAACTTGGAAGAGAACGTGAATGGAGGTCGGTCGTCAGAAGCAGGCGTGAATGGTGGGTGGGTGGTCAGAAAACAGGGTTTGGCTGTCAAACACGGAAACCGAGGCCCTGTTCGGCAGGCGTTAAAAAGGCCTTTAATATCAGGCTCGGGGATCAGCTACAGTAAAACGATAGGCGAACTATGGGTTATCAAGGTTCGAGATAGGCGTTCTCATTCCGAACCTGAGGGCGTTAATATGCCTGCCGAACGACCCTTGTATTGCTGGCGTTTTTTGCCAAACGTAGGTTCCAGGAAATCACTTCCACGGGCAAAATGGCGGACCACTGATCCGCCCCCTGGTGCAGCGTCGAGAGCTTGCACCATGCGGGGGATTGGTGATGCGGCCAATCATATGCGACTGGCCGAAAATACACACCAATTATGTGATTTCGCGAAGGTACTACAAAATTCACAACCTTTGCGTGTCGTGTTTTTAACGCCCTTAACGTCAGCCAAACGGTGTTCAAATGATTTTCTATAACGCCAAGCAATCCTCCCAGTTCCCGAGCCTGCGTTTGGGCCAACGGGTTTTTAACGCCCATAACGCCCATAACTCCTGCCGAACAGGGCCCGAACCAGGTCAACGGAATTGCTGGCCGTCCTTGCCATACACACGATGCCCGTTTGACTAACCCAAGGTTGCCTTGTGAAGAGGGCTCTTAAGTGATTCTTGCATTTCGTGGAGGTTTCGTCAATTCGCATCGGGCAAAAAGGGCTTATAACAAAATTTTGTAACTCACCGTTGACTGTTTGACTTCGGTCTCTTCAGTTTCTGTGGTTCGTATTGGTTGACGTGCTTGTAACGTGGATGCAACTGTCCGGCAAAAAACCCGCGCGTGCAAGGTTTCTGGAACGTGCGAGGCAATTTCGCGTGCAGGGGTTGGGCATCTTGGGGCTGTTCGCCAGCACCATTATATCTAAAAACGACGGGATAACGACGGGATCAGGAAGGTGGGTCTCGCCTTCCTGATCCCGTCAGTTAGAGTTCGTTAACCTCCGTCAGCTTGGTCAGCCCGTGAATATTGTGCCGAGCCTCACCTACCGTCCAAACCAATTAACAAACTGGGCGTCTGGCGAACGCCCACTTTTGCACACCAATTTCAACGTTTCGACGGCATATGGAAGCGGGGACGAAACTTCCTCCCCAGGCAAAACACCATCCCCTTGCAATGCCATCGTCATGCGGCGTTTTTAGAAGCACAGCGATGGCACAGCGGTTGCACAGCGGACGCATCGCTGTTCAGGGGAACCCGGGAGCAAGCCTTCAGTTTAATAAAGGGGGGTTCGTATACCCCCCATTTTTCCCTCCCAAACACACCTTCAAAATGCCCCCCACACATAACTTCTTTTATTTGCGTTTTTTACCCACGTTGAGCAATTTTTGATCAGCGGGCAGCACAAGGGTAAGTGAAGAGCAAATTTCGCGCCATTGGGGGGAAGGTGGGGATGGACCTTCCCGATGCAGTTGCGAAATTTCACCTTTCGAGTGCGCTTAGTTTCTCGGACGGCATTTCGCCCAAACCAGGAAGGAGGGTTCCGCCCCCGTTTCCACATGCGTCGCGATGCTGATGCCATCGTTTTTTGTTGAAGAAACGATTTGCTGGCGAACAGCACCCTTGTGTACCACAAAACCCCTTCCCAGACCTCACAGTTCAGCAGCAGGATCCACCAAAGCAAACACCAGGCACAAGCAACCGTCAACCCCCCGCAAACCACTCCCCCACCTTCCGTCCCAAACCCCTCTCCACCGCCTTACCCCACCCGCTCGCATGACACCCCCGATCTCCATCCCCCACTTTCCCTCCCCCACACCCCCCGAATCGCGCGTCGTAGGTATGGTACAGCACAGCACATCTGGTCTGGGGCATCTTCCCTCCCCTCACCACCACCCCCCCACACGGTCAAGCATTTTACTGTCCGCCTGCCCGACACCCAACCTGCTCGGCATGACATCCAATAGCATCCATCCCTGATCCTTCCCCAGACAACCCTTCCCTGAAACCAAGATTGATCAGACTTGATGATTTCCACCCAGTCACAACACACAGGTATGCAATGGTATGAAGCGGTGGAAACCTGAACCGCTTTGAAACGTGGTCAAACGTATTGAACCACAGTCTGTTGTTCTCCTGAGCCCTGCAAAAAGTAATAATTGTGCAAGTCTTGAGAATCTAGGCTGGCTTCAGGACTCTACAGGTGTTATGTGCTGCATTCGTTCTTCGGGCCACTGAGTTTACGCAGTGCTGAAAAATCAAGTGAGCTAGATTGTCAACGGTTGCCTCAATATTTTGTGTTCGACCGCTAGTAAAGCTGCTTCCGTTTGTTAATACCTTTTTGTTGCAACGCAAAAAACGTCGAATTTGGTACCAAGTGCGTGGTTAAGTCCTTGTTCCCTCCTTGATATTCATGTCGTCGCCGTTTTACCAACAGATCGGCGCAGATTTCGCCACTTTTCAACAGCTCGCGGAGAATCCCCATCCAATGCTGAGCCAGCAGCCATATCCTCCACATCAGCTGCACCAGCCGCCATTTCAGGCACAAACGCCGCATCCGCTGGTGTCAAATGAAACGGTTTCTTCACAAGGCAGTCCTCAAACCGCGCCGGAACTCACGATGAATCTGAACCAAGCAATGGTCGATCTCGAAGGCTCCGGTTTCGCTTCTGGTGCTCTGTCTGGTGCTCCTTCTAATGATTTGTCTGGTGGTGTTCTTGGCTTAACTTCCTCCCCAGAGGCTCTAATGAATGCCCTCAATTTACTTCAGCAGGTACGGTTCTATGAAGGATACTACATCGTCCATTTTCCTCCATCTCTTAACGTTTGAAGACTTAGTTGTACCTTCGCTATATATGCTCCTCGACGCCTTACCTGTTGTCATGGAGTTTTCTTCGAAACGCTTGTCTCTGGTTTGTTGTTCGCAGTTTGCCTGTTTCGCGATGTACTTATCAAGGCCATTTATTCGTTTCCGCCTTTCTATTGGTTTCGTTCTCCGCAGAACATCAGCGCGCTTCAATCGCTCATCCCGTTGATGGCGCAGCAGCAGCAGCAACAGCCAGTCGACAGCGCTCACGCGGAGCAGCTAAAGCAACAGCACGCTGCCGCGTCGGCCGGAATTGCCTCCGTCATTTCCCAGCTCGCGCTCGCCGCGGCGAACATACTTCCCCAAATGGGCCTTCCTGTTTCCGTAAATGTCACCTCGGCTACTATTCCACCCGCTAATGTCACATCCGGTGCTTTCCAGTCTGGGAATGAGGTTCTACAGGGAACTCCTGCGAGCTTTGACTTCCATAATCTTGGCTTCCAGATGTTGGAATCGAAATCGCGGAACGTGCGGAACGATGATACGGCTACGGCTCAGGTGCAGCTGAGTCTTGCTTCCTTGACCCCTGCTGCAGCCGAGTTTGTCAAGCTGCAGCAGCTCAAGAGCGTTATTTCGCAAAAGGAGCAACAGCAGCACCAGCAGCTCATTCAGCAGCAGACAACCGTCTCTCCAGGCGACGACACGTCGCCACTCGCAATCGCGTCGCACCTGCCGCGGAAGCGAAAAAAACTCGAGCCCGTGACAATGACGCCTGCTGCTGACGTGCGTCAGGGAAATCCCGCGATTTTCCCTCCTGGCGATGACGGCGACGACGACGAGGGCGAGTTGTTGGCTGGTGAGTCGCGTGCTTGCTGCACTGGGTGTTGCATAGGTCGCTGAAAAGTCGATAAAGTTCTGGAGTAATCCGAGCTGTCTTCGAGTGCATAGCTTCTTTCTCTCTTGTATCCGTATCTCTTGAGACCGTGCCTCATACCCTTGTGCTTGGTCTTTAATGCATGCGTGGCTTCAGAGGGGGAGTTTAACATCACCCAGACGGACCTTGTTGAATTTATAGAATCCCACTCCTATCATTTGACGCTTGCACACATCCCATGCACCTTGTCTCTCTGCTGCGTGCACTCATGCTTTCGTGGCTTCAGGAGAGTTCAACATCGTCCAGATGGACCCTGTGGAGCTGCTGGCGGAGCACACGCACTTCTGCGAGATTTGCGGCAAAGGTTAGTTCTGATGTCTCTACCTCGCTGGAACCATTGCATCTCTATGACTCGGTAGGTGTGTGCGTCTTCCACCACCTGAGTGGACCCTGTGGAGCTGCTGGCGGAGCACACACATTTCTGCGAGATCTGTGGCAAAGGTATTGGCTGAACTGAAAGGGACGTGGTTTATGCAGCACGTGCTTTACCTCACTGCATCCCTCTGCTGTTATGGCTAATCCTGATATCTTATCTCGTTTTTTATCTTCCATGCCCTTATCTTATCTCTGCATTGCTGTGCAGGATTCAAGCGAGACGCCAACCTCCGCATGCACATGAGAGGCCACGGCGACGAGTACAAGACGCCAGAAGCCCTCGCAAACCCCGACAAAACCTCGCTCTCACGGACAAACCCCACTGCCGCCGCTGAGAAAAAGCCGCTTCGATACAGCTGCCCGTTTTTCGGGTGCAAGCGCAACCAGCAGCACCGGGCGTTTGTGCCGCTGAAGACGATGCTTTGTGTGAAGAACCACTACCGCCGCACTCACTGCCCCAAGATGCTCTCCTGCTCCAAGTGCGGTGCAAAGCGGTTCTCGGTGGTGGCGGACCTCAAGACCCACGAGAAGCACTGCGGGCGCGACCGCTGGCTGTGCTCCTGCGGCACGTCCTTCAGCCGCAAGGACAAGCTGCTCGGCCACCTCGCCCTCTTCAAGGGCCACCGCCCAGCCAACCCCTCCCTCACCGCTGCCGATGACGGTGCTGCAGGCGCCAAACCCATACTTGCTGCTTCCAGTCCCACCGTTGCTGCCCCTCCAGACGATTACGCTGCGTATGCATTAGGTGTTAAAGCAGGCGCCGCAGCCGCCACAGCTGCAGTTTCTCCCATGCTTTTTGGCGCTTCCTTTCAGCAACCTGAGCAACAACCTGGGTACCATCCTGGAAGTCAACCTGAAGAACAACCTGAGCAACAACCTGGGTACCAACCTGAGCAACGAGCACTGGTAGACCTTGTCACGGCGGATCTTCTGGGCTCAGCTGAGAAGGCTGCGAGGCTGGTGCTGTGAGTGCAGGTGGTGGTGTTCGCTGTAGTGCATCACTCGTGTCTAGCTAAATGGCTTATGAATTATGGAGACTAAAGCTCCATGTATGGTTTGCAAAAATTATGCCTTGCTTGTGTGTGAGCCAAGGGGAAAAAATGTGTCCCTTAGTGCTAGTACCGTATACATGTTAATTTGTAGTGCCCATGTAGGGCAAGTCGTTTTGTGCCATGCTTCATGCTTCATATTGTGAACTGTGGAAATAATGGTGTTGCCACAATGCTTCTTAGAGCGTGTTCCTACACCTCGTATCAGAAACTGCATATGGATGTGTTTCAGTGCTGTTCAACGCGAATCTGATATGGGGTTGCCTGATACGAGGCTGTGGGAACACACTCTTACACTTCGCACTACACAGGATATTATTTCGGTTGCAAAAGCACAGCACATCATCAGTCAGAGCAACAAAAACAGATCAACTCTTGAGACGGCTCAACAGCAGTCCACCCACCCCTCTGGGCCATGGCTTGCTGTTGAAACACCTCAAGGGATACATGCGCAGTCACACTCAAATAGAGTCATGACAAGGTGTTGTGAGGCAGAGAATGGGAAGGGATTTAATGGAAAGAAGGGATGACATGACTGCATCATTCTCAGCAGTAGGTGTGAGAAATGTTGCACTTCGGAGTAAAGTTTGAAACTTCGATGTGCCTCACAAACTGCTGCTGCTGGTGCATTAGCACGCCTCACACAATGCTGCTGCTCGTGATTTTGCTGCTGTGAAAGGCAGATCTGAATCGAGTGTACGACCGCGACCCTGCTGGTGCTGCTGCTGTGTTGAAGGCAGGTGGAGGAAGCATAGGAGCATTCCCATTAGCACCCGTGGCCGCAATACCACCAGCAGCAGAAGCAGATCCTAACCCTCCTTCCATCCCCCCTGGTTGGTACGACACAGGAACAGCCGCATTACTGCTCCCATTCCCTCCTCCCACTCCCCCACTCCCACTCCCCATCCCACTACTGCTCTCATCCCCAGCACTCATCATACCCTGACTCCCCCCCAATCCGCTGCTGCTGCTCCCCTCCCCGCTGCTCGCAAACGTGATATTCGAGTGGCCCAGGCCGGGCGGCGGGTGGCCGGCCGCCGCCTCGAGCTGGATGGCGTGGTTTAACTCGAAGCAAACGTCCGAAATGCTCGGCCGGTTGAAGCTCTTTGGCTCCACGCACACCACTCCCACCTCGGCCACCCGCCACATGACCTCGATGTCGAATTCGGAGGGGGAGAGAGTCGGGTCTATAATTGCTTCTATCTGCCCTTGCTGCAGCCGGGAGCGTACCTGCAGAGGGCATAGGGAATAGGGCATAAAGGGTGGGGGGGGGAGGGCAGGGCAAAGGGTGCAAGGGTTAGTGGTAGCACACACCACACCCCGCCCACCTCTGCCACGCGCCACATCACTTCAATGTCAAATTCGGAAGGGGAGAGGGTCGGGTCTATAATTGCTTCTATCTGCCCTTGCTGCAGCCGGAAGCGTACCTGCAGAGGATTTAGAGGGGGAAGCGGACGGGGAAGGGGGAGGGGGAAGGGGAGGGGGATGAAGGGAGGGAGAGGGGGGGACAAGGTGGGGAGAGGGCGAGAGAGGGGATGAGAAGGAGCGGGAGGTGGGCACTGGGCAACCCTAATCAACCGCACAGAACCGTCACTCACCCAGTCAATGATGCTCCAATCGTCCCTCGGCCGGTTCATGTCGATCGGCTGCTGCCCGGAAATCAGCACGAGCAGCACGCAGTGAATGCCAGTCAACCTTACTCAACCATACTGAACCGTCACTTACCCAGCCAATGATGCTCCAGTCGTCCCTCGGACTCTTCAGATCGATCAGCTATCTTTCAATGTTTATTGCTGGCAGCAACTAATAAAGGTGCAATCAACCACACTCAACCGCAGTCAACCACACTCAACCGCAGTCAACCACACTCAACCGCAGTCAACCACACTCAACACTCATCCTCACCCAGCCAATGATGCTCCAGTCGGCCAGTTCAGGTCGATCAGCTATCTTTCAATGTTCATTGCTAGCAGCAACTAATAAAGGTGCAGTCAACCGAACTCAACCGCAGTCAACCACACTCAACACTCATTCTCACTCACCCAGTCAATGATGCTCCAGTCGTCCCTTGGCCGGTTCAGGTCGATCGGCTGCCGCCCGGAAATCAGCTCCAGCAGCACGCAGTCAATCCAAGTCAACCCTAGTCAACCCTAGTCAACCACAGTCAACCATCCTCAAATCGTCACTCACCCAGTCAATGATGCTCCAGTCATCTCGTGGACGGTTGAGGTCGATCGGTTGCCGCCCGGAAATCAGTTCCAGCAGCACCACTCCAAAGCTGAACACGTCACTGCGGTCTGTCAGCTGCTGCACTGTGTAGTACCTGGTAGGGTGGGGAGAGAGAGGGGGTGGGGGAAAGAGCGAGCGGGTGGGGCATGTGGTGTGCGTGAGGCAGTTCCTTGACTCCTCATTCCCAGCAACACCAACTCCTCACTTCCAGCAGCACCACTCCAAAGCTGTACACGTCACTGCGGTCTGTCAGCTGCTGCACCGTGTAGTACCTGCCAGGATGGAGGGGAGAGGGGTGAGGAGAGGGGGAGGATGGAGCATGAGGTGTGCATGTTACTGCAGCAGCACCCCTCCGAGGCTGAACACGTCGCTGCAATCGGTCAATTGCTGCACTGTGTAGTACCTGCAGGGCGGACGTGGTAGAGGAGAGAGAAGAAGGGAGAGAAGGGGGCATGCGGAGGGGCGAGGATGGGGGTTGGTAGACACGTGAGTGCGGCTGACAGAGCCCTCACTGGACAGCCCAAAGGAGACTCAGCCGCTCAGAAAAGAGAAACGAGCGTATTAATGGATGGGGAAGAGACACAGGCTTACTCAGGGTCGAGGTATCCAGCCGTGCCCTTGACATTAGTGGAAACGTGCGTGCGGCTCACAGAGCCTTCCCTGGAGACTTGATGTTGCCAGGCAAGGGAGGGGCGCCTACCATACCTGGGATGGGAGAAGGGACTCACTCAGGGTCGAGGTATCCAGCCATGCCCTTGACATTTGTACACACGTGGGTGCGGCTCACAGAGCCCTCCCTGGACAGCCCAAAGCCAGCCACATGGATTTCGCAGGTACGACCAGGGGCTTTGCTCACTCAGGGCAGGTAGCCAGCCGTGCCCTTGACATGTGGGCATGTGAGCACACAGGTTGCACTCTCGCACTTACTCAGGGTCGAGGTAACCAGCCGTGCCCTTCACGTTGGTTGACACGTGCGTGCGGCTCACAGAGCCCTCCCTGGACAGCCCAAAGTCTGCCACGTGTGCCCGACCATTATGCACAGGGGGCACGGCCATTATGCACAGGGGGCACGGCCATTATGCACGCAGGATGTCGCACTCTAACATGGGGGGGGAACATGGGCATGTGAGCACTCACTCAGGGTCGAGGTATCCAGCCGTGCCCTTCACGTTGGTGGAAACGTGCGTGCGGCTCATCGAGCCCTCCCTGGACAGCCCAAAGTCGGCCACGTGCGCTCTCAGGTTGGCGTCTAGGAGGATGTTGCTGGTCTTGACTTGATGTTGCCGGCTAAGGGAGGGGGGGCTACTATACCTGGGAAGAGAAGGGACTTACTCAGGATCAAGGTAACCGGCTGTCCCCTTCACGTTAGTAGAGACGTGGGTCCTGCTCATGGAACCCTCCCTGGACAGCCCAAAGTCAGCCACGTGCGCTCTCAGGTTGGCGTCTAGGAGAATGTTGCTGGTCTTGATGTCCCGGTGGATGATGGGCGGGGTCAAGCCCGTGTGCAGATACTCTATGCCTGTGTGGGATGATGTATAGATGGGACACACACACGAAGAGAGGGTTGGGTCGATAGGGGAAAGGGCTGGCAGGTTGGCGTCTAGGAGAATGTTGCTGGTCTTGATGTCCCGGTGAATGATGGGCGGGGTCATGCCCGTGTGGAGGTACTCGATTCCTGCATGGGATAAAGGGGGGGAGAGGAGAGAGGAAACACGAGAGATGAGTAAAGAGGGTAGGTCAGGCGCAAGTGCGCGCTCTCAGGTTGGCGTCGAGGAGAATGTTGCTGGTCTTGATGTCCCGGTGGATGATGGGCGGGGTCATGCCCGTGTGCAGATACTCGATTCCTGAAAGAAAGAAAGGAAGGGAACGGAAGGGTTGCAGAGGGTGAAAATGACGGGTGGAATGGGAAAGGGGATGGAAGGGTTTGTGAAGGGAAAGGGCTCTCAGGTTGGCGTCTAGCAGGATGTTGCTGGTCTTGATGTCCCGGTGGATGATGGGCGGGGTCATGCCCGTGTGCAGGTATTCTATGCCTGTGTGGGATGATGTATAGATGGGACACACACACGAAGAGAGGGTAGGGTCGATTGGGGAATGGGCTCTCAGGTTGGCATCGAGGAGAATTTTGCTGGTCTTGATGTCCCGGTGGATGATGGGCGGGGTCATGCCCGTGTGCAGATACTCGATTCCTGAAAGAAAGAAAGGAAGGGAACGGAAGGGTTGCAGAGGGTGAAAATGACGGGTGGAATGGGAAAGGGGATGGAAGGGTTTGTGAAGGGAAAGGGCTCTCAGGTTGGCGTCTAGCAGGATGTTGCTGGTCTTGATGTCCCGGTGGATGATGGGCGGGGTCATGCCCGTGTGCAGGTATTCTATGCCTGTGTGGGATGATGTATAGATGGGACACACACACGAAGAGAGGGTAGGGTCGATTGGGGAATGGGCTCTCAGGTTGGCATCGAGGAGAATTTTGCTGGTCTTGATGTCCCGGTGGATGATGGGAGGGGTCATGCCCGTGTGCAGGTACTCAATGCATGTGTGGGAACGAGATGGGTAGGTTAGAAAGTCTCAGTTTGGTTCCCAATGGATTCGTACAGGTGGTCCCTCACGGTTCCATACGGTATGAACTCATACACCAACACCTGCTGCTGTGTGGCTAGCAGAACACTCACAAACGCACACTCTCAGTCCCTGACTCACCTCTGGCAGCGTGGAGAGCAATGTGAAGCCGCTGCGGCCACCTCAAGTGCCCCAGGTAATTTCCGATCGAGTCATAGAAATGGTCCCGCACTGTGCCATACGGTATGAACTCATACACCAACACCTGCTGCTGTGTGGCTAGCAGAATACTCACAACACACACTCTCAGTCCCTGACTCACCTCTGGAAGCATGGAGAGCGACATGCAGGCGCTGCAGCCATCTTAAATGCCCCAGAGGGTTCCCAATCGAGTCGTACAGATAGTCCCTCACAGTGCCGTGCGGTATGAACTCATACACCAGCACCTGCTGCCCGCTCTCCTGTGCTGTCTCCACCTTCAACCATCTCACCTCTAGCGGCGTTGAGGGCGATGTGCAGGCGCTGCAGCCACCTCAGATGTCCGAGAGGGTTGCCTATCGAATCATATAAGTGGTCCCGCACGGTCCCATGTGGCATGAACTCGTAAACCAGCACCTGCTGCCCGCTCTCCCGGCAGAATCCAATCAAATCCACGAGATTCGGGTGGCGGGCGCGGGACAGCAGATCCACCTCGTTATAAAACTCCTTCTCGCCTTGTAACGAGTCCTCGTCTCTCTTTTTCGCAGCCACCATTCGCCCATCAGGCAGAATCCCTTTGAAGACCGGCCCGAACCCGCCTGAGCCGATTATGTGGGAGGGATGGAAATTTGCAGTGGCTGCGGCGAGTTGTGCGAGGGAGAAGCGCCGCACGTGCGAGCCTGGAGAGACAAAGAGAATCATTGAGTCGACTGCTGGCGTTGCTGCTGCGGGTAGTTCTGCTGGTGCTGCTGCAGCTGCCGCCGCTGGGACTAGCGGTGCTGCAGGTGCATCTGCCTGTGCAGATAAAAGCTGATCCTGGGACTTGGGATTACCAGCAGGGAAGCCATTTTGGTTCATACCAGCAATAGTTGTTGCCCCCCCAACAGCACCTGCAGCAACAGCAGCAGCAACACCGCCACCAACACCACCAGCACCATTACCACCAGCAGCAGCACCACCAGAAGTGGTTGCTGCCGTGTCGGTTGTTGCAGCAGAAGAGGTACCAACGCTAGACCCGAGAAGCTGCGATGAATCTCCCCTTGCTCCCAGCAACGGGGTTGTGGACTCTGCTGCTGAAACAGCAGCAGGCACCTTCACTGCTCCTGCTCCCACCCCTCCCGCTGCTGCCCCTGCTGCTGCTGCTGCTGCTGCTACTACTTTTCCAACTCCTCCCTTCTCCCCATTCCCATCAACCACTACTTGCACCATACCCACCTGATCATGCCCCAATAACGCCTCCCCTTGCCTTTTCCCATCATACGCCCCTCCTCCTCCTTTCCCTTCCTCATCCCACCCTCCCGGCCCTCCCTTCCCCTCTCCACTCCCCCCCTTCCCTCTTTTCTCCTCCCCATCAAGTCCCACCCCCCCGGAATAAGCCTCTGCCGCCCGCCTGGCCCGCTGCATCTTCTGCCAGCGCCACAGGACAAACGTCGCCGCAGCGACTATACAGATGCCCAGGATTATGCCTAAAACGAGGAAAATTAAAGCCACCGTGCTCATAGAAGCAGCAGAGGAGGAGTCAGAGGGAGGAGGGGAGGAGGAGGAGGAGGAGGAGGAGGGGGTAGTGGGAGAGGTGACTGGGAGGCCATTGTTGGAGCAGGCGGGGAGGTTGAAGGCCCTATCCGGGTGACAGAGGTAGTTGTTGCCCTCGATGCTGCAAGGAACGACAGGCACAGGAGGAAGGGGAGGGAGTGGGCGAAGTGACTGGGAGGCCATTGTTGGAGCAGGCGGGGAGGTTAAAGGCCCTATCAGGGTGGCACAGGTAATTGTTGTCTTCAATGCTGCAAGGTTGAGAGCACGGGGTGCCAAAGAGGGAGGGATGCAGGCACAAAGGAAGGGGGGAGTGAGGGAGGTGACTGGCAGGCCATTGCCGGAGCAAGCAGGGAGGTTGAAAGCCCTATCCGGGTGGCATAGGTAGTTGTTGCCCTCGATGCTGCAAGGAAAGGGCACAGAGGGAAAGGGGCACAGAATGACGCGGGAGTGAGTGAAAGTTTATAGGTCAGAAGCAGGAGGGGAAGTAGCGGAAGTTTTCGAGATCCCCTGAATACAAAATTTCGAAGTACAAGGCTGAAAAAAGAAAGGGAAGAATAATGGCCAAGGCACCTTATACATGACACAGAAGGGAGGGAGAATGGGGGATGGAAGCGGGACGAGAGAAGGGAGGGAGGGAGAGAAGGGACGGAGAAGAATAGAGGGGGAAGTGTGAAGTGAAGGGGCAGAGAGAAGAGACGGGAGGAGAGATGTTTACTAGTCGATGGTGGCAGTGGGAGGGAACATGAAGGAGAGAAAAGAGAAGATAAGGGAAGGAGAGATAAAGGAGGGGGAGGTAAGGGAGGGAGAGATAAGAAAGGGAGAGAAAGGGAGGGAGAGATAAGAAAGGGAGAGAAAGGGAGGGAGAGAAAAGGAGGGAGAGATAAGTGAGGGAGAGATAAGGGAGGGAGAGTAGAGGGAAAACTGCTTACTTGATATCAATGCTGACAGTGGGAGGGAAAGGGAAGGGCCCTGAAAGGTTGTTGTTGCTGAGGTCACTGCAGAGAGGTAGGGAGAAAGGGAGAAGTGGGGGGATAGGAGGGGCTAGGTGGGTATGAGAGATGGTTTGAGAGTGGTGAGACTTGTGAGACGATTGGAAGGACTGGTGGGACTGGTGGGAGTGGTGGGAGTGGATGGAGTGGTGGGAGAGGTGGGAGAAGTGAGGATAGGTATTAAGGACTTACATATGCTTTAAGACTGGTGGGACTGGTGGGATTGGTGGGACTGGAGACTTACAGGTGCAGGAACTCGGGCAGCTGTGCCAGTGCCGCCGGTACACTGCCTGCCAGCAGGTTGTCGCCCAGCTTGCTGTGAGAGATACCAAGCGGTGGGAGGGAGTTGTGAGGGAGTTGTAGGGGGTTGGGGGGAGTTGAGTAGGAGAAGGCAGAACAAGAGGCTGACATAATAAGTACGTGCTATTTTTAGGTTGGCAAGCTAGTAAAACTGAAGGGGCTTATCCCAGCTTCATGAAAAATGTGACAAGGCAGGATCAGAGGACAAGGAGAGGGTGTGGGGAGGGGAGGAGGGGAGGAGAGGAGGGGAGGAGAGGAGGGGAGGAGAGGAGGGGAGGATAGGAGGGGAGGAGGGGCATACAGGGAGTGCAGGAGCGCGCGGGAGGAGGGGCGTACAGGAAGGGAGAGTGAGGAGCGGAAGCAGAGGGGAAGAGGGCCATACAGGGAGTGGAGGTTTGAGAGGGAACCAAGCCACGAGGGGATGTCGCCTGTGAGGCCGTTGTCGTTGAGCACACTGCACGTCGGGTGTGGGCATGAGGGGGGTGGGGATGAGGGGGGTGGGCATGAGGGGGGTGGGCAGGTGGGTGTGTGCGTGTGGGGTTCGGCAGGTGGGTGTGGGCGATGTTTGAGTATTCTCAAAAGTCGTTCAACGCGGAAGGGAGGTTGGCTTACAGTGAGCAGGAGAAGGTGCTTACAGTGAGCAGGAGAAGGTGCTTACAGTGAGCAGGAGAAGGTGCTTACAGTGAGCAGGAGAAGGTGCTTACAGTGAGGAGAGGGAAGAGAGGTTGGCAATGCAGGCAGGGATAACTCAATGGGGAGGACGAAGGAGACAGAAGGTGTGTACAGTAAGGAGAGGGGGGTGAGATTGGCAATGCAGGCAGGGATAGTTCATTGGGAGGAGGTAAGTGGAGACAGAAGGTGCTTACAGTGAGGAGAGGGAAGAGAGATTGGCAATGCAGGCAGGTATGGAGCCGGACAGGCCAGCGTGGTTAAGGTCCCTGTGAGGAGGCAGCAGTGAGGAAGCAGAGAGTAGGACAGGGGGAGGATAGAGGGGGTGAGAGGCAGACGTGCCAACATGGTTGGCAATGCAGGCAGGGATAGAGCCGGACATGTCAGCATGGTTAACGTCCCTGTGATGTGAGGAGCAAAAAGGACCAGCAAAGGAAGGAAAATGTAGAGATGAAGAAACGGGAGGAGAAGTAGGAGTGGCAATGCAGGAAGGGATGGAGAATGAGAGACCAGCATGGCTCAGCGCGATAATCCTCCTGCGTGGCTCAGGTGGCTGTACGGAGGCAGAAGAGGAAAATTTGCGGGTGGCTCAGTAAGTCAGTGGCAATCCTGCGTGGCTCAGTAAGTCAGTGGCAATCCTGCGTGGCTCAGGTGGCTGTGCGGAGGCAGAAGAGGGAAAGACGCACTCAGAGCAACACAGCAGCAACCAAAGAACAGCACCCAAAGCAGCACTCATACAAGCAAGCACCACTCACAGGCCGATAACATTTGTGGCATTGGCGCTGAAGCTACACTGCACGCCAGGCCACGTGACAGGGTAGCACGGGTCCCCCACCCACTCCTCCATAGCCGCAGGCTCCCCAAACTGCGTCTTCACACACCCCAACGCCGCCACATCTCTCCCCCCCACCGCCGGCGCCTCCTCAAACAGCTGTACTATTTCCAACCCGCTAAGTGTCACAGGGCGAATCCGGCTCTTAGCGGTGGTTTTTACTCTAAGTCTGATGTTTACCCGGTTTTCGGGTGTGACTGCAAAGGGGATGGCGGCTTGGCCTGCTCTGGGGCCGCCCCATTGGTTGGGGGGGGAGAGGGGGATGACGATGAGCTGGCGTTCCACAACCACGTCGTTTAGTAACACGGTTACCACTAAATCGCCCAGAAAGTCGCCGATGCTGCTGATGCTGGTGCTGCTGTTACCGCCACTGCCACTGCTGCTGCCACTACCAGAACCACTGCTATCGCTAGTGCCATTACCACCGCTACTGCTGTTACTGGCATTACCACCGCCAATGCCACTACCGCTACGACTGCCACTGCCGCCGGTGCTTCCATTGCTGCCGCCGCTGCCACCCCTGCCATTGCCAGTGCTGCTACCGCCAGCGCCCCTGCCGCTACCATTGCCACTGCTTACTGAAGCTGCAGTGGCAGCAGCAGGAGGGGGAAGGAGGCTGGAGAAATACAGAAAAGCCTGGTAGCGACCCAAATCGAGGTTATCAAAAGAGTATTCTAACCCTCGATTCGCCAGTGCTGGCGGTGCTAGCACCGTGCGAGCAGACTGCAGCACCCGCTGCGGCACAGCGTTGAGAACGGAGGAAGAGGAGGAGGAGGGAATGGGGGTGCCGGTGGTGGTGTTGGTGAGGGAGGGCGGAGGGATGGTTACGGTGGCGTTGGTGGTAACCAGCTGTGTGAGATTGGATGGCTGGAGGTCCCAGTGGTCTAACTGAGTGCTGCCGTCGATTGCCCATACACGGTCAAGAGGGTCTGAGGGGTACCTGAAAGGGGGAGGAGAGAGGGGGGAGTGGGGCGGGGAGGAGTTGTGTGCGGTTGGATGCTTGGAGGTCCCAGTGGTCCAGTCGAGTGCTGCCGCCAATCTGCCATATGCGGTCAAGAGGGTCTGAGGGGTACCTGAAAAAGGGGGAAGATGGGGAGGTTGAGCAATGAGCATACATAGGGCGGATCTCTATAGCTTTGATGATGGGGGGGCCGTCCCCCACTCGCTGCAGGCAGATAAGCACACACGCACCCACCTGTACCCACATGCACCCACCTGAAGGTCTGGTCTCTGGCAGGGCTGTCCCCATAAGCAAAGCGCCACCACACCAGCAGCACGTCCGCCTTGAGCTGCTGATAGCTATAAGACAGAGGCGGCAGCGGGCGGATCTCAATGGCGTTGATGAAGGGGGGGGCGGGAGGGTCTCCCCCCACACCACACGCTGCAGACAGATGGGTACACGTGGACTGATAAGACTCACCTAAAAGTCTCGTCTCTGGTGGGGCTGTCTCCACAAGCAAAGCGCCACCACACCAGCAGCACATCAGCTTTCAGCTGCTGGTAGCTGTAAGACAGAGGTGGCAGTGGGCGGATCTCAATGGCGTTGATGATGGGGGGGGCGTCCCCCACTCGCTGCAAGCAGATGGGCATGGCCGCGTCCCTGACTGTGGCTATGGATTCAAGAGTGTAGAGAGTGTCGCCCATCGAACGAAGGTCCACCTGACCACTGCAGTGAAGCAATACGGGTGGGGGATGGGAGGGGAGAGAGGCAAGCAGGCAGTGATTGAATAGGTTCAAACTGATGCACCCACTCGCTGCAGGCAGATGGGCATGGATGCTTCCTTCACTGTGGCTATGGCTTCCAGCGTGTACAGGGTGTCGCCCATCGACCGGAGGTCCACCTGACCCCTGGAGTAAGGGAAAGGGGGGACAGGAAAGAAGGAGAGGACCGGAGAGGCAGTGTTTGGACGGACTCGAACTGATAACCCCACTCGCTGCAGGCAGATGGGCATGGCAGCGTCCCTGACTGTGGCTATGGCTTCGAGCGTGTAGAGAGTGTCGCCTATAGCACGAAGGTCCACCTGTCCCCTGCAGTGAGGGAAAGGGAGGAGAAGAGGACAGAAAACGGCAAGCAGGCAGTGTTTGAATGGGTTCAAATCGACGGCCCACTCGTTGCAGGCAGTTGGGCATGGCGGCGTCCTTGACTGTGGCTATAGCTTCGAGCGTGTAGAGAGTGTCGCCTATAGCACGAAGGTCCATCTGTCCCCTGCAGTGAGAAAAAGGGGGGACAGGAAAGAAGGAGAGGACGGGAGAGGGCAAGTAGGCAGTGTTTGAGCGGACTCTGATACCCCCGCTGGCTGCAGGCACATGGGCATGGCCGCGTCCCTGACTGTGGCTATTGCTTCGAGCGTGTAGAGAGTGTCGCCCATAGCACGAAGGTCCACTTGACCGCTGGAGTGACACAGAGAAGGGGGAGAGGAGGGGAGGAGAGGAGGGGAGAGGGCAAGTAGGCAGTGCTTGAATGGGCTCGAGCGATGCCCTGCCCCCACATGCTGCGGGCAAATGGGCATGGCCACCTCACTCTCTGAGTCCAGATTGTGGCTGTATGGCATCCCATCCCATCCCATCCCATCCCATCCCACCACTCTCAACACCACTCACGCTGATCCAGGCCCAACAGTGACGTTGAACACAGGAGGTGAGTTCTTGCCATCGTAGTTCTTGTACCAGAAGGTCAGGCGCACCAGGTAACGGCCTGCAGAGGGTGGTAAGTGGAAGGGGGACGGAGGACAGTGATAAGAGGGGGGAAGGGATGTTTGTTACGATGGAGAAGAAGAAAGGAGAAGGGAGTTCTTGCCATCGTAGTTCTTGTACCAGAAGGTCAGACGCACCATGTATCGACCTGAGAGGGTGGAAAAAAGGGGAGGGAAGATGGAGGAGAGGGATAAGAGGGGGGAAAGGGATGTGTGGTACAAATGGGAAGAGCAGCAGCACTCGCCAGCAGCAGCAGTGAGTTGCACGTGGTAGCAGTTAACATCCATGTCGTTGTTGAACGCCCTCAGAGACAACTCCGTGGTCAGCCTCTCGTTTCCCCTCTCCTGTACCCCATGCGTACATGCATATCCCACGTATACACCTCCTCATCACCACCAGTAGCACTCACCAGCGGCAGTGAGAGGCACGTGGTAACAGTTAACATCCCTGTCGTTGTTGAACGCCCTCAGAGACAGCTCCGTGGTCAGCCTCTCGTTTCCCGCATCTGGCGAGATCCCCGTGATGACAGCCGGCGTGCCGGGGACAGTAGGGGGGTCGGGCTGCCAGGTGAAGCCTAGAGGGGAGGGGTAGGGCCGCCCCTGGTACCCGCAGTCAATGCTTATGAAGCCTGGGAAACATGCAACGGGGGGAGGAGGGTTGGGGGACGGATGGGAGTCAGCATGACAGCAGGCGTGCCAGGGACGGTGGGGGGGTCGGGCTGCCAGGTGAAGTTGAGAGGAGAGGGGTAAGGGCGCCCCTGGTACCCGCAGTCGATGCTTACGAAGCCTGGGAGTCACGAAGAAGGGGGGGAGGGCGGGCGGAAAGGCAGGGGGAAGGACGGGCGAGGGCGGAGGGGAGGGGAGAAGGCTGCCAGGTGAAGCTGAGAGGAGAGGGGTACGGTCGCCCCTGGTACCCGCAGTCGATGCTTATGAAGCCTGGGGCGTGGGGAGGGCGGGGGGAGGACGGGGGAGGGCGGAAGGGAGTGGGAAACGGGCTGCCAGGTGAAGCCGAGAGGGGAGAGGTACAGCCGCCCCTGGTACCCGCAGTCAATGCTTATGAAGCCTGGGGCGTGGGGAGGGCGGAAGGGTGGGGGGGTCGGGCTGCCAGGTGAAGCCGAGAGGGGAGAGGTACAGCCGCCCCTGGTACCCGCAGTCAATGCTTATGAAGCCTGGGGCGTGGGGAGGGCGGAAGGGGGGGGGGTCGGGCTGCCAGGTGAAGCCGAGAGGGGAGGGGTACAGCCGCCCCTGGTACCCGCAGTCAATGCTTATGAAGCCTGGGGGCAAAAGGTAGGGTGATGGGAGGGGGGAAGGGCAGTGGGAAGGGCAGGGGGAAGGACGGGGGAGGGCGGAAAGGAGGGGGGAAGGGGTTCATTTCAGACGTTTCACAAATCACCTGCTTTGCGACCACCCCCCTGTGGATCGCATTTACGCAGCGTTGAGCTTTTGACCGTGAACTCAAACGGTCCACCTGGCTTGCCTCAAGAGTCATCTGATTTGATGCAGCGCTGGCGTTTCGACCCAATTTCAAATGGACATTTCCAGTTGACTCATAAGTCAGATGCATTGATTGAGCCCACCTGTTGTGGATGAGATATTCGACGCAGCGTTGGCGTCAGAAGACATTGTGACCCAATCTCGGATGGACCTTTTCAGGGGATTCATACGTCACACGCATGCATTGAGCCCACCTGCTGTGGATGAGGTATTCGCTGCAGCGTTGGGATTTTGACCGTGAACCCGGACTGCTCCGAAGGAGGGTAGTGCTACTAGTAGAAGCAGCAGTAGCAACATGCTGACGTGTAACGCGGACGGAACTAGGTCGCGCAGCTGTCTCCGTCTCCCTCCCCAGCTTCCGCTACTTCTTATGGTAGCGTGACATGTAACGAGACTTGTGACGCGAGATGTAACGCGTTCGCGTTCTGATGCTAATCGACAGGTCTTGCGGAACTCATACGCTCTTGAAACGTTGAAATGGCCGGCTCCAGCGCCAGGCTGCTTCAATTCCATCCGCTCAAGCAGGCACGTTCTACTGTAGACCTATAATAAGCGTTTTCTACTTTACGAATCTCCACAGTAGTGCGACGATTTTCTGCAGACGGCTAGTTAATCGCACAGGTAAGCATGGCAGTGAGCCATCTACCAAGAAAAGATCGCAACGACGCCATGGCGACCACACGAGGGCTTAAAGCAAAAACTGAACGCCATTCAGTGAACGCCACAGAACTAGCTGTAAGAGTCTGCTGCTACAGCCGGCTGCTACAGAGCTCAGCTGCTACAGCCTGCTTACTTGGCGAGCGGCCTCAGGAGCCGTCAAAACCAGGAATCTATACTCGTCCGTCAAGTGACACAGAGTGGTTTTGTGACTTCTCTATTCGACTTCTAGAAAACCTAAAATTAAGTCATCCAGAGCACCCTAAGGATAAGCGTGTGTAGGGACGTAGTAGGGACGGATGACGCGTGAGTGAGGGCCGTATCGACCAATGAAGAGCGTCCCGCAATAAGTAACAATTTACAAATGCTGGCGTCGTCTTGTTTTTTGTTCCGGACGTGCTGCTGCGAATGATCACCAGGGATCCCGCTGCTATGCGTTTTCACCGTGCCCCTAGTGTTGGATGAGTCAACCATCAAGAGAACGAAAAGCTGGGAAACGATAGAAACAGGGAGCAGACTCCAGGCGCAGTCGGAACCGAGGTATATATTTCTGTAAACACGAGAAGCCGCTCTGTAACCTTACGAAACCGCACTATTCCTCCGGCATTTGTTCTTGTTTTCCCGTCAGCGGAGTTCAGCCGTGCCCGCGTAGACAGCTCTTGATGGACGGGACGGATGTCCCAAGTCAACGAACCACCACCATCATTTGCGGGGGCGATATTTTTAGCGAACAGTGGGAGGACGGCGAGGTAAGCGGTAACTTGCCTTATTCTTTCGCGAGAGCACTAGTCCAGTGAGAGCATCCAACAGGACACTGGATTGTGTGTCGGTGGAAGTTTGGCGAAATGGCCGGCGGTTGCGACCATGCTAGCGAAACCGAAAACTCAGTTGGTTCAAACCCCCTATCGTTGGCGGGATGTTTGGCTGTTTCCGCCATGCGACTCGTCAACACCGCATTTTCGGTGCTACCTTCCTAGCTGCTGCTCCTGCCCAGCTCCGACACCGACTGCATGATGTCAACTCCGGCCACACGAATATCCTTCATGTAGAAAGTTTCCGTTTCAATGCACCTAGATTCAGAGACTGGTTGATTTCGGTTCTGATTATCACTAACTAGATGCCATAGAAATTTATTATATACACACATGCTAAATCAGACCGTCATACTAGACATGTCCAGACTAAAACAATAGAAAACAAACTTGGGCATGCCTTTCAAGCATGCCCTAGCAAAAAAACAGAACTAAAAGAAGGGGTAAATGCACGAAATCAGAAGAGGTGAGAAGTGGTTAGCAAGTCATTACTGTTGTGTTTGCCTCTCAGCAGAACCTAGGAGATCAGCTGTAACAAGCCTGGATCCAGACATGCCAAATAGGATTGCCTGACCACCTCCATCCACCCTTGGACCAGGAACAGGAGCACCATTAGGAGCAGTGCCATGACCCTCAGGCGCAACAGCAGGTGCAGCAGCAGCATGACCAAGGGTGAGCTGGGCAGGAGACTCCTGATACACCACCACTTCCCTCTCCCTTTCCATAGCCTGAAACAAGGAGTGCAGATTACATGAGACCAAAGTGCAACTATAGGACATGAAGCGCAGATTGAACAACAGACTCACAAAGCTACTGGTTTATGCAAAATGGGAACGCCCAAGTACCTGAGGAGGAGCAGGCACTGAAGGCCCAGCGATTGCAGGAGCTTCAACTCTTGCACCATCATTAATGGCACCTGCGGGGGCATCGTCGGCAGCAGTGAGGGAGGGGTTGGCGGGGCGGTGGCCCTTGAAGAGGGCGAGGTGGCCGAGCAGCTTGTCCTTGCGGCTGAAGGACGTGCCGCAGGAGCACAGCCAGCGGTCGCGCCCGCAGTGCTTCTCGTGGGTCTTGAGGTCCGCCACCACCGAGAACCGCTTTGCACCGCACTTGGAGCAGGCGAGCATCTTGGGGCAATGGGTGCGGCGGTAGTGGTTCTTCACGCACAGCATCGTCTTCAGCGGCAGGAAGCGTTGATGCTGGCTGTTGCGCTTGCAGCCCACGAATGGGCAGCTGAAACGCTTTGGGCGCTGGGGGACAGATGCGAGGTGCTTGTCGGGACGGGCGAGGGCTTCTGGCGTCTTGTACTCGTCGCCGTGGCCTCTCATGTGCATGCGGAGGTTGGCGTCACGCTTGAATCCTGCGAGGTATAAAGCGCAAAGTCAGAACGCAGCGGCACATTCTACAGAGGTCGCCCGAATGAAAAAAAAAAAAAAAAAATGATGCCATATGGAGCCTTCTAGTAACCATAGAAGCTGTAGGCATACCCTTGCCGCAGATTTCGCAGAAGTGGGTGTGTTCCGCCAGCAATTCCACAGGGTCCATCTCAATTACGTCGTAGGAACCCTCTGCAAGGACGAATAACAGATAACCGAAAAAAAAAATGCAATCAGAAACAGATATTAGTGACCAAAAAGGCAGGCAATCCCTTCAGCGAAGACCTCCCTGCACGGAATCCTTCTTTACCTGGTAGCGCCGCGTCGTCATCGTCGCCTTCAGGCGAGCCGCGCTGCTTGCCTCCAATGTCCTCTCCCACGTTCTCCTTGCTGCGCTTGCGCGCCAGATCCGAACCAGGAAAACCGCCATTGCCGGGGATAGCAGTGGCACCAGAAGCAACAATTGCCGTTCCGCCGTCGGAGCCGAGCTTGCGCTTCTGCGTGAGAAGAATCGCTCCGCCGAGAAGCCTATCCACCGCGCCTTGCTTCGGGAACTGCCGCGCCAACGCTGGCGCCTGAGTCTGCGCCGTTTGCGCTTGAGGCGGCGCTGGCCTAGGCGGAACCGCCGCCTTCGCCTGCTGCGGCGCCGCCATGGTCGGCGCGAAGCCCGGCTGGCTCAGCTGAAGCTTCGCCGCCAGGTCATCCGACTCTTGAGGAGCAGGCGGGACGAGCTTGATTACAGACTGCTGACGTGGCGATTCATCGTACGGCGGTGATTGCGTCGCGAGCGTCAGCTGCGCCGCCTGCTGCTGAAGCAGCGAGCCGGAGGCTCCGAGAGAGGAGATTAACTGCTTCTGACGATTGACGGGAGTCGACGTCTCCTGTTGCTGCTGCTGCTGTTGCTGCTGCTGCTGATGCTGGTGCTGGTGCTGATGTTGCGGAACAGCGTTCTGAGGCAAAACCAGGAGCTGCGATGCGGGATTCGCAGCGGAGCTCACGGGGTTGTAACCCGTTGAAGTCCCGGCAGGAACGGCTGGAGCAGGAGCCATTCCAATTTGCGGGGCCGCCGCGGGGGGAGCCATTCCGACTTGCGGCGGGAGAACGGGGGGAGCCATTCCCATCTGCGGGAGAATGTTAGACGCGGCGAGCGCGAGCTGAGAGATGACAGAAGCGACACTCGCGGACGCCGCGGCTTGCTGCTGCTGGAGCTGCTGCGCTTGCGCCGTGTCGGACGCTGCTGCTGCTGCTGCTGCTGCGCCATAAGCGGGATGAGCGCTTGCAAGGCGCCAATGTTCTGCGAAAAGAAGAGGAGGATTAATCCAAGATAACTCGTTAGTAAATAATTAAATAGCAAACAGAAGAAATACAAGAAGAAAACGGAAAGAATAATTGATTATCGACTTACTTGTTGCAAGAGACTGAGAGCATTCATCAATGCTTGTGGAGAATTCGGTACTCCGCCGGTCGGTCCTGCGGCGTAGCCATTTTGAGAAGCCGCAGCTTGAGGCACCGGAGCATGCTGGTGCTGGTGCTGGTGCTGATGCTGCATCGGCTGTTGATGCTGCTGATGATGCTGATGATGGTGCTGTTGCTGCTGCTGCGGCTGCTGCTGCTGATGTTGTTGCTGCTGATGCTGGTGCTGATACTGATGCTGATGCTGCTCTTGATGCGGATGCTGTTGCTGATGCTGTTGCTGATGCTGCTCTTGATGTGGCTGGTGCGGATGCATTTTCCATCCACCAGATGTTCCGCCGGTAGGTTGGGGTTGGCCTGGAGACGGATTGTACGCAGCAGCAGGACCCATAGGTTGCTGATACGTGCCTAAAGTTAACTGCGAAGCTCCGTGGTCCATGTTACTTATTCTTAGAAACAGAAAGCCTGACTCTGATAAGTTCTTGAGACACGCGGGGGAGCCTCCTAACAACAATCAGGCAACACCAGATAAGAGAAGTTGACGAGTGAGCAACTGCATCTGATCTGAGGCTTGATAATGGGTGGGAGTGAAGAGTGAGAAGAGGGAGCCTCGATATTTGGGTGGGTGCCACTCGGGGAAGCAAGGCTCTGCCCGAAGAGCCAGCCAAGCTTTGCCTGGAAGGGTCACCTCACCACCACAACCTGAACGTTTCGGCCTAGGGTTTCTTGGCTTCCGCCGATGAGTTCCGCTGATGTACTCCGCCGATGGAGTCCGCTCCGCCAATGGGCTCCGCCGCTGGACTCGCCCCGCTCCTTGTTTCCGTCGCTGGGCTACGCGTGTTGTGCCCTGCCAGGGGCAGGAGAGAAGGGGGGAGAAGGGGGTGTGGTTGGTTGGTCGGTCGGAAGAAAGGTTGGTGGTGGGGGGAAGGAAAGGGCCGGAGGTAGGGAGTTGGTTTCTGGTCTGGGGTTTCCTGCCATGCGCTTATCACTGAGCGCGTACGCGCTCCAGCAGTGGGCACTGGCCTGCCTCCGCCACAGGTAGACTCGAGTCGAGGCTCCTGATTTTTCAAGTCTCGGCGGCGAGCCACGCCTGCTGCGCCAGACAGGACACGTCCGGACGGGCCGAACCTGCGGAAGGAAGTGATGATCAAGGCTACATGCATTATGGCGAAAACAAAGCTTGGTTCGGGGGGAATCTAAGGGGGAGGGTGAGGAAACATCAGCTGATTGGGTGCGTTAGAGGCTCGGGATGGTCGTCTCGAACCTAGAAGGAAATTATGGTTGTGACAGAGCAAGAGGTTTGGTAAGATTTTCGAAGGACGGACCTCAGCCTCAAAATGTTCAGGTACATGTCAAGTTCGTCATTCTTCAACTCATTCAGCAGCTCCCATCTCTTTATGGGCAGATAGCTTCATTTCATCGCACCAAAACTTTGTCCGCCAGGTATCCCGCCCCATGACTTCATCGCATCGCGTTCGATTGGTTGCGGCGGGGAAAAGGTATTTCCCCTCGATGCGTTGTGAAAATGGTCTCTTCCTGGCCCTTATCACCTCGTGGTTCACACGTAAAGCCACTGAGGGCAGCATTTCTCTCTCCCCTGGCAAAAGTTGCTACTGTAGAGAGCTGTTCCCTCCCGAACCGACCAGGTGGGTTCCCCCAGAAGCAACCCAATCACCGGCAATTCACCACAACCAGACAGCTAATGCCCCACTACAAGCCAAAACAAGCCACTGCAGCTCGGTGATACCTGTACTGTACACCAGCCGAGCCAGAAACCCGAGACCCAGCCAGGAGGTGACACATCGGTTCGGATAGACACGCCAGACCCAAACGGCTGATTCGAAAGTGGGCAAAGATCATATTGGGGCCAGAAAATAGCAGAGGGGTGTCCAAATTAGGGCCGGGAAGTCGAACCTAGACATTTAGAGTAAATTACTGGAATTCCCGTAATCGTGAAATTGTTTTCACTTGTCAGAGGTTCTTACGCGTCGTGACTGATTGAGAGGAAACTTTACGCCGATAGCGCCACCAAGCACTAGACGACGCTACCGGTAACTGTTAGGGAAGGGAAAAAAACTAAAACCCTTAGCGAACCCGGACGTCTTTTCGGGAGGGATCAACCCTAAACACGGGACCCCGCAAGGAGTTTAGGGTTGATGCCTCCCCGAGTCGCATCCGTTTCCGAGCGGGTTTTATTTTTTTGTCACGTTGAGTGATGTGTCTCTTAAAAAAATACACGAAGAAACATACTTCCAGAGGAATACGACGCGAGCTTAGTATGAGAAAAATATTGAATGAAACACGTCTTGATTTTAGTAATTTCCTCAAAATCTCGGTTCGGGTAATCGGCCCAGCCACATGGGCAGCTACGGGGATGTATCGAACGGTCAGGATTTACCCGGCCCTAATTTGGACACCTCCCTGCTATTTTCCGGCCCCAATATGATCTTTGCCCATCGATAGTGGCATGTGGTAGGTGCTGGTTCGCTGTCTTCCACGTGTGTCCACTGGTAGGCTCTCATTCGCCAAAACCGAAGCACATGAAAGACTCGCTGAATGACAAATGTGTGTTACACCACCAGTTCGTAGTAGACATTTTAGGCCTTGAATAGATAGATAATGGAACGATTGGTAAATGTGTTTAGAGGGTCCTCTCCTGGCTCAGGCTGGATTGTTCAAGCTATGAATCCAGCTAACTTACACTCCATAGTAGTGAACCACGATGTAATCATGAATCGCAAGAGGCATTGATTCTAAGAGTGCAACACAAACATACTGGGGCTGCATTGCCCATTGAGCTGTGACAACACACCACCATAACTCTGCACACTAGAGATAAACCACAGCACAAACATAGCTGGAAAGAAAGGAAAAAAAAATCGCAATATACCATTCTTCCTCTCCTATCATTCCCTCTCCTCGCTCTTCTGCACATCTATCACCTGTCCAATGCAAAGCTGCACACAAGTTGGCTGTCGGTACAGCACCACCTCCCTCTCTTCCGTATCGTCTTCACACTGCACCAGAGCAGCACTGTTCAGGTTGTGGCAAATTCGAAGAAAAACAGTCGTTGCCCGAACAACGATTACTACCACCCCCGCTTCCGCTGCGCTTCCCAACATCCACATTTGTACTTTGAGAGCTTAAAGCAGGGCCAACCTCTCCTGCACCCCCATCCATCCCCTTCTCAACAAGCTGCTTTCGTTTGCTGGAAAAAGATACCACGGAAGATGGGAACGAGCGAGGCAGGGGAGCAGCGCCTGTATAGTTCGGAAAAAATGTGTCTGTGCCTTCTAAAAGAGCCGCATCTGCTGCCTCTGCTGCAATAGCATCAGCAACGGTGGGGGGTGCGGCAGCAGTGGTGACGGCAGTGGCAGCGTGGTGGCCCTTGAAGAGGGCGAGGTGGCCGAGCAGCTTGTCCTTGCGGCTGAAGGACGTGCCGCAGGAGCACAGCCAGCGGTCGCGCCCGCAGTGCTTCTCGTGGGTCTTGAGGTCCGCCACCACCGAGAACCGCTTTGCACCGCACTTGGAGCAGGAGAGCATCTTGGGGCAGTGGGTGCGGCGGTAGTGGTTCTTCACGCACAGCATCGTCTTCAGCGGCACGAACGCCCGGTGCTGCTGGTTGCGCTTGCAGCCCACAAACGGGCAGCTGAATCTTTTTGGGAGCTGCCCAGCACCTTCTGGAGATTGCTTGCCTGGCCTTGCAAGCGCCTCAGGAGTTTTGTACGCGTCGCCATGGCCCCTCATGTGCATGCGCAGATTGGCGTCACGCTTGAATCCTGGGAACGCACAAGAACGGTTCCAAAAACGGGCAACGGGGAGGTGTGAGAAACATATCATGCGAAGCCGAAAGAATCACTGTGCTCTTAGAGAAGCTGGGGGTGGGACTTCCAGCAGAAAATCCGAAGGAAATGCAGATCATGCGAAGCTCGTATGAGAAACGAAGTGAAAAAAAAAAAAAAAGAAAAAAAAAAGAAGAAAACAAAAACCTTTAAGCGATAGTACCTTTGCCGCAAATCTCGCAGAAGTGAGTGTGCTCCGCGAGCAGCTCCACAGGGTCCACCTCGATAATGTCGAACGTTCCCTCTAAAAGCGGCGACTCTTCGTCGTTCTCCTCGTCCAAACCCGCATCCGCGATAAAAGCACACTCGTTAACAGCGCCAGGAACCTTGGAGGTCCCCGCGGGGATAATTCTCTTCGCCGCGTGAGGAGGTCCGTCGTCAGCGCCAGCGGCGTCCCATGCAACTTCATCGATATTTCGCTTCTGAGGTAAAAGAGGTTTCCCGAAGAGCTTAGGTTCGGGAGCAGTAACAGCGCATTGCTGAATTGGCGCTGCTGACCGCCATGGCTCGTTCAACACTGGCTGCTGCTGCTGCTGCTGCGGCGGCTGCTGCTGCTGCTGCGGCTGCTGCTGTTGTTTTGGTTCCTGCGACTGCGACTGCAGCTGCGGCTGCTGCGGCTGCTGCTGCATCATGGGTTGATTTGTACCGACAAAAGCAGAACCTGAATAAGGATTAGATGGCCCCGCGTTCTCAGGCGCCAGAAGCGGGGACGGCGCGAAACCGCCGCATCGCGCAAAGGCCGGGTTGATGGGAGGGGAGAGTCCGGCTTGCGGGAGAATGTTGGCCGCGGCGACGGCGAGCTGCGAAATCACGGAGGCGACGCCGACGGACGCTGCAGCCTGCTGCTGCTGGAGTTGATCCGGCGTGGTGGAGATCGGTGGCTGCTGCGACATCAGCGGAATCAGCGACTGCAGCGCGCCAATATTCTGTAACCACGTTACAAAAAAGCATAAGGAGTGAGCTAATTGGTCGTTGGAAAGAGACTCGTAGGTCGACGAGCAGTTTTAGTGACATATGATTCTACTAGAGTCGACACGTAGTAGTAGTGGGAGACAAAAACCGAAACCGACCTGCTGTAGAAGATTCAGAGCATCCATAAGAGCCTGCGACGACCCAGGTCCTGCAGCATGCGGTGCGGGTATCATCGGCGCAGCGGAAGGGACGGCGGACAATGGCGCAGCAGAAGGCGCGGGGAACAGCGGCGCGACGGAAGGCGCAGCGGATAACGGCGCAGCGAAAGGCGCGGCAGAAGATGGGGGAGCTGCAGGCGTGGTTGAGGGAGGCTGGGTGGAGGGGGTTGAAGCTGCCTGGGGCTGCTGCTGCTGGGTTGTCGGCCACAATGAGTCGTTTCCAGACGGAGGCGGTGATTGCGACGGAATCGGTAACGGCTGGAAATGAAACGGTGTCGCCATTGTGTAAATATGATAGGCTCTGCTGGGAGCGGCTAGGATGCTGTAAGACTATCAGCGATAATAACGGCAAGCGCTCTCTGGGAGTGGCGCTTCCGATCAGATTAGAAACCGAGCGTAAATCACACGAGGCTTTTCCCTATTTAGTGAGGAACAATTGACTTTCTCTTTATAATCTGGATTAGAATTCTGAACGCGCAGTCGCTTCCACTGGAAAATCCCTACAGGCGTGTGCTGCTAGAGCCGTCACACAAGCCTGGCCGAGTCCTAGCGGGTAACCCTGACAAACTCAAAGAACCTCCCTCTAACCTGCCTGAGTGACAGTGGTCTTCTTCAAAAGAGCGCTAGGCTGCTGCTGCGGCTGTGGCTTCTTCTGTGGCTGCGGGTGCAGCTGCGGTGTTTGCTAGAATGCTACCTTGCCCACCACCCAGTAAAGCCGTGAGGGGAAGGTAGGCCTTGCCCTTCGGTGGGGAGGGGAAAGGGTGAGGCGGACTTTGTCGTGACTGGCTGACGATGAGGTGGGATGCGGTGAGATAAGATGGGACGTTATACTATGGGATCCGATGGGATGGAATGGGATAAGTTTAGAGAATGGATGGTATGTGATGGAAGGGAATGGGATGGGATGGATGGATGGGATGTGATCGAAGCGGAGTACGGGGATGGAGGAGGGAGAAGGGGGGAGGGGCGGTGGGGGGGAGGTGGTGGTGGAGGCCCTCACGGCTCAATCAAACCAAACCCTAGGTTTCTCGGATTTCTCCGTGCTTCAGGACGCGGCACCTGTTTTTATTTTGCCACGATCGATCGTGGGTGGATCGATGTGCCGCTTGTACAGTGATTTGGCGATGTCGCTAATGCCTGGTATCCTTTTTCGCTGAACCTCGAAAATATACAGTAAAAGAGTACCCAAAATGGTGGCACCTGCAGCTCGCACGATCGATGTGCCACGGTGCACACATCGATCGTGCATTTGGGATGGCGGGAGAGCACATTGCGCCACAGGTGACAGCCGCGATCGATCGGCGTCGCCCACGGTCGCAGACGAATAATGATTGGATAACGACAGCTCGTTCCTCGCTCTGAATGGTTAACGACAAAAACGTTGGTGTATTCTGCTGCGAAACCTACCTGCCCGACCCAGCAATTTCGATCCCGGCACCCAAGGCTCGGCGTGTTTACCACACTGCAAAATTGCAGTGTGTGCACATCGGTGTGCCTATCGATGTGGGAGAATCGGTGTACAGACATCGATTCTCCCTCGATCCTGGCAAAATGAGAATGTGCCGCGTCCTCAGCCCTGATGTTCCTGCTGCTACGCTGCTGCTTTTGTCCCAACGGCTCTCGATTTCATCCATGCACATGATGTTTTGGTGGGTGGATGGTGTCTCTTGCTGCTGCCCAAAGGCCATGCAGAACGAATCAGAGCAGCGACGATAATGTTTGCGACAACATCTGGTTACCCGGGTGGGTGTCACGTGGTGTGGAGAGCCTCGATTTGGTTTGGGTGCCTAAAACGATTCGCATGTGGTGTTGCTAGGTCGTCTTCGCATTTCCTGCCCTTCCGACAAGCCACAAGGTTCGAAACAAATTTTTGTTTCGGGCAGCTTGGCGATGAATACTAAAATTTGTTTGTCGGAATGCGCTGGCATTACTGTAGCGGGCTGCTTTTTGGAGCCTACGTAGGGCGATAAGATGCCCCGCCATAGTTTTGACGAATCAGTGATTATGCGCGTGCTGGACGGATCCAAACTACGAGCAGCATTTTTTGGACGCTTGCGGGCAAATGGGTGAGCCAGAAAATACCTCGATTGCTTGAGATCCGTGGCAAGTAGGTGGGTGGCTGTGAACGGAAATCACGAACTTGATTGTCTCCTCTACACCCAGGAGGAACGTAGCTGTTATTGATTAATACCATGACAGCTTCTTACAGAATATATGATACCTGCACACCCTCCACCACCAGTCTCCCAAGTCCCTACTCCTAAAAACACGCTTTTGACCCATCATCTCTCGTCGCTCCTCCCCTCCCACAGGCCCAACTTGGGTCCCAGAAAGAGAGCTCGCAGGCAGAGGGGTTAGAGCATATTTCAGCTGTTAACCCTGCTTCCTAACTTTCCCAACGCAACTACTCACTCTTGGCCCCCAATTTGACTCATCGTCTCTCGTCGCTCCTCGCCTCCCATAGGCCAAGCTTGGGCCCTAGAGAGAGCGCTTGGGGGAGGGCCGAGGGGTGGAAATGGCCGGCAAAGAGATGGCAGAGGTTGCCGAAGTGGCAGTGGCGCATGAGAGAGACGAGATCCGGGGTGAGCTGGGGAGGTTGGTGGGGTGTGGGCGGAACGCACAGGGGGGGAAGGGCAGGGGTAAGTGGCCGGCAAAGAGATGGCAGAGGTTGCCGAAGTGGCAGTGGCGCATTAGAGAGACAAGATCCGGGGTCAGCTGGGGGAAGGGGGGAAGGGAGGGGGTTGCGGGGTCGGGGAAAAGGGGGAATGGGTAAGGTTGGAGGGCAGGGGGGTGGAAATGGCCGGAAAAGAGATGGCAGAGGCTGCCGAAGTGGCGCATGAGAGACACGAGGTCCGGGAATAAAGCCTTTATCCCCTTATCATCGGGGAAAAGGGAGAAAGGGGAAAGGCGAAAGCGGAAAGGCGAACACCAAACTCCAATTCGCTAGATCCTCCTTTCTGCTTTGACTCACCTCTGTAGCGTTGTACACGCAAAGATGCCCCGAGTTGGGCTGAGTCCACCTGTCACACCAGTCACTCTGAGGGAAAGGGTGCATCTGTGGCTCTGTACACATAGCGATGACCCAAGACGCATCTCACCTCTGTTGTACACGTAGGAAGTTGGCTGAGTCCACCAGTCACGGGGCGATAACGTGATATGAAGGCGAATAAGTGAACAAGTCTCATCTCACATCTGTAGCGTTGTACACATAGGGATGCCCCGAGTTGGGCTGAGTCCACCAGTAACAGAGTTCATAATGTGATACGAAAGCAAGTAAGTGAACCAGTCTCATCTCACCTCAGTAGCATTGTACACATAAGGATGCCCCGAGTTAGGCTGAGTCCACCAATCCTCAAACACCAGACTCCAATTCGCCAGATCCTCCCCACTCCCCCGCAGCCCCACGCCCCCTCCCCCCGCCGCCTCCCCCCACCCACTCCGCCTCCCCCCTCCCCCCATCCCTCCCCCGTCCCCTATACCCGCCCACAGCTCGTCCACAAAAGGCCCAAAGTCCCCCACAGGGGGGAGGTCGACGAGGATGGGGATGATGGAGGGGAGGTAGTGCTCTGAGGGGAAGCAGGCCGGGAAGACCCCCTTCACCGGCACACAGCAGGCCGCAAACTTGTCGTAAAACTTGCTGTCTGATATTACCTGGTGGGTGGTGGGGGGAGGAAGGGGAGGGGCGGAGGGGAAAGGGAGGCTCTGGAAGACCTCTTTCACAGGGACACAGCAGGCAGTGAACTTGTCATAGAACTTGGAGTCGGATATTACCTGGTGGATGGGACACGGGGTAGGGGGAAAAGGTGGGATGATTTGAGCGAGGGAGGGGAAGGCAGGGAAGACCCCTCGCACCGGCACACAGCAGGCTGCAATATAACCTGGCGGATGGGAAGGGGAGGAAGGGGTTGGGCGGAGGGGAAAGGGGGGCTCGGAAGCAGGCGGGGAAGACCCTCCGCACCGGAACACAGCAGGCCGCAAACCTTTTGTGAAACTTGCTTGCTGTCTGATATTACCTGGTGAAACAGTAGAGTGTGGGGTTGGGGGGAAAGAGAGGGGGAGTATGGGTTGGGAGGGGGAGCTAGAGGTTAGGGAGAAACCAGGGCACTGAGAGGGAAAGATTTGGTGTATGGTATACTTGGAGTCTGATATTATTTGATGGATGGTAACAGGGGTGGGGGATGGGGGGGAAGGGGTGTGGGGAGTGATGCAAGTGGAGGGAGAGTGAGGGAGTAAGTGTTAGTAGGGAGAACGAGGGAGTAAGTGTTAGTAGGGAGAGTGAGGGAGTAAGGTTTAACAGCGAGAGTCTGACATGACATGGTGGTCGGGATGTGGGAGTGGGGAGAGGGGTTGGGGTTCAAGGGAGGTATAAGAAAAAGGAGTATGGGGAAAAGGGGGTTATGGGGAAAAGGGGGTATGGGAAAAAGGGGGTATGGGAAAAAGGGGGTATGGGAAAAAGGGGGTATGGGAAAAAGGGGGTATGGGAAAAAGGGGGTATGGGAAAGGGGGGTATGTGGGACAGGGGGGGACTGATTAGAGGCAAGGGGGAGGCTCAGAAGCAAGGGAAAAAACCACTTCCTCCTCTGACCTGTTTTGAGCACTGTTTTGAGGGGTATGTGGGAAATGGGGGGACTGTTTTCAAAACAGTGCTCAGAAGCAAGGGAAGTGGCTCAGAAGCAAGGGCACAGACCACTTCCTCCTCTGTTCCACACACAGCATTGGCTCAAAGCAGTTGGGAGGCAGTTTGCACGCTTGCATGCTCGCACACATATTTCACTCTTGCATTCTTCACCCACGCATTTGACTCTCGCTCGTTTCACAGATGAATGAACCTTTTCCACACACACCTTCACAGCCAGCCTTCGTGTGAGTCCAATCCACTGTCCTCCCTTCCTCCACTACTCACACTCAGCATCGGCTCAAAGCAATTGCAGCCTCTTCACACACACTCTCCCTTCACACACACTCTCCCTTCACACACACTTCTCTCCATAAACACACACACACACACACGCACACACGCACGCACGCACGCACACTTTCTTCACACACTCCTGCACAGCCAGTCTTCGTGTGAGACCAATCCACTGTCCTCCCCTCCTCCACTGCTCCACGCTCAACATCGGCTCAAAGCAACTGCAATCTCTTCACACACAGTCTACACACAATATCTCTTCACACACAGTCTACACACAATATCTCTTCACACACACTCTACACACAATCTCTCTTCACACACACCTGCACGGCAAGCCTTCGTGTGAGTCCAATCCACTGTCCTCCCTTCCTCCACTGCTCCACACTCAACATCGGCTCAAAACAGTTGGGGTTGAAACGATCCCTCCCGCCTTCCCCTGACACGTCGTTCGACGGGATGTAACTACGCGGCGCAGATGGAACCGTACCGGCGAGATGTAACCCGGAGGAGGAGGTCAGGGACTTGGGTTGAAACAAGGCGGAGGGAGAGGGGAGGCCGACGGAGTGATGAGGGGAGATGAGGTACGAGTAAACGAATGTGAAGTTATGAATCGGGATGCACAGCTCGCATATAGTCACAAACCGCTCGTTAGCAAAATCCAAAAGCGCGTTCGCTAGCAGACGACGCATGCCATCTACTGTGCTCATGTGAACAGTCTTCGAATCGGCTGACGCGGGCTCGTCAGGGGACCTATTTGGCACGAATCTACCCCGGAAAATAGGGGGAAGCAACGACTTGTCTATTTTCGTCTCGTCGGTCAAAATGTACACTGACACTCTGTCCTCATGCCCCTCTAACCATCTAGCCCACAGCGGCGCAAAAGGCATCGTTCCCGCGCTGTAAAACAGTAGCGCCACTTTCGCAGGGCCTATTTTGCGCCTACTTCCAGCGCCCGCGCCTCCGCCGCCTTCCGCTTCCGCTTTCCCGCGCGCGCGGCTGCGGCGGCGCAGGGGGACCATGGATGCGCGCCAGAAGAGCTCCTCGTCCCCCATGTCGTGCGTCAGCGGGAGGAAACGGACAGGAAGCTTCGCGGGAGTCGCGCTCTCATGCCCCGCGTCATCCGCGGCGTCCACGTCAGCATCGGAATCGTCGTCGTCAGCAGCGGCCGCTGCTGCAGCAGCTGTTAGATGGCCGCTATTACTGCCTGCGGTACGAGGCTTTTCCTCAAAAAGCTTCTCCCAGTTAGCGGCTTCGTTACTGTCATCCTCGTTATGGGAATTGTCACCTTTTCCCGCTTTCCCGCCATCCGTGCCCAGGCCGCCTTCTGCGATTTCGTCACCGGAACCAGTCACCCGCCGCGGACCAGCGATGAGAGCGTCGGAATCCCCTTTCGAATCACCTGATTGGCCGGCGACTTTTGAACTTCCTGCGACACCACTTGCGCCTCTTAAAAAAGAACCTGGGGATGAGGAACCCAATGACGTTGACGGTGACGTTAACTGAACCTGTCGGCTTGAGTCTGTTACTCCCGAAGCTAACCCGCGACTAGTTCTGATATCATGGCTGTCGTTAATTTCGTTGTCAGCACCGGCAGACGCGGCGGAAGCAGCGCGGGAGACAGTTCGGCGGAAACTGACAGAGACGAAGAAAAGCGCGACGCAGGTTGTGACTATAGCGATGGTCGACAACGGCACGCGCCGCCGTTTCTGCTGGCGGATCGAACGCGCAGCGGACTTTGAACCGGGCGGCTTCATGACGACATGGCCCCCTTCAAAAACCGCTGCTTCCGTCCAATCCGATTGACAGAACGAAATCGCGGGAAATTTAGAACCTCACGCCTGAATTTGAGGAAAAAGGACCGACTCACTGTTAAGCGATTATTCGCTTGTTGACAGTGTCACCTAGGAACGTATGCGTACATGCTCTAGTGAAGCTGAAAACTTTCAAGCGTCCTCCGAAGAAACAGGTAATACAGAAGCAGCGCAGCACCTCCCTGGGATCATGGACGATTGTGGAAGGTATTTATGCCGGACGGTGGGGGGCCCTTTCAGTGCGAAATTCCAAAGCGGAAACAGCAGCATCATCGGTGCGCTGTCATTCTAAGTTTCGAATACGGACGGTCCTACTAGAGTGTAGTAGCAGCAGTTGATGACGTCGCGACGCGTCACACTAGCGCGTACATGATGGTGGGAGGGAGTGCCGGACCGGAGTAAACGATTTGTGCGTTCGGATTGGCCAAGGGAGTGTGATTGTCCCTCAACCCCAGTTTCCCAACCAGGGCTATTGCTAGGATTTTTGCTAGCTCGGACGATCCGGGCCCCTGTGAAAAAGACCCTGTAAAATCCGAGCCAGCGGGAAAAAAACCTTGACGAATCCGGGTTCGAGCCAGAAAAGGCCTGAAAACATGCATTACCAGAATTTCGCGGGAAACTCACAGTGGGTTGCGCGAGGGCTGGGGAGATTGGAGATGGAGTGGCTCTGGAGGGGTGAGCGAGATACTTTTTGTAGACTTAGAAAAAAATACGATGAGGAAGAGTACATCGGGAGAACAGGGCAATCAGACACTCTCTCCTTATTGGCCTTCTAAGCCATGTCGACGTAGAACGGGGCAATCAGACACATGGAGGCCAACAAGGAGAGAGTGGTTAGGAAATTCACTAAAATTGGCCCAACGTGTGTTTAGAGGGAGACCGAGAGGAATGCAAGGCAGGTCGGGGAGAACATGTCTGCTAAAATTATACGGGTCCCCTTGAGAACTCCCCGGAGAGATCCGAGCTGACTCAAAAATCACCCTTCAGTTTTACGGGCTGGTCCGGAAAAAACCTTGTGAAAATCAGGGCTCCTAGAAAAAAAATCCTATAATTTCAGTCAAAACAGGGTAATTGCCCTGATAACTTAGGCCCTGTTCCCAACCCAACCAACCAGTGATGCGTCGCACCTCCCTTAGTGGAGCCGCTGAGTGGCTGTAACGCGGGGCCGCACGCTAACAGCACACGTTCATCCGCTAGGAGAAAATCAAGGACATGAGGGGTGCATGAAGCCTATTTCAGGACTTCGAAATGGTAAAGTAACACTATACCCACAAAACTATTTTATCATTTGTCCATGGCTTGGATAGGGTACATTCAAAAGGAGAGGCAACCCAATGAGACACTACTAGGCAGCGCTCCGCACTGCACCTCGTTACAACTAGGCGTCAGATATTTGCACAACACTGTATCTCTCCTTCGATGATGCATGCCAAGTATCCATAGTCAGAAGAGGGAAACTATGGACTGCAGGGCGTCTGGTAAAAAGGGATACAACATACCGATGCAGGCATCTACACAGCATACGGTAACAAAAAAATCATAAGCATATCACATGAAGATTATCTGAGAATGAAACTCTCCGCTTCAGCGATCCCGCTGCATTTGCTGTAGAGCAGCCAGCGTCAGCTCCGCACTGACGTTGCACCTTAAAGCCATCCATAGATGCCCAGTGGCCGTCAATTGAAGGCGAGTGCTTGAGAGCACTCCGGAGCGGCGATGACAAAGGCGTGCCCAATGATGACGCAGAAAGAGGGGATAACGGGGGTGACGAAAACTGGGGTGATGACTGTGACGGGATGAACACCCTAAGATTTGCGGGTTGTGGCAATGATTGGGAGCTAAAGCCGGGCTGTGGCAGCGATAGGGAGTTGTAGCAGGTCTGGATGTCCGACAGTCTGGAGTCAGCTGACAGAGACCTGAAAGAAAAGCCGGTGCTGGAATGAGCACCGTGCGCTGCAGACCTTATTGAGGATTGTTGTAATGAGGAAATTGTGTGCTGTCCTTGGGGCGAAAGTGGTGGCAGGCCAAATCCAGCTGGCCGATCTGATTGGCTGGAACTTGCGAAGTGTGACCGAGCAGAAAATGGGGCAAGAGGGGGTTGTGACTGTAACGGGAGCGCTGTGCTGCTGGGTGGAACAATTGAGAGAGCAACGGAAGCAGGCTTGCCGTTGGAAAAACCATCACCACCAGCAGTCGCAACAGCACCCGAGCCAGCAGCAGCAGCGGCAGCAGGAACCGAAGTAGCAGGAGCACCAGAACCAGGACAGGGAACATTTCTGGCCGCGGTCTTGCCCGCGCTCCAGCTTTGGCTGCGGGACACGCCTCTACTGGCCTCTGTCTCATCGACAGTGGAGCTCTGCCACCTGGTAATCACCATCGCTGCTGCCATGCGGACCAACTACCGCTTTGGAGCGCGGTGACGCGGAATGCGGCGAGCTGGAGTGCGGTGACGCGGAGTGATGGGGCAGGTGGCGCCAGTTGACGAACCCCACACGACTGCTCAGCCTGACCACCGCGATGGGACTCGTCACAGCGGATCCCCCACTGGGCGCAGCTTCCCTGGTATCGCTTCCTGTGCTTCTGCTCCTGCTGCTCCTGCTGCTCCTGCTGCTCCTGCTGCTGATAGGGATGGTTAGCGGACCAGTCGGAGTGGAGGGAGCAGTAGAGCCCCTGGGGGCACCAAAGCCGCGCGCCAGGGAAAAGAAAGTGGTAGAGGGAGTAACAGGGGAGAGCAGCCCCCCCCGTGCCAGCTCCGCCAGCCGCCGCGCTGCTGCGTGCGGCGCTGCGAGCTGCCGCGCAGCTGCGTATGGCTCCGCTGGGTGATGGTGGTGATGATGATGACCACGCCGCTTGCGGCGCTGCGGCTTGTTCGAGACGGCGCATTGTGCACCGTCCGCGTGACGAACCGCCGCGTCCGGCGAGAGCAGCTGCGCGCCGAGCGGAGGGGAGGTAGGGAGGAGCGTGACTGAATGTGGCAGTGGGCTGCGCGGCGGCTTGTCATACGCGGCGCGAGCGGACGCAGCTCGCGGAAACACCGCCGCAGCAAAATGCGGCGATTCTGCTGCTGCTGCTGCTGCTGCTGAGAAGTCTGCCTGCGAGGCGGCGTCGTTCGCATTCGTGGCGCTTCCGTCGGCGACCGAGAGGGGAGCGGAGGACGCGGAGGACGACTTGCGGAACTGTCGCCCGCGCGACGACCATGCGACAGTGGGCGACGTCGCTGTCGCCACAGCCCGGCTGGCCGCCGGTAACATCGCCTGCGGCGGCGTCTCGAAGGAGAAGTGATCGTCATTATCGCCGTCATTCGCGCCGCCAATGCCGCGGCGACCGTCCAAATCAGCGACGCCTACATCAACGGCGGCGCCGCCGAGATCGTCAACTTTAAGGGACACATCAAGGCGCAGCGAGCCGCATTTCAGTTTCCGTCGCGCCGCCAACGTTCCCGCGCGAACTAGGACGACGGGGGCCTTACAAGCGGCGGCTTCTGCGGCGGTTTTTGCGGCGGCGGCGGCGGAGTCACGTGTGGCGTCGCTGCTAACGGCGACAGCAGCGGAAAAAGCCGCCTCGAGGATTGCCTCCAGCGAATCGTCGGCGTCGCTGTCGCGCAGCGAAGAGTTGCGACAGTAGGTCGTAACAGCAGCCACGTGTCGCGCCGCGCAGGACGCCATGATGCTTTCGATTATCCCGCGTTTGAAGGTTAGATCACGACTCCAAAATGCGCCAGCGGACCTAATTCGATTGGTAATACCAGCTCGGCTTTCGAGACGCCTTTCGCAAAATTAAGCTTTGGATTCCCGATGGAACTGAACCTGCAGGTATGGACGAAATGAAATGACCTGTTGCGGCTCTGTGTTTAGGACCAGCAGTGAGGAGTTTGTGTAGCCGTTCCGAAGTTTCAACGCCATCATTTCAAGTCCCACACAGTCTGCGCGCACTTCGCTGCCGCAGGTCATAGCAGTTGCGGAGTACATGGAAGATGGTATGGACTATGCCGCAGTGACTATGGTATGGAAGATCGAAGTGCATGAAGGCGTTTCCCAGCCAGCTCTCAAGTGTTTGACTTTTTCGTCTGCACTGCAGCTGTTAGGGAACGGCAAATGGTCAACGAAGCCAGCTAATTAATCGATACTGTAGACCAAGTTGCCAGCCAGAGGTTTCGGGGTGGTGAAGGGAGTGAGAGCAGCAGTTATGTGGATATGGCGTAGGTTGCGGCTCGAAGTGGTTTTTCGACTGCGGATATTGAAGAGAAGATATGAGCAGGTAATGGCTCAGTACGAAACCGAAGAGGAAACGTCAAATACGCTGGTACGGTTAAACAAACCATATTGAACCTCTCTCATCGACGTGCCGCGTTGGAGAGCTTTTTGATATCTTGGTTTAGGGCCAAACCGTTGCATTGCGGTGCAAGTGTGGTCAGTCGAGTTGAGAAATTGATGAGAAGTTACCTGAGCTACGGCGTGGCGTACAGTGAGGAAGCACACCTGGAAGTTACCTGGTGAGGGCAGAACTGCATCGTAGGGGACAAGTGACGAGTTACAGTGCAATCATGCGACCCGAACCTGAGGGTCAGTCAGAACAAAAACTGTAGAGGTTGCTTTTAAAGATGATGGCAAAAAAAAACCGTTTGCTTTTAGCTAATGAGCGGAAGTCCGTCCATATTTTCCGTATTTGAGTAGTAGGGCGCATTCTATCTGGTGAAAATTGCAAATCTTTTCGCTATTCAGCTTGAAACTTCCCTGCCCAACCTCGTCCTTTCCAGACAATTGCAAGAGACCTAGGCCTCTCCTCAGAGGCGAAGGCATTGGTAGGGACAAACACTGCAGCATTTTACGCATATTTGGGTTCAACACGTTACAGAACGGTTTTGGTATGATAACCGCCTGAACAACAGATCTCGAGGATCCCGCATTACGTGTAGTTGTACCACGCCCCATAAGCGGGTTTGGTTTGCTACAGTCAACGAAGAGTGACAGAATCGAACGCAAAAAGTACGGGGCTGAACTGGTGCAGCAGTGGTTGGCTCGCATGCCTGATCCCACTAACGCGTACACGCTGGTTGTGCTGAGATGGGGTGGATGGTTCGAGGCTTTGGGTTTGGTGAAGGGAGAAGCTCCGCACTCCTCCACGACAACACACCTCCCTCGGCGAAACCGCTGAATGGCTGTAAACGTGGGGTCGCACACTCCAGCACACGTTCATCCGTTATGAGCAAATTCCAACAGAAGTATCCAACCACATAAAACCCTTCAACCATTTATTAGGTCAATTGCCCATTCAGTAAATGGTTAACCACATTCAGAGCTCAAATGCTCTGCAAAAACTTAGATGTAGACATCCGCCTCAACCTAACTGAGCAACTAAAATCTGCCAAGATCTCATAGACATATTACATGCAGATTGTCTGAAAATGACACTCTCCTCTTCAGTGATCCCCTCTCATTCTCGGTTAAGCAGCCAGCATCAGCTCCACACTGACGCTGCACTTCAAAATCTTCCAGCGATGCCCTGCAATCATTCATAGAAGGAGAGTGCTTGAGAGCACTCCGGAGCGGCGACGACAGAGGTGTGCCCAAGGATGATGCAGAAAGAGGGGATAAGGGGGGTGACAGAAATTGGGGTGATGACTGTAACGGGATGAACACTTGTAGATTTGGAGGCTGTGGTAGCAGTTGAGGGTTGTAGCAGGTCTGGAGGTTTGACAGGCTGGATTCAGCCGAGAGAGACCTGAAAGAAAAAGCTGCGTTGGAATGATCAGCAGCGTGCGCTGCATAATTTATTGAGGATGCTTGTAACGAGGAAATGGTGTGCTTTCTTTGGGGTGAGAGTGGCGGCAGGCCGAATCCAGCCGGTCGGTCCAATTGACTGGAGCCTGCAGAGTGCGAGCGAAAAGAGAACGGGCCACGAGGCTGTGACTGTAACGGGAGTGCTGTGCTGCTGGGTGAAGGTGGCACAATTGAGAGAGCAATGGAAGCAGGCTTGCCATTGGAAAAACCTCCACCAGCAACAGTGGCAGCAGTAGCAGGAAGACTAGCACCACTACAGTGAGCGTCTCTCGCTGCGCCCTTGCTACTGCTCCAGCTTTGGCTGCGGGACATTCCCCGACCAATCTCGGTTGCATTACCATGGTTTGCCGCTCCAACAACACCATAATTGTCACAGAGGGTGAAGCTCTGCCGCCGGTTATCACCCTTGCTACTGCCACGCGGAGTAACGACTGGCCTAGATACCGCGCTCGGGGAGACGGAGTGCGGTGAAGAGTGCAGTGCGGTGCCCGGGCGTTGCGGCAGGTGGCGCCAGTTGACAAACCCCACGCGGCTGCTCAGCCTGACCACGGAGATGGGACTCGTCACAGCGGATCCCCCACTGGGTTGCGCACCAACCCTACTAGTAGCGCTTCCTGTGCAACTAGGGCTGCTGCTGCTGCTGCTGCTGCTGCTGCTGCTGCTGTTCGTAGCAGGGGTGGTTGGAAGACCCGTCGGGGTGGACGGAGCAGTGGAGCCCTTACAGGTAACGCTACTACCAATGCGCCTCGGGTCATCATTAGTAGTCTTAGTAGAGGCAGTAGTTGTAGCAATGTGAGTCGCAGGAGAGAGCAGCCCCCCGCGGGCCAACTCTGCGAGCTTCCGCGCAGCTGCATGTGGCGCGGCGATCATGTTCCGCGCAGCCCCCTGTGGTTCGGCTGGGTGATGATGATTATGGCCATGTCGTTTGCGGCGCTGGGGCTTGTGCGAGACGGCGCCACGTGGATCGTCCGCGTGACGAGCCGCGTCCGGCGAGAGCTGCTGCGCGCCGAGCGGAGGGGAGGTAGGGGCGATCGTAAATGAAGCCAGCGGGCTTCGCGGGGGCTTGGTAAACGCGGCGCCAGCAGACGCGGTTCGCGGAAACGCCGCCGCTGCCAGCAATGCCGCTGCTGCTGCCGAGAAGTCTGCCTGTCGCGACGCGGCGTCGCTCGCATTCGTGGCGTTTCCGTCGGCCACGGAGAGGGGAGCGGAGGACGCGGAGGACGACTTGCGGAACTGTCGCCCACGCGACGACCATGCGATCGTGGGCGACGTCGCGGTCGCCACAGCCGCCGCCATCGCCTGCGACACCGTCTCAAAGGAGAAGTGATCGTCACCGGTGCCGGCAATGCCGCGGCGGCCGTCCAAATTAACGGCACCGTCCAGATCGCCGTCGTAATCGTCAACTTCAAGGGACACGTCGAGGCGCAGCGAGCCGCATTTGAGTTTCCGCCGCGTCGCCAACGTTTCCGCGGGAAGTACGAGGGGGGTCGTACAAGCGGCGGCGGCTTCAGCAACGGTTCCGAAGGCGGATTCAGCGGCGGTTTTAGCAGCGGAGGAAGCGTCAAGTGCGGATTCGCTGCTAACGGCGGCAGTAACGGTAAAATCCGCCTCGACCATGTGTTCCAGCGAATCGTTGGCGTCGCTGTCGCACAGCGAAGAGACGCGCCGCGTGTCAGTCACGACAGGCAGCGTCGTGCGTCGCGCCGCGCATGATGCCATGCTTTCGATAACTCTGCAGTGCGTTGCGTGACAGGGGCGGTGGAAGGTTTAGATCACGGCTCCGAGCAGCGCTGCGAGCCCAATTCGCGTAGTAGTCAGAAGGTCAGCTTTCGCGGACCCAAATTCGCGTTCTGTAAGGTCTCTACACAACCTCGAGTTTATAGTTGAGGACTAAAGTTTGAAGCCGAGAAATACGCTAAGGAAATGGTTCGGGGAATGAATGGGAATTGATTTCAATGGCTACTTCAGGTCGCTGGAATGGGTCATAAACGTATTGATTGACAACCATTACCCGTTGGGGCTCTATGTCTACTAGACAAAGTAGGATCAGCAGTGAACACGAGTTTATGTTGGCGTTCTGAAATTTGGACTCCATCAGTCCCAGATACACAGTGCGGTTCGAGCGATGTAGTTCACTCGCTCGCTTTCACGGGGGAGCAGTTGCGGTGAGAGCCGAGCCGACTATGGGAGGGAGATCAAAGTGCATAAAGACGTTTCACTGCCAGCTCTCGAGCGTGCGACGGTTTCGTCGGCAGGTGTTGGGTGGGACCGCCCAGTTGTCAACAGGGCGAGCTACGCATAGTATACGTGTAATCTAAACTGTACCAAGTTAGTACCAACCATATTGCACGGCGCGAGTAAGAGCCCGGTTTTGTGGAGATAACGGCGGTAGGGCTTGCGGCGCGATGAGGATTCCGACCTAAGGGAAAATTGATGAGCGGAGAGAGGGATGAGGAGCTTTTGTTCGCAGTGAGTCCCTAGTTACCAAACCATACCGGAAACCTTTAAACCGTTGATATTCAAACAGTACCGTACTGAAGCGCTCTCATCAACTTGTCGCATTGCAGGGTTGGGATGGTTGGATTGTTGTGGAAGTGTGGTCGGGTCGAGGTGAGGGATAGAGGAGAATTTATCCAGCTACAGAGTCTTATACGCGCGAGGATGCGTAGGAAGCACACCGAGAAGTTACCTGGTGTTGGGGATGAGTTGCAATCACTCGATACGATCCTGTCGATCAGGGTCTGATCAGATATGTGCAGCATTTCTTTTCCATGCGCTGGCAGACGAAATTGTTAGCAATTTTATAATAAATACTTTCCGACTTTGGGGTTGGTGTGGTAAGGCTGCCAATTTTGTACAATTTGCCCGCTATGTTCAATGGGGCG